AAAGTGATAGTGATAGTGATTGCCTTGCGACCCGAAAGATATGACGTGGCCAACGCACATCAACTGGATGACTAGGAAGAAGCTTGACTTGGAGTCACCGGGAATATAACTTTGCACTGGAAGGAATTGAGCAATGACGACAAAGGATAACCATGTGTCCTCCACTGGGGTAAGTCTTAATCATGAAAATTATATCATATATAGATGCTGTAGAATGAATCGTTTTATTTTAATTTAAAGTGATGCAGCAAATTGTAATAGCAGCCTAACTTTATTATAATATTAACTAATTCACAAATATTGATTTCTTATCCTTATGATACTTTTAAAACTGACCCAGACTTTGGTTCTATAATTTGGTATTGCAGTCTTAAGCTTAAAACTCATTGAAGGTGTCACTTCCGGCCCTATAAATTATATATGTATATTCTTGATCAGCATGAACAGCTGAGTCGGTCTAGCCATGTTTGGTAGAAATTAATTTTTTTTTATTTTTTACAAATTTTTGTCAAACTTTTATAAAGGGTTACATCGTTAAAATTTTCAAAATGTAATAAAATTTAATTTTAAAACTTAGTATGCAGATTAGTTAACCGATTAAAAACTAGCACTGAAAATTAACACATTTTCGACTAAGTTATGATATTTTGAAAAACTTGGATTCAACCAAAAAATTAGCAAATATACATATCAATTTAATATAATTTCGGGTTAGTTATAATCAATTTCACTTTCATTTCGAACCCACACCCATGATCCTATGGCTTACTTCAATGTTATACAATGTTATGTACATATATGTTATGTAAATTAGCTTCCATTCCTGTTTTTTGTTCAATATATATTTTTCAATATATTACAAAAAGTGCCTTATCTCTTTGAGTGCAATCCTGCTCTAGCCCTTCTCGTGTACGAGAAGTGTATCCTGGCCTGTTGCCTGTCGCCTTTTCGCCCCGTGCCGTCTCAGATGTTGTGGCAAATTAAGTTTGCTTTTGTTCTAGATTAAAAAGGCATTGAAATGTCGACAAGGACGTGGAGCAGCAGCAGAAAGGCAGGCACGCAGGCAGCCGCAGGAGGAGCAAAGGGAAGGTTCATGATGATGAGTAGTAGGTGGATGGGTGGTGGTAGTAAGCGGCAGTTAAAATGACGCCTTCGGCCAAATTTAGCTAACTTTGTTAAGTTTGTTTTGGCCGTGGGAGTTGAATGCTGGCCGCATCCAAAGGGGTTCCTACCCCCATTGGATGATGAAGTGCCCAGACGGCGATGGAGCCACAGATATACATAGATAGATAGCCAAGTGTAGAGTGGGGGCTTCTGGTAAGGGGGGAGCCTGTGCAGAATGTGCAGAAATTAAAAATCAACTGCCGCGTGGGAGAGAACCAAGCCAAGCCCTTAAGTAGCTGACCAACTGAGTAATTGAAGGAACTAATTGGAAACGAAGGATGGTTTTGGCTTCGAATCAAAAAGGAACGAAAAGGCTGAAGTAACAGAGAGCAAAATGTTAAGACCATTTGGTAAATATCTTTGGGGTTAAATAAAAGGATATTTAGTTCGGCACGCCGAAGTTTGTATACCCTTGCAAATTGAAATTCGATCACTAGGAATTAAATCAATATAGATTATATATATTTACATAAAAAAAATTAAGTTATGCCTGCTTTCATTTCATTATATTTTTAACGATCGTTTGTATGGCAGCTACATATGTACATGATATAGTAGTCCTATTCTCATAAAATTTTACACAAAATTCTATATTAATATATAATGGCTATACATTAAATTTGAAAATCTGTCGAAAACTCGAAAAGTTACATTTTTTTTCTTAAAATTTTCCGATCGTTCCTATAGAAGTTATAAATATGTATATATCTATATAGTCCATCGATTTGTCCCGCTCCGACTTATATACTAGTAAAATTATATAGAAAAATAACTCCATAGTTTCATTTAAATAGCTTGCTCTTAAATTTGTATTAAGACAAATCTCGCACATCTGTGCATATGATTTCCAACTTGTTCTAACGTCCCAGAAACGAAGTGACTTCTGCCGGCCACGTCTTAGAAATGTGTCGTGTTACAAAAGTTGCAAGTCATTGTTTATTAGTGTTCAAAGTTAGTAACTGATCATACATACTTACTGGTCTTAGATACTTACTGACCATAGTTACTTACTGGCCATAGATAATTACAGTTCAGAGTTACTTACTGATCATAGTTACTTAATGTTCATTGATACTTAATGATGAAAAATACTTAATGATCCTCTACATTTAAGAACCGTTTCTCTGGAAGTTATGTTATATAGTACTCCAATTTCATAAAACTAAAAACGAAATTCTATAATAATAAAAGATAGCTTTGAATCAAATTAGATAAAAATATGTTAAAAACTGTAAATTTATCATTTAAAAACAAAAATTAATTAAGTTTTCGCCAAGAATCCCTAAAATATGTTTATTCTAGGTATATTAAATCAATATATTTATACGCCAATTGTTTGGTTAAATCATAATTTTTTAAATATCATAACTAACTCCCTGCCTCGCTCTGGCGCTCTCTTTCTTATTTGGTATGTCTATCTCCCTCTGTATACCTCTAGAGGCATCTCTTACTCTCTATTACTCTCAGCCCACCTCAAGCGTGATCCCTTTCACTCTCGCTCTCACTTTCTCTGCTCTCTTGACTCGGAGACTATAAATAGCGGGCCCTGCCGCCTTGCCGGCCTCATTCTGTCCGGGCCGCCCCCTGTTAACATCTATGGTGAAAGTTATAGTGATAGTGATTGCCTTGCGACTCGAAAGATATGACGTGGCCAACGCACATCAACTGGATGACTAGGAAGAAGCTTGACTTGGAGTCACCGGGAATATAACTTTGCACTGGAAGGAATTGAGCAATGACGACAAAGGATAACCATGTGTCCTCCACTGGGGTAAGTCTTATAAATATAATATAATATAATATATAATATAAATATATGACTTTTGACAATCAATCAAGTTTTGGCCAAGAAAACCTCAAGTATATATATTCTAAATGATATATTAAGATATGTATGTATATTGACAAAGATACTTATTACCTTACCTTTTTTGACTGTCTTGCTATATTAATTAAATATATACACATAATTTAATATTTAATATATATTGCCGAACATAATCTACCTATTTACCTAGTATTCTTTTTTGTGCTTTCTTAACTATCAATATTAATTCTGCTTTTATTTAAACAAGTTTTGTCTAAAAACCCCCAACTTCTATGACTTTTTGTGCTTGTTCCGAATCAATTTAAATTAAATCTCTTACCAATCTGGGCCAGTTTTGAAGTGTCAGAACAGCTCTAAGCAATTTAAGCCTGCCAAATTGTTATTAATCAAATATAAACGAAGCTAAAAATGTCTTAAAACATAAGAAGAAGGTCAACTGGAACTAGGAAATCCATCCGGTGGCTGGACTGCATGCTAATGCAAGGATCTAATCCAATTCGAATGCAGTTCGCAACGAGAATGAAAACGAAATTAAAAGTGCCAAAAAACAATATACAAAATGGAAAGAATATATATATATGTATATATACACACTAGCCTGCTAGGCGATTCAATTTGGCATTTGAAATTCCACGCACATATTCCATTAAAGTCGTTGGCGTAATTTTAATTTCGGATTTGGTCCTTTTTACCCGGAAGCAGCGACAGCAGCAGCAGGATTAGAGAGAACCAGCAGCTGCTTTAAAGGTCCGGGATATGGACCAAATAAAGAACCCAAAGGCCGAAAAATATTAAAGGAACGGCTTCCAATCAAATTGAAATTTAATTTGCACAACAATGCAGACGCGAGGGGGAACCAAACCACTTGACCGGAGCCCATGGCCCGTGGCCGGTAACCCGAATTATTAACCCCGTGAGCAGCGCCTCTCCGTGGCAGTCCATAAAATTGTGATTTACTCCCGTTGAGATTTCAATTACTGCCGCTTTATTGGCAATAAATTTCCGTATAAATTAGGCAGAGGCCCGACCTCTCCTGGGTTCCGCAAGGGTTAAGGTTAAACAAAGCGGCAAGTAGCCGCACGTAGCCCGCATTGGAAAAGGTGAAACTGGCCAGAAGAGGTCCTTATTTTTTCCGCCCCCTTTCTTTTTTCTTTTCTTTGGTGAACAGCAAAGACTGTAAATAAAACCAGAAAAGGTTAAGCCAAATGATATACGACTTGTGAATACCCCACAACGTGGCGATATTAAACAATAGAGCGATTTGGGATAAATATCTATCGGTTTTGATTTAAAATCAATTTAAAAATCGATCCAAAAATAAGCAATGCTTATTGTATTTGTATTGAATTGAATTGATTTAACAAGTATTTTTTATATTGAAAATATATGAAACATATATTATTGTCGACTCTCTTAGTTTTTAATATAAAATTTCATCAAGAGCACACACATTATTTTATATATACCCTCACTCACATTTTGGTCCATATCTATATCGTATTTAATATCAATATTCTAATCATGTTCTAAGCTAATTTGCTTATAAACCTATATGCTTCCTTGGATTTCCCAGGATAGGATGAATAAAAATTGATTGGCATGCAAATAAAAATACAACGATTTACTTGGACACGTCCATGTCGTCATCATCGTTGTTTTGGATGGGGAAATCCACTTGACGTCTCTTTAAATCTCTGCCCAGACAGGAATTGTTTTTGTTTTTGGCTTTCCTTAACCTCTTTGCTCCCGCCTCGTTTCCTATTCTCCTTCCTTTTTTTCCGGCTGGCATCGCGGAAAATATCAAAGCCGCTTCCGCAGCTGCCAATCAGGGAGTTGCCGCAGGTGAAGGAGGCACGCGCGGGCAACAACATCCGTTTCTGGGTCGGAGGAAAGCCTAAACAATACTTGGCACCTTCCAGTATACAGTAGACTTTAGGCTTCAATTCCGTTAAGTATCCTGCTTATAAAATGAATGACATTAATGATAGGGTTTATATGAGAAATTGAATGGCGTATGTATGAGTGTTTATTGCTATTGCTTAGCCACAAATCACAGTAGATTCCTCACGTCTCTACAATTTCTACAGAAACTGTGAGTCCGCGTACAGGTCACGGAATTCCAGCAGTTGATCCAACGCTGTCTCGTACTCATCACGCTCCAAGCCGGAATTTGAGTAGGCCTGTAGCTTGGCCAGCTGCACGCGATGCGTTTGGGCATGCAGATTGTCCAAGTGCTCGCCCAAACGAGTAGAGTTCTGCAACGCGGCCAGCACGGGGACACAATCCACACGAGTACCCGCCTCGCGTTCCGCTTTACCAGATAGCTTTAAGCCATTGCCGCTAATGTTAGCACCAAACACCTCATAGGGAAACGGAAGCTGTGTCTTTAAGGGCAGGGGAGTGGCTGCTGCATTGGTGACACTTCCGTGATAGGTGCACTGATAGTAGAGCTGTAACATTTGGGAGACACTGTCGCACCCATAGGCAGCCATTCGAAGCTGTTCACCGGCCAGCTCTCGCGGCCGTTTCAATCGTTCGTCGGGAATGCCGCGAGCTGTCACCGATTGAACTACATACGAATCGCCTGGATCACAGCCCGGCGTCAATTGGGTGAGCAGCGCTTTACCGCCACTTTGATCAAGGAACTCGATAAGATCCTGGCCCTCTCTCAGCCCGAAAGGTAGTGCCATTCCTGCGGCAGTCATCTTCCTGCCCGCGGGCGACACCGATCCGCAGAAGAGGCGTAGCGACTGGGGCGTGCCACGCAGCCGATAGCCTAAAGTGGCTGTGTCCATGAAGGTGGCCAGTAGGGCTGACGTCTGGTAGAGATTATCAGCCTGCCAATGCAGACCCTCCAGTTGCCGCGACTTGAGATCATTGTTGCGCCAAATGGTCTCCAGCGTGGACAGCGGCGTAAACATGGTGGCCTGCTCACTGAGATGATAATAGCTCAGCACACTGTTTACCACCCTAATGCCGTGAGCCAGCCTAGGATCTGCAATAAGGTGGTTAGACATGGTTAACATACATTTTCGCGACTAGAAACCCACCTGCTTGGGCGTAGGACGTCATTCGGGGATAGTGCAGCGGCAGAACAAAGCTGGCACGTCCGTACTCATCATTCAGGTGTTCCACACACTTTCCGGCCAGTCCTGCGAAGCCGTCATCGATGTCGTGCAGCACATGGAAGCCCTGTAGGCCGTCACACTCCTCCACATACAGGCGAATGCGATCGCAAAACTCGTCGTTGAAGGCGGCTTCCTGCCAGAGTTCCGTGCCAGAGGTATATGTTCCCAAGGTTTGCACAGCCTGATCTCTAACCAGTCCCGGCAGTATATTAAGAGTGCGTGGATGGTAGCGGGCGTACAGGAAGTCTGCCCAACTGTTCGCCGACTCCGCCAGCTGATAGTTCTTCTCAGGCGCCACAGCGTTCTTCAGCAAATCTCGCTGGTACTCGGAAATTTCTGCCTGTGGCTGCTCCACCACATCTAGTTGTTGGGAGGCGGACACATTGCTCTCCTCGGCCCGCTGACGAGCCCTCTGTAGCCCCTCGCCGGTGCCTAAAGGCAGCAGCTCCTCATCCCGCTGCACAAAATTCCCATACAGCTCGCCTGCGACCGGAAGGTGCGACAGAGTCCCAGCCAAGTCCACAGACAGTAGTCGCGGCGTGTAGGTGGTACGATTGTAGTCATTCAGGCCCTCCCGATAAAGTATATCATTATGAGGCAGCTGTTCCTCGGCCACCTGGTTGGTTTCGTCGCCGTACCTGAAGTTTGCCTCCTGAAAGACGGATTTTGTGTGATTATCAATATGCCAGGCGGGCGGATCGACTCACCTGCTGGTTCCAGAAGTGGGCGCCCACATAGTTGGCATAGGTTCCAAATTGGAAGGTCAGTATCTCACGTGTATGGTCCATAGCAGCAGCCGGCGAAAGTGACTAATTCGGATGCAATTGTTTGAGCCGCGCCGAGCTATCGATGGCATCTCGACTATCGTTTGAGTTATCGATACCTGTAATGGTATTAAGCTTAAGTATTGACTTGTTGATGCCCTATAATGTCTGTCAACGCCTTGTTCTATATAAAAGCAAGCATATACAACAAGTTTTTAAGTTCCACTTAAATATTTATTAGAATTACGTAATGTTAATATCACATTTCTTCAGGAATTTGAGGTTTCGCCAATAACTTAAACCTGTTGCACACCCACGTGCTGTCCATCAAACCCCACGAGCATACCCTTCATGAAGCGATAATCAAAACAAAAGTCACATGTAAGACTATTATTACGATTTTATTCAAAGTTATGGCGTGTGCGGCTTCTGATCCATGTGCTCCAGCTGCTTCTTGTTGAGCATCATGGACACGTAGCTGTTCCAGAAGAGCGCAATGACCTGGACATACAACACCTGGTAGGAGATCGGCACGTAGGAGAAGTTAATAACTTGCGCCAACGGCCAGAGCATGTAGTTGCGTCCGAGAATGGTGAAGTAACTGTCCTGAATGCGACTCTTCACTTGCTCCGTGGACTCCCCGTTGATTAGTGGCACCAAACAGGACATGGCCAATGTGAAGGGCGGCGCAAAGAGGACCTGATCTGTCAGCATCTTACGTATGCCGCGCTGCATCGCCGTCAACTCCTTGGGCACCTTGCTCTCCAGAAAGAGGTACCAGCGCCGTACCACTGGTGCGACGAAGATGAACCCCAAGGCACTGAATCTCAGCGTACGACCGGCATCCCAGTCATTTATTCGCTTATTCTCGATGAAAAGCTGGGCCACTGTGTCCCCCAGTCCCATTATGGCCGCCACGTTAAAGCCCTCCCGAAGGTATGCCCTCAGTGCCATCGTTTTTATATGATTCACTTTTCCTTTAGTGTTTAAATTAATTGTTATTTAATCTTAAACTTTTCGTTTTCTTGCCGCAAATTAGCATTTTCACGTGTGTTTTTGGCAAGTTTTGGGCTCTGAGCAAAGGGTTGCCTAGTGTCTTCAAATATTTAGGATTTCCCAAAGCAAATTAAAAAGTGTTGAAAGCAACACTGTCATCAAAGGGGATAGAGAATACCATTTATTAGGTAACAGTTTTATTGTTAATACCCTTTCGTTCAATATATTAATACAATACAATATCAATATTATGCAGATAAAGATAACGAGCAAGAACTTGGGAGACCCCACCTCATCCGTCACTTTTGAATCCTAAAAGGAACCGAAGAGACTCAATTGCCATCAATTTATTTAAAATATTCAATGGTATTAACAGTTTCTTTATTAAATTAAAGGAAAAAAATATTTCTTACAAGGCAAACAAACAGGGTTTTTGCTCCGTTGGAAGCCTTTTTTATTCGGCCAGATAAAGTTAAAACCTAGTTTAAAATTAATTAAGGCTGTTACATGTATATCTATGCGCTCGCCTTCTTCAGCTTCTTGCGCTTGCGCGGCGTGGCTTCCGGAACAATATCCTCCTCTTCCGGTTTGCGTTGCGGCACGGAATCCACTATGACGGTATTCCCCACATTTTCGTCAATGGTCAAGGTAACTCCTCCTTCTTTTGCTTTATGTTTCCTTCGTTTTTTCGGTTGCGGCTCGACCTCGAGCTCCTCTTTGATGGTAACCAAAGAGTCTTCGATCTGGACCACATCATTTTCGCCAACAGTCAAAGGAACTCCTCCGTTTACTTTATGTTTCTTTTGCTTATTGGGTTGCGGCTCGGCCACGGGCTCCTCTTTGATGGTAACCAAAGGGTCTTCAATCTGGACCACATTATTTTCGTCAATGGTCAAGGTAACTCCTCCTTTTGCCTTATGTTTCTTTTGCTTTTTGGGTTGCGGCTCGAGCTCCTCTTTAATGGTAACCAAAGAGTCTTCAATCTGAACCAAATTATTTTCGTTAATGGTCAAGGTAACTTCTCCTTTTGCTTTATGTTTCTTTTGCTTTTTGGGTTGCGGCTCGGCCTCGGACTCCTCTTTGATGGCAACCAAAGAATCTTCTAGATTGACCACAGCATTTCCGTCAATAATCACGGCATCTCCTTCTTTCGCTTTATGCTTTTTGCGCTTTTTGGGTTGCGACTCGGACTCGGGCTCCTCTTTGATGGTAACCATGAAGTCTTGAAGGCCATTAGTTCCATTTATCAGGCTTTCTGCAGGTAATGAACGCTTCTTTCGCTTTTTTGGTGTGGTGGGTTCCTCCTTGATTGTCACCGCACAATGTCCGTTCATTGGGACAACACCATTGGTCTCTTCGGGTTCCAGCTTGATCACGGTAGGTTCGTTGTCGTTGCGCATAACAGGTGTGCTGTCCATGAACTTGGGCTTGATACCAGTAAGCACAGATTCACGCACCTCGCTCTCCTTTTCCTCCAGCGTTTGTGTGGACTTCAGCATCCTGCTTTTGATTGCGTAGTAATTAGCAGTGCGTCGCAATTCGGCCGTCATCTTCGCGTCCTTCCTAGCGGCGTTTTTAAGGACGTTGTTGATCGCCGCTGGCAACTCGATGTGTTTCTTATAGTTCCGACCGAAGAATGGATGACGAACGGGAAGTTTGAACTTTGGTGGCGGCAGAGCGACCGGAAATTCGGAACCGGAATCGTGTTGTGCTACACGCTTAGCTGCTTTTCGGCGCTTACTGACCACCATGTACCCGCTGAGAGGCAATTGGCGTTGAGAGTACTTTCCTTTGTAGTTCACATAGCCGACGGTTTCGTTTACAGGCGTCGAGTATTTGCTGGCCCTCAACTTGACATCCCCTTTGTAACGCCGGCCGGGCAGCTTGATCCGCTTTCCGGCTAGCTTCTGGAGATCCGTTCCCTTGGGGCACTGCATCAGCCAGACATCGTGGGTTTCGCTATCGAAGTCGTGGAGGGCATCGGAACAGCAATGTCGCAACGAATTTTTCGGATTCAGTTTCTCCAAATCGTTTTCCTCTATAAACTCATTTCGCAACTCCTTGGCCCTCTTGCGGGCAAGTTTCCTGGCTTCCTTATCCTCCATGGATAGTTAAAAAATTACATTAAATTCCAGGTGCAGGGCTGCACGTGCTGTGACACCCAGTGATGGAAAGCGCATACGGACGGGACAGCTGTTCAGTCATCGATAGTTCGATTATAATGTTGTGAAATGTGAAAAATATGTTATATATAAGAGGCAGCTGCATTCGCTTTTGTCGGAAGATCTTGTCTCATAAAGTTGACTTCGTTAATAATAATATCTAATAATAATAAATTAAGTAATACATGGTGAATAAAATATGCAATGGTCTCTCTTCGAAGGCTAATCATCGAAGTATCGACTTTATGCGTATCGATAGATCGAAAGCGACGTCAATGTGATTTTCTTGTTCTTTTTGTTGTTGATTTTGGTAGCGCGTGGGTTCCCGCTGCGTATTTTCAGAAAATTGTTCAAAAATCTTCCGAAAATGAGCCAAAAACCCCAAAAAACGATACAGTTCCACGAACTGGAGCTGGACCAGCGCATCCTCAAGGTGAGCACATGCAAAGCATTCTATGGGAAAACATGACAAAGTTAAGTTTTCTTTTACACTTTTCAGGCGGTGGCCCAGCTGGGTTGGCAGCACCCCACGCTCATCCAGTCGACGGCGATTCCCTTGCTCCTAGAAGGCAAAGATGTGGTGGTGCGTGCCCGCACTGGATCCGGAAAAACAGCGACGTACGCCCTGCCGCTAATCCAAAAGATTCTGAACTCCAAGCTCAATGCCAGCGAACAGTGTGTGAGCGCTGTGGTCCTGTGTCCCACCAAAGAACTGTGCCGGCAGTCGCGTGCCGTGATCGAACAGCTGGTTGAGTCGTGCGGCAAGGTTGTTCGTGTGGCAGATATTGCCGGCAGCTCTAGCGATGCGGTGACACAGCGGCATGCGTTGGCCGAGAGACCCGACATCGTGGTGGCTACACCCGCCAAGTTGCTGGCCCATGCCGAGGCCGGTAGTGGCGTGGTGGATCTAAAGCATGTGGAGACACTGGTGGTGGATGAGGCAGATCTAGTATTTGCCTTCGGCTATGAGAAGGACTTCAAGCGGCTGATCAAGCATTTCCCTCCTATCTATCAGGCTATCCTTGTCTCTGCCACGCTCACCGACGACGTAGTCCGGATGAAGGGTCTGTGCCTCCACAATCCCGTGACGCTAAAGCTCGAGGAGCCGGAGTTGGTGCCGCAGGATCAGCTAACGCACCAGCGGATCCTAGCCGAAGAAAACGACAAGCCGGCGATTTTGTATGCCCTGCTAAAGCTACGACTTATACGAGGCAAAAGCATCATCTTTGTGAACAACATCGATCGCTGTTACAAGTGAGTATATATGGCAGTGGCTAATCTCCGCTAGAATAAAACCAATGATGATAAACCAAACGAATGTAAGGAGTGTGCAGCTGGCAACAGTTGGCGCACGCATGACTAGCAACTAATCTTCTCGCTGATGGCTCTGGCTTTCCAAAGAAATCCATAAAGCTCACGACAAATCCCTTCCTAATCACAGCTTAACTTTCACTTGCAGGGTTCGCTTGTTCTTGGAACAGTTTGGCATCCGTTCTTGCGTTCTGAACTCTGAACTGCCAGCCAACATACGCATTCACACAATTAGTCAGTTCAATAAGGGCACCTACGACATCATCATCGCCGCTGACGAACACTTTCTCGAACAGCCGGGCGGCAAGACCTCAGCTCCATCTAGTCGGAAATACTCTCGCACCGGTGACTACGAGTCCAGTGCCTCGCGTGGCATTGATTTTCAGTGCGTGAACAATGTGATCAACTTTGATTTTCCGCGCGATGTCACCTCATATATCCATCGGGCTGGCAGGACGGCCAGAGGGAACAACAAGGGATCGGTTCTGTCCTTTGTCAGCATTAAGGAGGCGCCAGTTAACAATGCCGTGGAGGAGAAGCTGTGCTCCAGCTTTGCCACCCAGGAGGGCGAGCAGGTTATCAAGTAAGTTTATATTGTATTTGGTAATTATGTTTATTTATTGTCATTCATTTGATCTTTGACAGAAATTATCAGTTTAAGCTGGAAGAGGTTGAGTCCTTTCGCTACCGTGCCCAAGATTGTTGGCGTGCTGCCACACGTGTCGCCGTCCACGACACTCGCATTCGCGAAATCAAAACAGAGATCCTAAATTGCGAAAAGCTAAAGGCCTTCTTCGAGGAGAACAAGAGAGATCTGCAGGCTCTGAGACACGACAAGCCCACGCGCTCCATAAAGGTGCACAGTCACTTGACCGATATGCCCGAGTACATTGTGCCCAAGGCGTTGAAGCGAGTGGTTAGGTCCACGGCCACAGCCAGCGGAGGAGCTTCGGCAACCAAACAGCAAAGACAGTCACCTGCCACGACAGCCTTCGAGCGGCAAAGCAACGATCCGCTGATGGTCAGCCAAGTGGATTTTGGCAAGAGGCGACCGGCCCCGCGGAGGCGAAAAAACAAGGCGTTTTGATGGAATCACCGTTTTTTGGGGGGCTGGGGTCAATCTTAGTCTATATATAGTCTAGCCTTAAGGCTTTATTCAAAGCTTTTGGAACTATTTGTATGTGAGTGTGTGCTTTGAGAAATACAAATACCGATTTTAATGCACAATTCTTGTATTTTTGTACCCTTCCAAGGGTATTATAATTTTTATCAAATGCTTAAAACGCATCGAAGGAGTCATTTCCGACCCTATAAATCAAATATATTCTTGATCAGCATCAACAGCCGGATCGATCCGGCTATGTTTTTTGTTTAATTTTATAAATTAAAAAACTTTTGAAAATTTAAAGAAAAATTTTAAGTTTGTATAATTTTAAATTTCATATGCAGTTTTGTTAACCTAATAAAAACTAGCATAGAAACGTTTTCCGAAATGAAATTAATAGATTTTTGGTTAAGTTATGACATTTTTAAACTTTGATAATGCAAAAAAAAAAGTATCATATAAAAATATATAGATTTCAAGCCACAAGCTAAATCCTAATTATTTTTATTTTTAATTTCAGATAAATCGAATTTGGTTTTCTTTTTTTGTTTATTAAAAATTACAAATTTGTAGTTATATTAGATGTTTTCTCCCATTTTCAACCGAGGTAGTCTGATTTGTTAACCTTTATTGTTTTATAAAAATAAATTTAGCAAGTGAGAAGGCATTCAGACAGACAAAGAAGACATGCCCTCGCTATGCCTGTCCTTCTCTGATCTAATGCCAGATGAGTGTGGAAAATTTGGTCATTAAACAAATTGCTGTAGCCAGTCATTCCATTCATTGCGATGATTGCCACAACAGCTGGAAGCCATTTAAGCTCAATATACAGGCAGCAATAGATCAGCCCATTAGAGGAAATGTCTCCTCCTCCGCCTCTGTCAGGGAATACAGGTAATAAATTACCTTAAATTTTTGTCATTATCCAGAGACCTCATCAAGAACTTGAATAGAATTGAAACCGCATGCCTTGATAATTTAGTTTTTAACATTTTATTATTGTCATTGAAATAGTTAACATTCATACAATTATTTATTCATTTATTTATAGCGTTTTATGCAATACAATAATAATAATAATAATCAGGATAATAATAATAATAAAAAATCGAACGCTTCATCGCTGGATCGGCAGAGTGAATCCTCCCAGCTTAGAGATCCGATCGAAGCGGATATGGAAATGGGAACCAAGGACAGACAACTATTGTAGTAATGACTTTTATAATATCGCTTCGTTAATCGCTAAATTAAACATAATACACATAAATATATATCTATATATATATATATATAGGTAGAAACGAAATGAATCGCGTTATCGTACGTTAAACACATTATGTTTATGTTTATTTAGGTTATAGTTATAGGTATGCGCGGTTATCCCCGGGATCCTACTGCTCCGGCTGGAGGAACAAATGCCCTGGACTGACTGACTGGCTCTCTCCGGCAAACTTAAGGCGAAAACCAACATAAAATCGGAGTAAAACTGATCGATGCAGATGATACTCAAAGGTGCTGTAGATGCTGAGAAGGAATACGAATGACACGAATGAATCTAGAATCTAAAATGCAGCCATACAATGTATCTCTATGTATATGTATATATATAGATCTATAAACGATTTTCGCTCTCATTATATATGTATTTATATATATATATATATGTATATCGATTGATGCGTTTACTAAAAAAGAGAACTTTGACTCAACAATTCTCAATCCCTTTTTTCTATCAGTACTCCATCCTCGAAATCGTTGTTGGTTTCCCTCCGTTTCCGATGGCTTCCTTTCCATATAGTTTTGCTCTTTTTTCTTGTTTTGTTTATGTTTATGTTTTCGTTTTTATATTTTTTATAACACACATACAAAGAGAACTCGTTTTATAGATTATTATTTGCAACAAGACGTAAAAATGTACATAATTTCATTTTAAAAATGACCGGCGTTGTCTTCTCAGTTAATTGAATCGATTTTTAGTGGTTTCTTTTTTTTTTTTGGTTGTGAAGATCCTCGTTTGCCGGATCACAAGTCTTCATATATAGATATATATATATATATATAAACGCGAATTTCGTAAAATGTTTGAAGAATGACCACAAATCACACATAACAATTAGCCTCAAAGCGATCAATGTTCTTTGGGGATTCCATGCGTGTCCTTGCGATGTGTGTGTGTAGGTGTGTAGGTGTTTCGGGCGGAGGATACGTGTGTGACTGGGTGAGTTGGCGATTCCCTCCGATTTCGATTCCGAGCAGAGGCGGCAGGCAGGCTTCTTATATGGGCACATAGTTGCCCTTGGGCTTGTAGAACCACTGGCCGCGCATAAGACGGCGCCGAATCTCGGACATGAGCAGTCGCTTCTCCTTCTTGATCTTCTTGAGCACACCCTTGTTCTCTTGGGCGCGACGCGACAAGTATGGCAGCACTTCCTCCACAGGACCATATGGTATGTACTTGTATGCCGAGTAGCCCGCTTGACCTGCAAGTGGGAGGATTTCACAGAAAAATTAGTAATTAATTATTAGTCATCAGGGGCAGAATTGGTTTGCAACGCACCCAACGGGAAGGTGATGTAGTCGCACATGCCCAGCAATTGGCCAAAGCAAATGACCTTGTCCTCCGGCGAAATGCCAATCTCCTTCATCTGTTCAATGGCAAAGCGCACAGTGTCTTCGTTATGCGAGGCCACCATGATGCCAATCTTTCTGGCATCCTCAGACGAGTCCTTCATTACCTGAGAGTAGGTGAAAGTAACAGAATTAGTTTATATTTCGATTTAAAATAAAATTTGACAAACCCACCTTGATGCGTCGCAAGCACTCGGAGAGCGTCTTGTGGTACATGGCCGTGGTGGCCTCGAACGTTGGATTGACTGGATCGGGATAGCCCAGCGCCTGCGCACGTGCTCGCTCCTGATCCATGTAAGCGCCGCGCACCAGCTTGGCACCAAAATAGAAATTTTGTCGCTTTGCCTGCTCCATATCGGTGTTGACCTCCCTGAAAGCTTCACGCAGATAGCACTGGTACGTATTGAAAACGATGGCCTTGTCCTTGTTATATTTGCGCATCATTTCCAGGGTGATACGTGAAATAGCCGGCTGGAAGTATGTCTGCTCTGCATCTACCATAATACGAACATCCAGATCGGCAGCAGCCTAGGACACAGAGAAAAAGCAAAAAACGAAAGTCATCAGAGATGCCAGAGCTAAACTACCGATTAATATGATACCTTGACAATCGTGTTGAGGCGACGGATCATGTTCCTGAACATCTCCTCCTCTTTGGGCGGTATTTGTGAGATCAGTCGACGCATCTGGCCTGTCTGGGGATCGGGCACACGGAAAGTGTCACTCAGCTGTGAGTCCTCGTCCACGATACCCGACCAGGGAAACAGATGCAGGATACTACAAAGGATATAATGAATGGATTATGAATATAACTAAACAATTTAGTTAACGACTTACCCTTCCTTATCGGATGTCACATTCTTCAAGAAATCCTTCACATTCTTATTGTCGCCCAGCGAGGCATAATACTTTTCCAGATCCTTGATGGTCTTGTGGTGGGTCAGCACATTGCCCTCACCGCCTACCATCGCCTCCATGTACTTGCGTGTGCGCATAATTACCTCGGACAGTTGCAGCTAACAAAATGGAAATAGAAGGTTATTAATAAAGCCTGTCTTGGACTGTTAGAAAGTTCTATTCCAAATACTTACCAGCAATTGTGGACGGCCAAGGGCGGTGAGTTTGATAGCCGTAATGCCAGTTCCAAAGGTAGCGCCTGTGGTACATTTTTCAAATTGATTTTTTTGGATATGGCAAAGCATTGGAAAAAGAGCCAGAGATAGAGAGAGACAGATTGTGATGAATGCTAGATGCGGTCTCAAGGCAGAGGAGATCCTTAAGCTGAGGTGGTGAGGGAGCATGCAACTAAATAATAAGGAACTAGCATATATACATTTACATATATCTAGCTAACTACTGATATATAAACGATCAAGATACAGATACAGATACACATAATAGCTACGACGACGATGACGACAACAACACCAAATGCTAACTACAACACACACTAACTTGACCAAAAAGGCCAACTCGTTGGCCTTGCTCTGATCCATTTTATGGTATAGGAGCAGGAGCAGGAGTTGTCCATTAATTGGATATTCGAATATTTACTAATTGTTTAGGTTTTATACGTTTTCTTTTTTTTTTGGTGTGGTGTGTGTTTCTCCTTGGTTACTCGGCTTACCCGTGGCCACTGCCCGGGGCACCTTCTGATCGTCAACTTTTTATTTAAATATATATATCATTTTTGATTAGGTTTATTCGGATTTCATTTGAGGATTTCGGTATTGGATTCGGATTCGTATGGATATCGTGCCATTTGTTTTTCGGGATAGTTTGCGGTTTTCATTTCGATTTTGATATCGGGATAGCGGGGCAGAAGAAAGAATTCATTAATAACTCAATCAAAAGTGTGAATAGCAAGAGATAGATAGAAGGGAGAATGTAAATGAGAAAGTCTAGCAGGGATTAGATCAGGCCACTGAACTCTACATGCCTTTCACAGCTCCTGGGGGACTATTATTAACCCTTTTCATATATAAATTCCTATTTAACATTAACAATTAATCTTTGCTTTCAGGTAAAAAGTTGAGTATTTGGTGTAAGCAAAATAGACAATATATATAATAGAATAGAATAGGAAAGCATATTTGTAAGTGAAGTGAGACAAACTCCTAGAACCTTAAACTATAACTTCTAAAGAGATTTTGAAGCCATTTATTAACTTAATATAAAATAAATTATTTAAATTCGGATTCTTGCAATTCCAAAACAATTTTTGTTTAAATTTAAATTCAAATCAAGATCCAATCTTTTTATTTTGGCTATCAAAACGCTTTTCCTTAAGTGCAAAATTAATAAGAGGTAAAATAAGAACGTGGAATATAAAAAAAGGCATTCTCAAAACCATTCACCAAGCTTCTTACTTAAAAACAAACAAAAAACAGAGAATTGTAGGTCATGCTATAACAAATATATAAAGGTAACAAGAAGGTGACAAGGTGACGGTACAACAATACTGTAGGAAGAGGCAAAGGCGAAACTGGAAATCTGTAAGGACATACCCGAAACTGCCTCCAGACACTTGATGAAAGTCTCCATATTGCGCTCGCAGGTGGCCTCGTTCAGATAGAAGTAAGTGCGAGCACTGCTCACCTTGTAGCGGCGATCGGCAAAGGACTTGTCCACATGATACTGTGGCATGCTGTCCTCCTCCTTGTTATCCTTATTATCGCCAGCACTGGAAACGGAAGATCTAAAGAATGGAAGGTATAAGCATTAATGACAACACTCTTAATTGAAGTGAAATTTAGGTTTAAAAACTCACTCAACTTCACGTTTCTCAGCCTCCTCCTGGGAGATATCCTCTTCAACGGAATAGTCAAGGATCGGCTTGACACCAAACGATCGTAGTCTGTAAATATTTTAATTTCTCATTAAAACAGATCTCACAAAATACTTTCAATATATACACACACAAAAGTATTAGTAAAATAAAAAGAATTTTGAGTATGGTTTTGTTAGCGTTTCGAATGGGAATATTAATTTTGAGTGCAGCTGGGATGCATTTATCTTCGATTGTTGGATGTATTTTGATCTGATTGTACTTGGATCATACACATGCTGGCGGGCTTTGGGATGTCCTTTGATAGAACTTTATATAAATTAGTTTAGCAACATGTGTGCATCTTTACATATATATTAATTTGAGCTATACAAATACAGTCAGAAAGTGACATAAATTACATAAATATCAAAATTAACAATTAACAACTTTATGTGCCAATCGAAATAATAAAATCTATTTTAATTAAGCTTAATTGTGCAAGCCTTTGAAATATATAATATATATAATTTTCGTATATTTTATGGCACCTCTTGATGAATATTTTACTTTACTGATTAAGCCAATAAGATTTTAACTAACACAGTCATATATGTATAATTATCATCTTAATAAACTTAACGGCATTTAGCACTTTTAATCATCATAATAATAAATCATAATAATAATGATAATCATCAATAATAAAGCCACTATTTACTGACCAAAAATGTATGACTCTACATGTTATGGGATATATTGATATTATTAAGGGGATGCATCAAGGACTTGGGGGTTGCTGTGCATAGGAATAGAGTTGGTGGGGAGGTGGGTTAACCTCTCTAGGGCTGGCACAATGGTGTGCCGATTCTCGCCGGCTACAAAGTGTCCGTAGAAGCTGGACTTCATTAACAGGACGAAGAGTTTCTGGCCGAGCAGGTTACGAGCCAGTTTCAGTAGCTGCTTAACGGCAATCCGTTGTCGGTTATCGGTAATCGGTAGTTGGTAATCGGCATTTTTTCGATTTATTTGTATAGGATTTCCGTTACATACAAGTGTGGGCATTTTAAGCGGGTTTCGCATAACCATTTCGCAAATTGCAAAATGAAAACGTGAAGTAAACACAAAACCAAACGAGCGGCGATAAGCAAAAAGTAAAAGATAAAGAAAAAAAGAAAAGAAAAGAAAAAAAGAAAAGGCGATAAGTGAGTGGGAGTGTCGTGTTGGGCAATTACCTTTCCAATGTGGGTATGATCTTGATCTGATCCTCGCCGGCGACAAAGTGGCCATAGAAGGTCGCCTTCATCAATGCTGTAAATAACCGTTGACCCAATACTTGCTTTGACCATTTCATAAGCTGCGAAATTTTCGTTTGTTTTGATCGTTTTTATGCGTTTTTGTTTTTAAGGTTTTAGTACATTTTGTTTTTTCATTTTCGGTTATTATAATACATATAGTTATTGCAGGTGTGTTTGTTTTGGCAGCAAAATTGTATATTGAATTGAATTTGAAATAATTTTTAATTTATTTAGTTTATTGCATTTTTGTTTTTTAGTATTGTTGTTTTAGATATAAAAGAGAGTAGGAGGCATTTAGGGTGAAAAGAAAGCACAGAAAATACATTGGTAATAGTTGCTGCTCCTAGCTAAGTCTTCTCTCTGTCTCTCCTTCATTTCTGCGATGGTTTTTGCCTCGTTTCCGATTCCGATCCCACATAAATCATTTTGGAATTTGGCCAAAAAAAAAAACAAAAAAAAACAAAAAACGTGAAAGAGTCAAGGCCAAGAAGGCTGCCAAAGTCCAAAAAATACATATTGTTTTGCAGCGGAAGCAGAGAGGAGTAAAGATGCTGGGGAAAATGCGACAAATATGCTCTTTTGCGGGGGCTAAAATATTATCATTTAATTATTTCAGCACTTGTTTTTCCAAATCAGGGCCAGACGGAGTCCATTAACCTGAACAAAAGTCCAAAACGAAAATAAACCATTGCTAGGGGAGATGGCAAACAGAATAGGAGTAAGAAGCCCGATATCTTAGGCATTATAAAGGCTCAAGTATCTATAATATTTTATATTTACATTCACTTTTTGGCTGACTAGCAAAAGCTTTGACTCAGCGGACCAGCCTCTGTATGATACTGAATGTATATTAATACTGATTGTATATTAACACTCTAATTATACTCTATGCTTTAATTTATGAAGTTAAAGCTAGGAAACCTATTATTATCCCAGCAAAATGCATAAGAAAATGCAGCTGGACGCATGTTGCCAGAAACATGTTGAGCAACACTTTTGGGTTAAGGCAACACATCAAAGTTAAAGAGGTTCATCTTAAAGAGATGCTTAATTATTAAAAAGAGCCTATTTAATATAAATTTTTTAAATTTTAGGTCAATTTAATATTTGTATATTTGTGGATTGCTTTTGGATATTTCAAACTTTATAAGCAGCTCTTCAGCATCAAAATAGTTATAGGAACAGAACAAATGCTTTCAAAAAAAGGTTTCCTTAGCAAGCTAAGCTCAAAGAGCTCTCTATGGGAAATTCCATTCATCTAACCAAGAAAATCTCAAACACCTGTCCTTAATGAATGAAACAATTAAAAATTAAACTGACATTTGCAGAGTGTCTTCTCAGTTTCTTCCTGTATATTTAAGAGCCATTAAGTGAACCGGAAGATTTCCAGGAAAAGGGAAAAATAAAAAATAAAAAAAAATCAAGGCATTGCCCTTTGATTCAAGTAATTGCTGCTGCTGCTGCTGCTGCTCCTCCTCACCCTCGCCGGGCACGTGTGGTAAACTCCGTCTGGTGCGCGAGCCATCAGATGAATGACAAAACGGAGGAATGGGAGGAGGAGAAGGAACCGGTTTCGCTGACAGCCAACAGCATCAAAGTAATTAATTGAGTACAAAGCGGGGCAGACAAATATATATAGTATATACAATATATATATAAAGACAACGACATCAACCAAAACTGGTTACATAAAATATGTATATATTCTCGTTTCACATTCTATTTCTCTTCAGTTGTTCTGGGTTTTTCGGCTTTTTCTCTTTTGCTTTCTTTTTGGCAAACAATTCGAGAATTTGAGGCAAAGTAATCGCAACCGAGGACAGGTGTTTGTCGTTGAGCTCTGGCCCCAAAAACCTGGCACAACTGGCAACTGCCACTCATTCCCCGATTATCATCATCGCCCGCTTCTTTGTACCACCCCCTCCACACACACACACACACACACCCGGCACACAGTCGAAAACTCTCACATTAATGCCCATTTTCTCACATCACGAGACCCTTGCCGGTCGCCAAAAGCAATCGACGCGATACTGTAAATAGAACTAGCGAAAAAAAGCAACTTAAAAAACTATAGAATACACTTGAAGCTAAAATATATTAAAGCTGATTTCTAGTTAGCTATATTTCCTAAATTTAATAGCCTTAAAAATTAATATACAAATAAAATAACCTTTGGGAGCTGGCCTTACCATTTTCTTCCCTAAAGTTTATTCTAATTTTTGTAAATTATTTAAATAGTTTATTCGTTTTTAAATGAATCCAATTGTTCCTGAAATTAATGCATTTTTTGAGCTGTGTATCATGGCATATACCGGCTGACTAATACCACATGTGATGTCTCGGTTCTCGGGTCTCCGTTGTCAGTGCTCAGGTAGCTGTGTGGAATATACTCCCCAACCATTATCCATTTATACAAATTGCGCTTGGAGCCAAGCAAAAATAAAAAAAAAAAACTGGTAAAACGGAGAACCGACGCATGCACTTTTAGTAATCGATAAGCAATCAAAACTATTGTCATGCGATAACAATGCCAACGTAATTAAATTGAGAGAGTGAGCCAAGTGGGGTTTCCCAACTATAATATATAGCAACGCATTTTGATTGGCGCTACTTTTGGGGGCCTGACTATATAATGGGCTACTATACTATACATATAGCTATACTCATAGCTATACCTATACCTATACTATATGGTTTGTGGTCTTTAAGCAAATACGCACGAGTTTAGGAGGCACACGGCAACCACAGACAAGGCCAGCTCACCTCACAGCCCCCATATCCCCCACACTCTGCTTAAATTTGTAATTTGCATGGCCAAGTTTTCCTTTTTCCTGCCATCAATGAGTCAGTCTTTGAATCATGCGACTGCAGCCACCTGCTAGAGAATAGCAACAACCCTACACACGAGTCAATTAGCCGTGAATTCATCCCAAAAACAAAAGAAAATAAAAGGGGGGGGGGGGGTAAGAAATGGTAACGAGAAACCCCCTTCGAAGTAGCCGCAAAAAGCGGAAGGAAATGCAAGCACCTGACATGCTTTTCCCTTTAGAGAAAAAGCAGGTGAAAATTTTGAAACTAGCAGCTGATAAACGAACAGATCGTGGATAAAGCTTATGAATTCCTTAAAAAGTGACCAACAAACAGTTGCTTCAAGAACAATCTGGCAAATTAATCTAGTGACAACATTGTTAAACTTTAAAGTTATAACTCACGTAATTTGTTTTTAAATCAACAAATGTGTTTCGCAAGTCCAGAGAATGTTTCCATTAATTATAAACAGAAACTAAAGTCTTTATAAGCAAATAAAAAACAGAGAAACATTTGGTATTTATTGATTAATACACTCTTATAGTGTTAGATTTAGTTAGTTCGTTTTTTGAACAGATTTAAAGTTTTAATGGCAATGAATAAATAAATAAAAATTGAAATAAACATTTAACAGGAAAGGAAGCTTGTTTGGGGAAACCGAAATTAATATACCCTTGCAGTTTGCAATTAAATCGATTTGGAAATCGATTTTCGAAATCGAAAGATGAATCTGATCTTCTTCAGAACCTTTTCCTTTTCGGTACTTTCGCTTTCTAAAGGCCTTAAATTCCAGGAAAATTTGTGAAAAATTAGCAGAAAGATATGAGAGACAGAGATAGTGCACTCAGTTAGACGAAAAATAAAAGCTTAGAAAGAACAGAGCAAAGAGGACTGGGACTGGAACTGGAACGGGGGGACTCGTAACAGACAAGTATATCATATAATGGCGGAGAACTCACCGTCATGTTGTGCTCGACTAGCTTCTCGCTGGAACAGATCATGTAGACCAAATAGGCTCGCATCAGTTCCCATGTGGTCTTGCTCTTGAAGGCGGCTATCGGATCATTGAAGCTTACGTCCAGCGGATCACGTTGCGGTGATCCGGCTGGTGTTCCCGCAGACGGTGGTGGCTTATTCTGATGAGGGCTCCGCTTCAGCGCATCGGTGCTTGTTACCAGCTCCGGCTGCACCACGGTCGATGCCTGCATAGGACGATCGCCCGAATGCAGGTAGCGAACGCTGCCGCCTCCATCTCCTCCTCTCGCTGCTACTGCTGCTGCTGCTGCTGCTACTGGAGGAGCTGCCGCCTCTGAACCGCTCCGCCTGTCCCGTTGAAAGCTGCGACAGGCGGCAACGGCCACGGATCCGTTGGACTTGCCGTAGACCAAACTGATGGCTGTTCGTTGGGCGCTCAGCGAACGGAGTAAAGCCATTACAATGGGATGCTTCCAACAGCGGTGTGGCTTCTTCGATTATCGGCTGAGATGCTGTTGTTGTTGATGATGTGGATGGATGCTGCTCCCTCTGCCCTCCGGTATTTCTCTCCTGACTGCCTCTGAGCGGTTTATCTTCAAGACCTTAGCTGCAGCTGCTAGAACAAAAATTTTGTTTAAACAGCATAGTTAAAAAGTTAGGTCTCTAAAAATTACCAAAGAATATTATTAATTACAGCTAATTTTGCCTTGTTTGCATACTAAAATTGAAGAAAATAATATAAAATACTTATAAATCAAATCAAATCAATCCGAATTGAATCAATTAAAAAACAATCGAACCAATTACGGCTACTTTAGCTTGGTGTTTTTTAGAAAACAAATTAAAGTTGAATCAAAATCATTAACATTTACAAATATCTCGCGAAAAGAACACTGTAAATCGCCATATAATCTCAGATTTATCACAGCTGATTTTAGCTAGATTTATCTACAGCTTTTCGACCGCTCTCCCTCTCTTGCTCTCTCCAGCTGCTCCCGCTACCGCTCCCTCTACCGCTTAGATGTTATACAACAATTGCAAAAAGGGGAACGAGAGAGCGAGCACGCGAGAAGCTGAACGAAAAAAAAAACAGAAACAGAAAACGTAACAACACGAAACACACGTACACGAGTACACCTCCGAAAATATTCAATTAAAAAGAAATTTCAATTTCTGCGCTATGCTCTGGCCAGCCTTCTTGCTGCTGCTGTGACTATGTACATATGTCTTTTGGCTCGTTCTCTGCGGTGCCTCAGGTTCTTTGGCCTTTTTTTTCGGTTCGGTTTTATTTACGCTATTACGCTTTTGCACACCGCAAAAGCACAAAACACAATGTGACGAAATGAAATGAAAACTAGGGCGAAGCGAAAGGGGCGAATTGGCGCGGCGAATCCACGAAGGGTGTCACGAAGGAGACCCGAGGTCTGCGAAAATCCTGTTCGGCTGTCGCCGCGTTTACATAACTGTAACGTTGCCGCCTGTGACGTCACACGCACAGCGAGAGGAATTAGGACTTGCAACTGGCGTTATTTTTTATTGTTGCCCTTTTTGTTTTGATTTAATTTGATTTTATTTAATTGAAATGCGACGGCAATACGTTAATTGGTGTTAAGTGCGCCTCCTGCTGCTCCCGCCTCCCCCTAATCCTGCTTCAATTAATTAGCGGTCCGCTAAATAATCGCCCGACGAGCAGAGCAGAGCGGAGAGGAGCGGAGAAGCTGCAATCAAACAAAACTTGGCGGGTTTCATTGCACAGATTTCATTACAGTTCATTATGCTCTATGGCTGTATAATGTGTGGGCTGTGTGCCCCCTCTCGCTCTAGCGTCTGCCGATAGACCAAGACGAAGCGACACCAAATTGCAAATTCATCAGAATATCTTTTTTTTATTTATTTTATTATTTTGTTTGTTGTTGCTATGCGGCGAATATTAGGTACCGTACCTATTATATAACACCGCTCTCTCTCTCTCTCTGACACTCTCTATTCGTGTCTCTCTGGTTTTTTAGAAATCCTTTTATGCCAAAAAAAACCTACCTTTTTAATTGACCTCTCGCTATCTCCGGTCTCCACTTAAAATGTTCTCTTCTTTAGTGCTTAAAATCAAGCATTTACTGAGCATTAGAATCGAAGAAAATACTTAAAACAATTAGAGCTTGGACCGGGAAAACCCTTGGGGTTTTTGGGGTTGTAATTTTATCGAATCCCTTCCACTGTTTTTCCGGGAGGGGAAAAACGGCGATTTTTTGCTGTTTTTTGACAAACGTTTCTTGGCAGCCTGCTTTGCTGTTTAATTATTATTGTTTTTAATAATTTGTATTATTATTTTTCTCACCTCACACACGCGCACACACAGAAAGTAATATTCGTTAAATTCTTTTACTTCGTTTTTGGTTACGAGGGTTTTTACTTTTTTTGCTGCGCGACGAGAGAGCGGCAGAGCGAGCGTGTGGCACAACGCACGCGGAGGGGAGCGAGATAGAGAGTACTGAAAGAGTCTGAATGCGCGAACCGACTGAAAGCTGAAAAAGCGACACGAAACGAAACGATTTCATTAGGCCAACATTTGGCGGCGTCGCTGCGCCTGGCGAAATCACTAGAAATCGCGAAATTGAGAAATCGAATCGGAATCGAATTTGGGAAAGGAAAATATCAATCGGCGCCATCTTGTCTGTAACGCCCAATTGGAGGGCAGCGGCTTATCTACGCGACTGGCGGTTGGCCCGGAAAACTGACTCTTATCATCGGGCTCTCGGGCTCCTCCTTTTGCTCCCTTGCCCAAGCTATTTATCACGCGTTTTTCTTGTGCACTTGCTTCTGTACTGGCTAAAATTCGTAATTTGTAGTTTAAATTTGGCGGCATCTGGTAACGCTCGTGTCATTCATTATATTTATCGATAACAATTGCAGCGTATTCGAAGACTTGGTGTAATAATTGAATTGAATGTAATTGAACATAATATTTTCACTTAAAAGCCGTGTCAAACCCAAAAACTGTCAATTGTCATTAATAGTGTTCATTTTTTAAATTATATTCCATATTCGAATTAAAAAAAAAAAACAACTTAAGTGGTGTATAGCTTTACCACCAAATGTCTTATTGAATATTTTGTGATTAACAAGAAAGGAAGCTAACTTCGGCACGCCGAAGTTTATATACCCTTGCAGATAGAACTTCTATGAATAGGAATCCATACAATATAAATTATATATATTTGTTTTAAAAAACAATGAAGTAATACCTGCTTTCATTTCATTCACCTATACATATTATATTTGTAGTTTTACATTCACTGATTTGCATTTTTCCTCCACATCAAACGATCGTTTGTATGGCATCTATATGATATAGTCGTCCGATTTTTATGAAATTTGCCACAAATTTTAAGACTTATATAAAATGACTATACCTCAAATTTGATGAAAATCAGCTGAAAACTAAAAAAGTTATAAATTTAATTGTATTAATTTCTCGATCGTTCCTATGGGAGCTATATGATATAGTATTCCGATTTTCATAAAATTTTGTAGAAAATTGAAGAGTATAGAAAAATGGCTATATCTCAACTTTGATCCAATTCTATTGAAAACTGAAAAAGTTTAAATTTTTTTGTAAAAATTTTCCGATTATTCCTATGGCAGCTATATGATATAGTCGTCCGATCCGGCCCGTTCCGACATACATATTTACGAGTGAGAGTATATAGAAGGCTAACTACAAAGTTTCATTCAGATAGCTTCAAAACTGAGAGACTAGTTTGCGTAGAAACGGACAGACGGATAGACGGACAGACGGACAGAAGGACAGACGGACATGGCTAGATCGACTCGGCTGTTGATCCTGATCAAGAATATATATACTTTATATAGTCGGAGGTGCCTCCTTCACTGCGTTGCAAACTTCTGACTGAAATTATAATACCCTGCAAGGGTATAAAAATAAAAAGGAAAGAAAAATCATTTCAATACAGTATATGAATTAACATTTATATATTTACGCCAGGTATAAACCCTTGGTTACCTGTTAAAAAAATATATACCTCTTATATTATTTATTTATATTTTTTTTATTCAATTTACTGAAATTTTAAATATTGAAATAACCATGTTGCATTTGACTTTAAAATAATTTATTTTTGTTTGCAAATTGTTTGCGTTTTGACAAATATAGCAATAAATTACGACTACATATTAGAAATAATATTATTATAATAATTAACATTTAATGAGCGTTCGGCTGTTTTTGTTATTGTGGCTGCTAAAGTTGTTATTGTTAAACGCTGGCCCAATTTCAAAGGAGAAACTTAACAAGAAAACAAAAAACAGAACAAGATATCTAAATAAAAAAATATATATATGCATATATGGGTGTGAAATTGATGGAGGAGTAGGAAGAGGTAGTCCCCACTATCCATCATAACAATAAAGTAAAAAAAAAACATAATTCGCTGCTTTTTACATAATATTATTGACTAAATTGTAGATCAACGAATGTCTCTGTCTGTCTGTTTCTCCAATTCCCTCCGTGTCCATGTCGCCACCAGATTTCGATTTCAAATTGATTTTGATCATGAAAAAAATATAATATGCTATGCATTTGCTTCTACTCTTCCATTTTTGGTTAACAAATTTGAAAAGCAGAATATATTTGTAATATATCTGCAAGTTTTTGTAGAATTTCTGCTTCAGAAATTCATAAATCAATCAAAAAACGTTAATAATTAGAACGTGCCTAGGGTGGAGAGAGCATATCTTCCAATAACAGTAAGCAAAAGCATAAAGATTACCTCGGGGACAGTGAGGCCGTCCTAGAGGGAGCGACTTGGTGCTGGTGGTGTGTTGCGGTGTTGCTGCTGTTGCTGCTGTTGTTGTGTTAGTGATGCTGCTGGCGCTAGTTAAACTTGCTGTTCAGCTCAGTGCGATTGGCGGCCACTTCGGCCAGAATGAGTAGATCTGAGGTAGAGGAGGTCATCACGTCGTAGGCCGCCGGTGAGGAGAGCGACAGCGATGACGACGACGATGAGGAGTTTGAGGAGAGTGGCGGCGACGACGACGATGGCGATGATGATAAAGAGGTGGCATTAAAATTGACATTGTTGCTTAACGCCCTGGGCGCATCGCTCTGGTCAAAGTAGTAGCAGCCGTTGATGGTCAGTGGCAGAATGGAGGCCACCTCCTGCTCGATGGCGCTAACATCGCGCCGCGTGATGCTTTCCTTACGTGCCTTGCGTCGCTGACTGCCCACAGCGGCAGCAGCCTGCTGTTGCTTCATCCGTACCAGATCACTGTTGACTGCCACGGATGCTGCTCCCTTGCCGGAGGCTGGCACTGGGGTAGTCGCTGTCCCTGCTTCAGCCGCTCCCACTCCACTGGTGCTGTTCGAGTTTCTTTGCTTCTTGCTGCCGCTAAACTTCTTCTTCTTTTGGTGCTACGCTTGCGCTGCAGATAGGCATCCAGGCTCAAAGCCGGCAGCTCCTTAATCTTCTCCTCCAGATCAAAGAAACCACTGCTGCTCGACTCGGACACACTCCTTAGATGCACTGGACTGCTTGTGTCCTTGTGGCATTCTGGCGGCGACACTGGTGGCGTATTAGGTGCTGCGTGCAATGAGATATCCACAAAGTTGCCACCGCCACCGCCGCCGCCTCCAAGGATCATTAAATTAGCAGACGGGGTGCGAAGAGTCTTACTCTTGCTTTTGGCTATGGCCGAAAGTTGGCCGGAGTTGACCAGTTCCTGATATATCTTGCCCTTGCAGGAGCGCGACGACTTTGCCTTCTTGCTGGGCGATATACCAGCCGCCGCTGCTGCCACCGCCTCCTCCTCACTAGAGTTACTAGAGGTACTATCCGGTAAGGAGCGCTTGGCCCCGCTTCCGGTTTTGGTAGCACCAGCAGGTGGCATATGGGCGGATAGAAACTGGCTGGTCTCGCTGAGCACCTGCTGCAAGGCGTAATCTTTCTCCGGCACCTGAACCTGGAGCAGGGAGCTCAGGTCACCCATCTGGGTCTCGTCCGCAAGCTTAAAGTAGTTGCGTCGCAACAAGGCCAGTGGTACGCCGTTTGCGCCGCGCTCTGCTCCTGCCCACTGCAGCTGCAGCTGTTGGGCCGAAGTAGGAGGAGGTGCCTGCTGCTGGACCTGATCATCGCAAGAATGGAGGACTCCACCGGTTGCCGCATTGCTGGGACGGGTGGCCAGCGTTCGCAGCGGCGGCGCCGGCAATTTGTACCACTTGAAGTTGGGATTTGCATTGAAAAAGGCGTCCTTGTTCTGCAAAGTATTGAAACGTGTTAGAGGATGAAAGCGAGGAAGAAAAACAATAGGGAACTTACCTGCTGTGCCAGATCTGTGAAGCACTGCTTCTCCTTCTCCTCGAGTGCGGCCCACCAATCGCCCAGTATCTTGGTGATAGCTCTGCAAAGATGAGAACGGAGAATAGTTCATCTCCTGATCTATAAACTTTATTAAGGGCCGGAGGAACTCACCGATTCTCCAGGGTTTTGTAGCGCTCCTTGACTATGGCGCGATGGCGCTTGCAGAAGATAAGGAACGCGTTCATTGGGCGGCGGGCATGGTGTTCGGGTCGGATGCTGTCCGCCAATGCCTGATCCTGCTGCTGCTGCTGAGTCTGCTGCGATGGATGCTCCTGCTCCTGGGGCGGCACAGTCACCACATCCACGTCCACATGCTCCTCAGTGTCCTCTCGTCGAATGCGGGTTACCACTTGCTGCACAGGTAACTGCACCTGGATCCCCTTCTCTTCGTCTTCCTCTTCATCCTCGCCCAGTTCTTGTTCCTGCTCCTGCTCCTCTTCCTCCTCTTCATCGTCATCGACGTCATCATCGTCGTCATCGGCATCGTCGCTGCTGCAATCCTGCAGCTTGGCATAGTTGTGCACATCTTCGATGCGTCGAAAGGCATTTTCTTGGTCCTCGGTGCGCTGCGGCTGAGGGTTTACTAAGGCACTCCGGACTGCTGCTCCTCCGGGAGACTTTAGCTGGCCAGCTGTTATAGTAGCTGCTGCAGCTTTGGCCAGTGATGGTTTCTTCCTGGTCACAGGCATCGACAGCCAGCGAAGACTTGTGGCTGTGGCTGTAACCTTTGCGGGGCCAGCAGCTCCTACTCCCGCTCCTGGCGAGAGCCGTTTTGTGGCCTCCACTGTAGCTCCTGTAATCCCTTGAAAAGCACCCTGAAAGGCGTTCGCTGTTGAATATGCAGATACGCGAAAGGGTAGAATAGTATCTTCGAATCCCCACAGGACAGGTCCTGATCCTGGCGGCATGGGGCTTAGCCCACGGCAAGCAACGCGTCGTGCTGGCACTTCCTCTGATGCTGCTGGTGCCGATGATGGCGGCGGTGCTGCTGCAATTGAATTGGGCAGATGATCATCGCTCTCCTCGCTTAGAGTGGGCTTGTAGAAGCCCATTGGCTGCATAGGCATGGGTGGAACAGGAGTGGGAGCAGCAGCAGCAGCTTCATCTGATAATTTTCGTCGTATTAACTCGATTTTTTGCCACCTATTATTATTGTTGTTGCTCATTTTGTGCTCCATTGTTTTAAGGCCACTGTAGTTGCTGCTCGAATTGTTGCTACTATTGTTGTTATTATTGCAGGCAAAGTGCAATTTAATTGCAGCACCTACTGGCGTCACCTGCTGACCAGCAGCAGCGTTGATCATCGCTCTCTCTCGTTGTTGCTCTCACTGTTGCTGTCGCTTATCTCTACGCATCCAAACGTCGATCCTTGCACACATATTACGCTGCAAAAGAGAAGAGAAAACGTTGCAATTTCCTTATAAAAACAATATTTCCACTTTAGTTTATTGGCCGAATTTCACAAATACAGAAAACGAACGGGGCTGCCAATGTGGCTGGAAAAAGGCAAGAAAGAAACAGAAGAAGCGAAGAGAAGAGAGAAAGAAAAAAAAAAAAAAAACAATTGGCAGCCCCCTTTTGCGATATTGAGTTGTTTACAAAAATTTCTGAGCAGTTGGAAAGAGAGACAGAGAAGGCTAAACAGTGCGCTATCAGCTGTGTGTGTTTGTTCTGCTGCTCTCTCTTTTCAACCTCCTGAAAGTTTCCTTAAACAACATGCACACGCACACAACCAAAGCTTGAGCTGTTTTTTTATTTTTAATTTTTAATTGTTATGACATTTTATGAGCTATTTAAGGCAATAAGTAAATAAGTGTATATTTATATACGTACGATCACAAGCTTTCTTTAATTGCAAAAACAGATATTGGGAAGAAAAATACATAAGGGAAAAGGGGATAACGGAAAACAAAAGTCATGGCTTCTTTAATTCAGTCAGATTTTGCAACACTGAGTTTGCACATACACACACGCATTTTTATTCGAACGTTCTTCGTTCCGATCGATTGGGTTTTAATAATTTAACAGACAACTTGTTTTTGGCCCGCTGTTGCACAATTATCTGACAACAACAAAGAAAAAAGAGAAAAATAAATAACAAATGGGAAAAACAACGAAAACGAAAACAATCAAACTACTGGCTACGTGTACAGCTGAGCGCAAGCCTGTGTATGAGTGTGTGAGAGAGAGAAAGAGTGACAGGCAGAGAGAGAAAAAGAGAGTGAGTGACAGTGAGTGCGTTGCCTTCTCTCTTTTTCGCACAGTTCGCTTTGAACTTGATTACGCCGCCTTGTTGCTTTTATTATTCTTATTGTTCCGTTTTTGTTTGTGCGAGCAACGCACTGCCTTTGTTTGTTTTGTGCTTTATTTTTGTTAATTTTTGCGATGATTCGCAGGGATAGATGGTTTAATGGTATTGGAGTGGGTGAGCGGGAGCGGGAGGATCGCCAGCGTTGCCACTTTACCTAAAGTAAAGCGCAGCTGTCAGCTGTTGGTTACCGTTTCTTCTTCTTGCTGTTTTCGTGCTGCCCAGCTACTATCTCTCTCGTTCTCGCACACGCACACAAGTGCACACGGTCAAGGCCAAGATATTGGGACGACAAAGGGTCGGTAGGTGGCTGTGAGTGAGGGGAGGGGCTGGCAGCCATAACCTTCAAACGTTTAGTCCTCGTTTTCTAGGTTAGGTTTTCTACTGCCTTGAAATGCAATCTTTAGCCTTTCATTTATAAATTAAGAAACGAAAAAAAAACAATACGCACACATACAAAGTTATGAAAAAAATTCTCCCGCAAATAAAGTTCACCCACACACACACATAAACACATACGCACACAAGCAGCCAACAGCTGATGACGTTTGTTATTTGTGCGCGTCGCTTATTTTAAAGATTTTTCGAACAAAACAGAAATCTTTAATGAAAAGCACTGCACTGAGTTTAAGCATAAATAAAGCTACGTTTAAATCGAAACAATCAAAGCGAATTACTTGACAATCCGCTGTCGAAGGAATAATTGTATCTGCTCTCGTTTAATTAAATTTCAATGTTGATGATGTCAAATGAGAATGAAAACTGACTGTGTTTTCTGTTTTTGTGTTTTTCTGCAGCGACTAGCGGCGGCGACGTCAGCAGCGACTGTGGCAGCGTAGACGACACGACGATTGGGAGACGGCGAAGCCCCGCACAGTGGGCCAAATTGGGAGAGGGTGGATAACAGCAACAGACATTATATTTAGTATAATGTCAATGTAAGAGATAAAAACTATTTGTTTTTGGAAATACAGGATTTCACCTGTTAACGCTAGCATTTCAGGGAAAAATTAAATTCGCAATGTAGCCCACTGTTCGGTTGCGCCGCTGCTGACGTTCAACTGCGCGCAGCAGCAACGGCAACAGCAACAACAACCGCATACAGTGAAATGAATTTTATTTTACTTTTTCTTTCTGCAGGCGCCTTTGTGTGTATGTGCATGGGGCAGCTCCCCCCACATTCGCATTCGCAGCGGCGCATCCACACCTCTCTCCAAAAACAATAACAAAATAACCGTTTACCGAGCGAGAGAACCTGACTGCGCTGCTTGTCTCTTTTGCACTTGCGTGCAGAGCTCATTAGCAGTGCTCGCTCAGCTGTTTTCTATTTGTGTTGTTAACGGGAGAATTGCGAGGAGTGCAGCTGATATCTTTTGGAGAATAATAACAATAATCAGAAAGGGTGAATTTGAGAACGATATTCAATGGATACTCAAATAAATCATGTAAACAATGGGTTATGATCCCTAAGAAACCAGATTTCAAATATGTGAACATAGGAAAAATTATCAATTAAGGGTTTACAACGTTAAGTTAGTGGTTAAGTTTTTGAAATAAATATAAAAGGGTTAGCAATGAAAGTTCTTTAAAAAGAACTTTTAAACTTGCGGAAAAATATATCAAAGTCTTCCCCTTTCCATCTTTAGCTCTCTTGTACTATACATTTTCTTCCAACAAGTTGATCGACAATTTTCAGTTATAACTGTGTGTGTGTGAATTAATATACACCCCACTCAAAGAAACCAAACAAACCATTGCCGTGCGTTTTGTTTTTTTATTGCATAACCACATTTAACAGTTTTGCTCGAACGGTTGCCGATTCGGTTTGTTTGCAATTTGCATTTTTGCCGAAGCACAACAACAATGTTATTGTTTTTCAAGGTCACGCACACCAGCGAACGACCCAGAGATGAACAACACCACCACCCACCGCCCACCGTGCACCGTTAATCGCCGACAAACGGTTCAGGTTTGGAGGTTCACTTCAGTTCGTGGCTCTTCGGCTCTCTGCTCCTCTCGTTTGCTCTGCCTCTTTCTTTCGGCGAGAGAGCGACACAAGCTTGCAAGCAAACTGGCTATCACATACACACACACACACACACGGCCCGCCTAACCTACACCTACACATAGCCAGTGTGTGCCATTTTTTGGGGGCGACAGAGGCGGGAGGATACCTTTATGCACTATATCTGACTCTCTCTATCTGCAATAGTTGTTTGTGTGCCAGTTTTCAGGGTCAGGGAAATTCGATTTTTGTATGTCTGCCTCTCTCTGCTTCTTTTCATTCATCATTCTCCGCTTCTTCCGAGCGGCTTTCCTTTTGCCCTCTAACAAACGCAACAACAAACATTGTCAAGGCTAAAATTAAGAAGTGAAGAACCCCATTGAAAAATGGGGAATATTGGGGCAGCACTGAGAACTTAATACTTTTTCTCTAAAATGACAAGTATTTATGCCGATACGGCGAAAAGACGCGAAATATAATTTAAGGAAATTAATTAATGTATGCATTATTTGTTATTAAAATGGTTGAATTTTATATGGGAGTCTTATCTTATTTATGAAAATGTTTATTAAGAAGCTTCTAAAATTAGACCATTTTCTCATTAAACTTTAATAATATTTATGGCACACATACGATTGCTAATATAAATAAATTAAAATTAAAATTTTGGTTATACTTTTCTTTTATATAGTTCAGTAAAAGTAAAAGCAAAAAGCTTTCAGTGTCTCTCCACCGATGTTAGTGAACTTTAAAAAGAGGCAGGGACCACGACCACGCCCATTTCCGCAGATCCATAATATTCTGTTCCATTATATTCTCAGTCTCTCAAAGAGAGCCAAACAATGATAAGACTTATCGCACAAACAACTATGGAAACTGGAGAGTCAAAATACGGGGCGGGGAGCAGACTAAGCCGATAACAAAGAATATATATATTGCATACTAGCCAAGATATATTTTAGTCTAATAAGACAATATTTAACCTTATATTAAAACAAAAATAGAACCTAACTACGGGGAGCCGAAGTTTATATCCCTTTGTAGTTTGCAATCGAATTATACGACCGAATTGAAAATCGATCATTGCTAAGCTTAAAATATTCGCATTCTTTAAATCAAAATTTACATATCTATATTTTATAAACAAATTAAAGTAAAAAAACTATAACTAAGCCAAAAAGCATTAATCTTAATTCGAAAAACTGTCATATGCTAGTTTTTATCAGTTAAATAAATCTGTATACTTTTTTAAAATTAAAAAAAATTAAACTTTTTTTTTTCAAATATGCTGACGATGAAACCCCTAATAAAATTTTGAAAAAATTGGTACAATTTTTTTCTGCCGGTGTTGTCTAGTTCGATTCGGCTGTTGATCCTGATCAAGAACATATATGATTTATAGGGTCGGAAATGACTCGGTCACATTGTTACAAGCTTCCGACTAAAATTAGAATACCGTGCAAGGGTATAAATATATCAAGCTGTTTTCCTGCCTCAACTTTAAGTGCAATAATGATACATATTTATGAACTCAATAATACATGCGTCTAATCTGTTGTTTTATTCATTTTTAATTTCATTTTCAAAGATTATTGCAATAATTATCCACCTATTTTATGATTCCTTTCAACTTAAATAGTTGCAATATCAATTATTATCCGCATGTACATTATCTTAAGGCTTTAAATAAGCCATATACAAAGTATGTGGGGTATATATTTCCTTTTTGGATCGGATAACAGCTTAATAGTCTCTATGTATATATATATTTCTTACAACAGCGAAATTTCTTGAAAATTGTGGTCGAATTAGGCCCTTTCCATTTTTAAAACTCAGAGATGATATATAACAAGATCCTGAAACAGTTTCCAATCAAGATTTGCATTATTTTTTTATATTTAACTCACCCATTTTGACAGCAGCAATTATCACGCTCGAGGAAATCAGCAGCAAACAGCTAACGCTTTAAGACATTGATGAAGGTCTCGTGCGGCACTCGGATATTGGCGAACATCCGCATCTTCTTTTTGCCCTCGGCCTGCTGCTTTAGGAGCTTCATTCGGCGGGTTACATCACCGCCATAGAGCTTGGCGGTCACATCCTTGCGATAGGCCTTGATCGTCTCCCGGGCAAGGACCTTGCTGCCAACGCACGCCTGGATGGCAATCTGAACCATCTGCTTGGGTATGAGGTCACGCAGCTTGAGCACCATTTGCCGGGCTACGCCCACAGCCTTCGAGGTATGGACAATCCGGCACAGCTCCTCCACGGGCTTGCCATTCAGGTGGATATCCAAACGCACCAGATGCGATGGATGGTAGCCGTGATCCTCATAGCTAAAACTGGCATATCCCGAGCTGAGCGACTTGAGGCGGTCGTGAAAGTCTAAGATAATCTCGCTTAGCGGCAGCACGTACTTCATCAGTACTCGCGTCTCGTCAATGTTCACGGAGCTCTGTTGCAGCCCGCGTCGTTCTACGCATAGCCCGATCACCTGGCCAACATATTCCGTGGGCGTGATAATAGTGCCCAGAACGAGCGGTTCGTAGTACTCCTTGACGCTGTTCGGTTCCGGAAAGAGAGCTGCATTCGATATGTCCATGGTGTCGCGTCCCTGCTGCCGTATCAACTTTGGGTTACTCAGCATCAATCTATAAGTCACCGAGGGCGCCGTAATGATGGGCTCAGCGCCATGCTCCTGCTCCAGTCGTTGGCAAAACACTTCCATGTGAAGCAGGCCGAGAAAGCCTAGGCGCCAACCCTGGCCGAGGGCGGGGCTGGAGTCCACTTTTACCGTGACTGCCGAGTCGTTCAGCACCATCTTATCGATGGCACTGCGAAGAGCCACGTGCTTGGATTGATCTGCCGGAAAAACTCCAGCAAAGACGAGCGGTTGCTGTGGCCGATAGCTTCCCGCAGCGCTTACAGCTTGATTCTTCAGATGTATAGTGTCGCCCACAATCGACTCCTTGCTGTTGCGCATGTTGCAGGCAATCAGACCGACCTGGCCAGCGGATAGATCTGGAATGGAACACTCTGCGGGCCGAAGCACGGAGATGCTCTTTACCGGATACACCTTCTTGGTTGCAAGCGACTGAATGTCTTGGTTCTGCTCCAGACGTCCATTCAACACGTAAATCAAGTTCAAAGCACCGCGATACTTGTCGAACCAGCTGTCGAAGATCAGGGCTCGAAAGTCACTCTCTCGCTGCACCTGTGGCGGCGGCACCACCTCGATAACGCGCTCCAGCACCTTGGAAACGCCAGTGCCCAGTTTGGCGGACACACGCAGTACTTGAGCGGGGTCTATATCAAACAGCAGCTTCATATCCTGGCACACCTGATCGGGATTGGCGTGTTTGATGTCTATCTTATTGAGTACCGGCACCACAGCTAGTTGTCGCTGCTTGGCAAGATGATAGTTAGCCACGGTCTGAGCCTGGACGCCGTGACAGGCGTCCACTAATAGAACAACGCCATCGCAAGCGGCCAGTGAGCGAGAAACCTGCAAATAGGTATCAATTAGTGAAGAAATACTAGGAAACTGTTAAAAGCCCAGCTCTCATTCCTGTTTTTAAAGCCCACCTCATTGGAAAAGTCCACGTGACCAGGAGTGTCGATTAGGTTCAACAGATACAGCTCGCCCTTGTGGCGATGGAAAATGGAGGCAGTCTGCGCCTTAACCGTAATGCCGCGCTCCCGCTCCACCTGCAGGCTGTCCAGCACCTGATGTTGGCCTCCATTCCGGGCAATGGCGCCGGTTAGCTCCAACAGGCGGTCCGCCAGTGTGCTCTTTCCATGATCCACGTGAGCAATGATGCTGAAGTTGCGTATACGCTCCACTGGCATCTGGGCGAACTCGTGCAAGAGCTCCGCCTGTGAAGGTTCTTCTTTAGTGCTGGATTTCGTCTCGGCCTTGACCGAAGTTGTGGCGGCCAGGTGGCGGGCACGCGACACCAGCCAGGCTGCGGGCGACGTGCCACCCGTCCGCTGAAGCAGCCAGCGGATGGAGAGCGTCCGGATCATGCTCTGTTTTTGGTTTTTATCAAAATTTACACATTTTTTTCAGTCTTTGCAAAGCCGGCAATGTTACCGCACGCCATGTGCTAGGGCTGGAAAAACATCTCTGTAATCGATAAATATACCGATAAGTTGTGGTTTACTTTATATTGCTTTCTCCGATCTTATTGTCGACGATCGAATATTGTAATCGATAGGCGTAGTTAGTATATTAAGAATAACGTAAAAAATACTAATGGATTTTGAGCCCAAGAGAAAAAGGGCATACTTTTATCGCTAAGTTAACCGCCAAAATTGAGCGTCTTATTGTCGTGCGAGAATTAGGAGGACACACTGCGGTAAGCGCGTGTGAGAGTTATAAATGTGTAAAAATTAAGGTTAAGTTAATTTTTCCGCAGAATAAAACGACGAAAACTTCACATCTAATTGCCGGCCTCGGGCCAAGAGGCTTCCCTATTGTTTGGCGGGAACTGGAGATGTGGAGCCGTTAAAGGCAAATCCAAGCGACGCACGACAACTCCTTTTATTCGCAGTCCGATAGAGACTGCTAAAGCAACTTGGGAGCGCAGCCAGCGTCCCACGTGTCAAGGAGAAGCGAGCAGCGTCAGTGGTCGCAGCAAGCGACAAGGAGAAGCGAGCAGCGTCAGTGGTCGCAGCCAGCGACAAGGAGACGCGAGTAGCGTCAGTGGTCGCAGCCAGCGACAAGGAGAAGCGAGCAGCGTCAGTGGTCGCAGCCAGCGACGAGGAGACGCGAGCGGCGTCAGTGGTCGCAGCCAGCGACGAGGAGACGCGGGTAGCGTCAGTGGTCGCAGCCAGCGACGAGGAGACGCGGGTAGCGTCAGTGGTCGCAGCCAGCGACAAGGAGAAGCGAGCAGCGTCAGTGGTCGCAGCCAGCGACAAGGAGACGCGAGCGGCGTCAGTGGTCGCAGCCAGCGACAAGGAGACGCGAGTGGCGTCAGTGGTCGCAGCCAGCGACGAGGAGACGCGGGTAGCGTCAGTGGTCGCAGCCAGCGACAAGGAGAAGCGAGCAGCGTCAGTGGTCGCAGCCAGCGACAAGGAGACGCGAGTGGCGTCAGTGGTCGCAGCCAGCGACAAGGAGACGCGGGCGGCGTCAGTGGTCGCAGCCAGCGACAAGCAGGCACAGGTACGCCAGTTAAAGTGCGCTAAGTCAGCGCCCTATTGGAATCGGGAAGATGCAGCGCTCACCCAGGAGGAGCGCCCGGCTGAATGGAGGGGAAGCCACCCCTATAACAACACGAGAAGATCAGCAACCAGTGAGTAGTGAAAGAGAAACCTGGCCACTGGTAGACGTAACCACGGCAGGGGCTATACCTAGCCAAGCCACTACGGAGATTACATCAGCTTCCCAACATGGAAGCACTGCAGCCTCAACTGCGAACATCAATGCCAGAGAGGATCACACATTGGATCTCCTGGCGAGGATCGCAGCGCTGGAAAAGGAGCTGCAGCAGGTTAAAGCCCTGAGAAGCGTGGGCACCGCCAATTACGCGCCAGTCGCATTTGGCGCGCACAGTGTAGCGTCAGGCCGGCCGCCATTTTGGAGCAGTCCGCCATTAGCGACATCGGTTGAGGAGACCTCATGTAACGGGGTCGGGTCGGCGCCCTCTCACAGTGTCGGTGGGTATAGCGCGTCCTGCACGCTGCCGCCACCTTGCAGCGGGCCGCCACCTTGCAGTGGGCCGCCGCTCACAGCAAGCACTGCGCAGACGGCGCATGGATTCACACTACCGGGTGTGAATATGCGCAACGTGGCATCAGTATCGCCACTTGTCGGATCCCCCACTATATTGACGTCGAATGGAATTCAAGGAACATACGGGCCAAGAAAGCTCCCAGATCTGCCTATATTTGGAGGGCAGCCAGAGGAGTGGCCGATTTTCAGCTGTGCGTTCACGGAGACGACACGGGCGTATAACTGCACGGATTTGGAGAACAATCAAAGGTTGTTGAAGGCGCTAAAGGATGACGCTCGCGAGGCGGTGAAGTCGCTATTGATTCATCCAGGGAACGTCAGCGCCGTGATGGAGCAGCTACGCTTTAGGTTTGGCCGACCGGAGCAGCTTATACGCAGTCAGCTGAACAACATACGAGAAGTGCAACCAATTTCAGAGCACAATCTAGCGAAGATTGTTCCCTTCGCTACCCGAGTGAGTAACCTCATGGCTTTCTTGCAGGCGGCGAACGCGGAGCAGCATCTGGGGAACCCATCCCTCATGGAGGAGCTTGTGGCCAAGCTTCCTACGAGCAAGCGCGTGGATTGGGCTAAGTATGCTGCGACGATCCAGCCCTTTCCCACTATAGTGCACTTCAGCGCATGGTTACAGGGCTACGCAAACGTTTTGTGTACCGTTTTGGATGTAGAGGGAAAGGAGCCGAAGCGTCGAGTTCTGCATGCTAATATCGACGCCAAGAAATGCGATCGACAGGATGATCGGCATGGATGTTGTCCAATCTGTGGAGGACAACACGCAGTTACGAACTGCCAGGAATTTATTGGAACTCCGCCACCGGGCAGGTGGAGCATGGTGAAGAGGCAAAGGCTCTGCTTCTCATGCTTACGAAGTGGGCACACGACGAGATTCTGCAATGTGCATAGGGAGTGCCAGATTAACGACTGTCGCAAGTTGCATCACCGTCTGCTGCATGATGCGGACGATGAGCAAAGGTCACAGGGACCACGAGGGGAACCAGCAGCCAGCGGTTTCCAGACACAGCCCGGACAGGAGGTATTTAGCACGAGATGGTCACAGGGACCACGAGGGGAACCAGCAGCCAGCGGTTTCCAGACACAGCCCGGATAGGAAATATTTACCACGAGATGGTCACAGGGACCACGAGGGGAACCAGCAGCCAGCGGTTTCCAGACACAGCCCGGATAGGAGATATTTACCACGAGACGGTCACAGGGACCACGAGGTGAACCGGCAGCCAGCCATAAACAGCCCGGAGAGAAGGGCACCGCAGGAAGCGGATTTGCCTGTGCAGAGGAATCTAAGCTGCGTTGACGCCGAGGGAGGCCGCCTTCTGTTCCGTATACTGCCAGTAACGCTGTACGGAGCCGGACGGACGGTGAATACGTACGCGCTCTTTGACGAAGGATCCTCCGTTACGATGATCGACGAAGAACTACGGAGGGATCTCGGAATACAAGGGGAGCGCCGACAGCTAAATATCCAATGGTTTGGAGGAAGAGCATCCAGAGAGACCACGAACGTAGTGAGTCTGAAAATAAGTGGAATTGGGAAGTCCACTCGCCATGTATTGAGAAACGTGTATGCCATTTCGAGCTTGAGCCTGCCGATGCAGACGTTAAGTCGGCAGGATGTCCAAGGTGTGTATAAGGAGGCGCGCCTGCCGATGAAGCCTTACAGCAATGTGGTGCCGAAGTTGCTCATCGGCCTGGATCATGGACACCTGGGATTGCCAATGAGAACTAGGCGATTTGGCAGTGAGGGACCGTATGCAGCTGCCACCAAGTTAGGCTGGGTTGTGTTCGGGCCCGTAAAGGGGCAGTTCACTTCGCCATCACCGAGGTCCTGCCTACTTGCCGTGTCGAAGGATGATACAATGGAAAAAATGGTAGAGGATTATTTCGATTTGGAGAACTTTGGTGTGAAGCTCGTGTCACAGGTCGCAGCCAGCGACGACATGCGGGCACAAAGGATACTCGAAGACACCACGATGAGAGTGGGGCGCCGCTACCAAACGGGACTACTCTGGAAGGACGACCACGTTAAGCTGCCACAGAGCCATGAGATGGCATACAAACGGCTGGTCAACGTCAAGAAGAAGATGAAACGCAACGAACAGTTAGCTCTGGAATGCTGTCGGATCATCAAGGATTATGTTGCAAAAGGATACGCAAGGCGGTTGGAACCGCATGAGGCCGCGGAGAATAGTGACCGGATATGGTATTTGACACACTTTGGTGTCGAAAACCCGAACAAGCCCGGTAAGGTCCGGCTTGTGTTCGATGCGGCAGCCAAAGTTGGAGAAACGTCGTTAAATTCGGCGTTGGACAAAGGACGTCAGGACTACAAGTCTTTGCCAGCCATGCTCTTCCTGATGATTACAGCGAAGCTGTTGCTGAGAGAGATTTGGAGGCAGAAGATCCAGTGGGATGAACCACTACCGGAGGAGATTGGCAAGGCCTTTGCGATTTGGCGTAAAGAGATGGATGCCGTAGGACAGTTCCGTTGTCCTCGCCATTATTTTGGGCACGGAGCAGTTAGAGCCATAGAGCTGCACGTGTTCGTGGATGCAAGTCAATCTGCATTCGCGGCGGTGGCCTACTGGAGGGTCACATATGAGGACGATAATGCGTTGGTGAGCTTCGTATGCGCAAAGACGAAGTGTGCCCCGATGAGAACGATGTCGATCCCACGGCTGGAGCTGCAAGCAGCAGTTCTTGGAACCAGACTAATGAACACTGTCAAGGAGGAGTACAGTGTAGTCATCAACGACGTGGTCTTATGGTCAGACTCGAAGACGGTGCTGAGATGGATTGGCAGCACACACCGCCGGTACAAGCAGTCTGTCGGCAATCGAGTGTCTGAGATTTTGGATTCGTCGAAGGTTTCCCATTGGCGATGGGTACCTACAGCCGAAAATGCGGCGAACCCGTCTGAGGGAGGAATATGGGAGCGTATGGTGCAGTGCGTCAAAAGAGTACTGCGTCATACCCTAAAGGAAGTCGCACCGAGGGAACATGTTTTGGAGAGTTTCCTGATCGAGGCGGAGAATGTCGTAAACTCGCGTCCGCTTACCCATTTGCCGGTGGAAGCGGACCAGGAAGCATCGTTGACGCCGAATGACCTACTCAAGGGAGTAGCCAACCTGCCGGATACCCCTGGACTGGGTGCGGAGTTACCAAAGGAATGCTCAACACGAAAGCACTGGAGGATTGCTCGCCTGCTGAGAGACCGCCCTTGGAAGAGGTGGGTCCTGGAGTACCTACCTACGCTGGTGCGGCACGAGAAGTGGTGCAGGAGGACGGAGCCCGTCCGTCAGGGCGACATGGTCTTCATCTGTGATCCTGCCTTGCCCCGACGAGAGTGGCGCAAGGGCATCGTGGAGGGAGTCTACAACGGAGCTGATGGAGTCGCCAGATGCGCTACAGTGCGCAAAAACGACGACGGCCTATCTCAGACAATGATGCGACCCGTCTCTAAACTTTTGAAGTTTTGAATTGAGTGAAGCGGTTCTTCACGGGGTCGGGGATGTCGACGATCGAATATTGTAATCGATAGGCGTAGTTAGTATATTAAGAATAACGTAAAAAATACTAATGGATTTTGAGCCCAAGAGAAAAAGGGCATACTTTTATCGCTAAGTTAACCGCCAAAATTGAGCGTCTTATTGTCGTGCGAGAATTAGGAGGACACACTGCGGTAAGCGCGTGTGAGAGTTATAAATGTGTAAAAATTAAGGTTAAGTTAATTTTTCCGCAGAATAAAACGACGAAAACTTCACATCTAATTGCCGGCCTCGGGCCAAGAGGCTTCCCTATTGTTTGGCGGGAACTGGAGATGTGGAGCCGTTAAAGGCAAATCCAAGCGACGCACGACACTTATAAAAGCTACATTTTGTTCCTGGTGAATGTACCTTATTTTTAGCCTCTCAATAAAGTCAATATCAATGTTGAAATCGATGTATCGCCCTGGTTTTAAGAACATCGATAGTAGCCATAGCATCGATAATAGTATTTTTCTGGCATGTCCACTCTGGTCACACTGCACTGCTATTTTGTTCGTCATTTTTCGAAGTTTTGTTCTGTGTTTTTTATTTTAAAATGGCCGATACAAAGGGCGTGAGTAGCAATTATTGATTATTGTTAATTGAATAATCGTGGCAGTTCCGAGGACCTTTCGGTGGTCAACAAGTGTATAGTTTCACAATTTGGAGCCTCCTCGTTCTCTTTTTCTTCCCCCTACCTTCTTCGCTACGTTTGAGTTCAAGTGATTCACATGGACACACGCACACAGGCACATGCCGGCGGCGTCGGCATTCTTCGTCGGGCCGCTCATCCGTCTCCTTTGTCTTCTTTCTGGCAGGGGCGGCGCTGGCGGTGGCTGAATCTCCCATCTCCTGTGACCCACATAACACACTGACTTCCCAGGGCAGTGCCACTAATTGTTTTCTGCTATTCTTATATTTGTTTTTGTGGGTCCAAAGCCAAGTGAAACCTCCTCCAAAGACAGGCGCGTGCCGGGCATGCTAATCAACTTGATAAATGGCTGCTATGTAACTTTCTAAGACCCAAAACAAATTGGAGGCGCCTTTCTTTCACTTAGAAGACACTTTCCAGCTTAGAAAATATAATTTTATATTTTATACATTGTTTAAATGAAAGGAATCCTTCCTTCCAGTGATAAGATAGTTTTTTATAGCAAGTACAGGCTATTCTGTTTTCGAAATAATATTTAATATATGTTCAGTGTTCGTCTTAAAGCCTGTAAATCCCATCGGAAGGCAAAAATTATTCTGTAATCTCTTAATGCATACTAATCCGCCCTTCCTCTTTGCAGTTTTCCAGCATCGAGACGCCCGGCTACGTGGGCTTTGCCAATTTGCCCAACCAGGTGCATCGCAAGTCCGTGAAGAAGGGCTTCGAATTCACACTGATGGTGGTGGGCGAGTCTGGTTTGGGCAAGTCCACGCTGGTCAACAGTCTCTTTCTCACCGATCTCTATCCCGAACGAATCATTCCGGATGCCATAGGTGAGTCGTCATAATAAGTTTCATCATCATGACACCGATAACACTCCTTTTCCTTTCTTTGCTTTGTAGAAAAACAGAAGCAGACTGTGAAACTGGAGGCCTCAACGGTGGAGATCGAGGAGCGGGGCGTCAAGTTGCGATTAACGGTGGTGGACACACCCGGTTTCGGCGATGCCATCGATAATTCAAACAGCTTTAGTGCCATACTCGAGTACATCGATGAGCAATATGAGCGCTTTCTGCGCGACGAGAGTGGCCTCAACAGACGCAACATTGTTGACAATCGGATTCACTGCTGTTTCTACTTTATATCGCCCTTTGGCCATGGGTAAGTACTGTCCTTGAAAGCCATCATTCAATTACATCTCTGATTCGATTCCCTTGTTGGCTGCAGTCTAAAACCCTTGGATGTGGAGTTCATGAAGAAGCTGCACTCCAAGGTTAACATTGTGCCGGTCATTGCCAAGGCCGATTGCCTAACCAAAAAGGAGATCCTTCGCCTCAAGTGCCGCATCATGCAGGAGATCGAGAGCCATGGCATCAAGATCTATCCACTGCCCGACTGTGATTCCGATGAGGATGAGGACTACAAGGAGCAGGTGAAGCAACTGAAGGAAGCTGTGCCTTTCGCCGTTTGCGGCGCCAACACTCTGCTTGAGGTCAAGGGCAAGAAGGTGCGTGGTCGCCTTTATCCGTGGGGCGTGGTCGAGGTGGAGAATCCCGATCACTGCGACTTTATCAAACTGCGCACGATGCTGATGTAAGGTTGAAGGATGGCTACCCCTTTGAGTGTCGATAACCGTGTCTCTATTTTCAACAGCACCCACATGCAGGACCTGCAAGAAGTGACGCAGGAGGTGCACTATGAGAACTATCGCAGCGATCGCCTGGCCAAGGGCATCAAGGGCAAGGAGAATGGTGTTAAGCAGGAACGCGATAGCGGCGTACCTTCGCAGGTGCTGGGCGAAAAGGACCGCATTTTACAGGAGAAGGAGGCGGAGCTGCGCCGAATGCAGGAAATGCTGGCCCAAATGCAGGCGCGCATGCAGGCCCAGCAGTGAACAGTGGGTCAGTGGGTGGCGGCAGCAGGCGGAGGCGGCAATCGATAGTTATATACACACAAAAATGAAAAAATCGTATATTTAGATATATACACGCATATATACATATATATTTTGTACGCAGATTTATTAGGTTGCGATCGCGCTTTAATTCAACTCTCAATTTTGTGAAAACGACGGGCGCTAAGTATTCTCTGTATTAATTTCGCATTCTCCATATATACACTCAATTATATATATATTCGTAGGATTTAGAAATATACACAAAAACACACTCACACAACATAACGTAACACGTAACACCTGCCGCGTATGCAAAATGTGTCGGCAATGCAATTGCTTCATCAAAACACTCGAACGTCAACGCGAAAGCGAACTCGAACTCGGACCCTCACTTCATATCAATCCTAAAAGCGAAACACGATAACTACTGTATTCCTACTATTGTATTTAGACGCGATTGGCAATGGATTAATCCATTCTTATTTAGGTTAAGCGAATCCAAGCCGATTTATATATATATACCTATTATATTGTATGTTGATTCCTTTCTTTGTCTGTTTACCTTACCTACTACTATCGTCTCTGTATTTAGGTTACTTTTAACTCGATATGTATTTCATGATCCAATCCAATCAATCCCATTCAAATCTGAATCCAAATCCTGGCCACAACTCCTAAGGCACACGTTCTGATACCGTGTGTTTGCTTCAGAGTTTTGGATTCGGATTGGGGGAGGAACGGATTGAACAAAGCAAACAACAAAAACAAAACCAAAATGTGAAATCTCTATTTTATTATGTAAATGAAACATTTTTTATCCCCAATATAATCCTTTATGAATACATATAAACATGTATATGTATATGCTTTTTATACATTTTGTAAGAAAAAGAAACCATCCCATCTTATGCATTTTATTTTAAACTTGGCTGGGATATAAGTGAATGATTTTAGTCATATAGCATATTATTTTAACTAACTTTTATATTTCAGGCATAAAATTACGGATTTAAGTTACTTGCCTAGAGCCCCGACTTCATGGGTCGGTCGCATTGTAATTTGCTGCTTGGCATTAATGGGGTTCCTAAGTATTTTCAAAAAAATTCGAAAAGTAACTGAAAATTCATAAAACTTAATTGGTCATACAATTTAAATGCCATTTCAGGCACCTATTAATAGAGCGCTTAGGATAGGGGCTCACCGTAGTTGGTAATCTGCCATTGGGAGAACACCTTTACTTATTTTGTCCCTCTTTTATTAATTTTCAGTCGTCTTGGCCTCATTTTTAATTAAGGTAATGGAACATTTTATCGTACCAAAGTCTACAAAAATTGATTTAAATATTTTACTTGATTTGTCCAGTTTCTCTTTTCTTTGACTCATATTTTTAACGTGCACAGATATTTGTTTCTTAAATGGTATAAATTGTTATAAATTACCAAATCTCTATGCATGTTCAAAGCAATCGTTCGGATTTGATATATGTATATATATTTGTATAAAAGCTAATTCGTCAACCTTAACCCAACAAAATATGACCAACTTATGCTTGCAGCTTTGATTTTATAACTTGTAGTCTTTATTTTTAAAACAATACACATATTAATATTGGATGCACTTAAATTCATAATACATATCTATATATATCCATAATCCATAATCGTCGGCGCACACATCAAAAACCTATATCGTTCATTGATCTCGAGGGAATCTAGCCGAGTTCACCGCTCTCCGTAGTTCGGACTGAGCCGCATCTCAATATCAACCTCGATTGTGATCTCCATTCGCCTTTCCATCCAATCCAATTCAATTTAATTCGATCCGGCTCTCGGATCTATACACATATACATTATACGATTGGTTTGCTTGTTTTGGTTTTGGTTTCTCGCTGATTATTCAGTGGCTTGCTTGCATGATACGTTTACAAAAAAACATCGACTAGAGTAGGGACTGAGAAATAAGCGGGGGATGGATGCACACAAGCACAAGGAGACACAGCCTGATGCCTGGAGATCAGCAGTCTGCAGCCTTCCTAGGTGATCAGCCGCGGCGCATGCAGACCATGGACATTCTCAATGGGCGGACAGTGAGTCGCTCCCGGCGGCCCCCAATCATGGAGACCGCGCGAATTGGCCAGACGATGGGTTAGCCGGTGGGCAATGCTGAATCCGCCGCTGCCCTCCAGCTGCGTTAGCACAATGATCACTTGTCTGTGTGAAAAATTTGGTATTAGATTTAAAGCGGATATATGCGGACATTGTAAGGACCACAAACCTTTGAAGCGGCGGCACCGAGTCCACCGTCTTGAGCTCACCGCGTGTGGACACCACATTGTAGCTCTCCTGGCAGTCGCACTTGACGTGTATCCACTTGTTCTCATGCCGGTTCTCCACCATCACAACCAGACCTGCCCAGCCCTGCAATAAATTACCCCATAAGTTAGGTGATTCTCCAGGAGCTAATAAACGGACTTTGTTACTCGCCTTGGTCAGGTAATAAGCAGTCATGCCCTCGCGTCCCTCATGCCGCTGGCCCTTGGTTAGGGTGAGGCTGATAATAGCATCGGCTAGGAGGTGCGGCGAGGGGCTAATCTGCTCGACAAGCAGCCGCTTGGAGCTGTGGATGGCCAGAATGCATTGCGGATACTGGTGTGGGTCCTCGATGCCCGTGTGCCAGTGGTTGAAGGCTAGGCAGACGAGTAAATAGATGTCACGCTCCAGCATCTTGTGGCAGCCAACAAAGCCGCGAACCTGTAGGTGATTATGAAGAATATTTGATTAAGTGGAAAGGCTTTTTGGTAATCAAAGATGAATCCTAGTTACCTGCCGCTTGCTGTGCTCCACTAATCGACCTATTTCCGGGGCCGCCGGCGATCTGGTGCGGAATATCACAACGCACAGGTCCAGCTGCGACCGCTGCGATTTCTCCGAGTTACGCTGCCCCTCCTGGAAGAGCGTAAACTCCGCTTCCGTTGGCTCCAGCACCGTCAGCAGCACACACGAAATGGAGCATAGCGGCTGTAGGGTACCCTGCAGCCGGACCTCGTTCCAGCCGGAACGCACCTTGCAGATATCAATGCAGTCAAAGTAATTGAGCACATCCTCAAACGAGATCCAGAAGACGCCCTCACTGGCACCATGCGGCATTAGGGCATCGCGCAGGTCATCCGTCCACAGCGAGGAGTCATCCGACCAGTCGCCACGCCACGAATAATGTCCCCATGGATTCCGCAGCTTCAGTAGCCGATGGCCCTGGATGTCCTTCACGTCCAGAACGGAGTAGGCGTGTCGCGGTCGCAGTCCCTTCTGCTGGTACTCCTCCTCGTCCACCTATTAGTAGGATATCGACAGAATGTGAATGTGGTGGTTATAAGAGGGACGGAACTCACCTTCATGTTACCGCCTCCACAGCTGGCCCCCATAAGGAAACGCACACAGCGCGAGCTCAGCAGCTGGGCCCAGATCAGGTCCTTGTCCAGCTCATCCTCGCTGGGCATGGGCAGGCTGCTTGCCTGCAGCGGTATGCTCTCGCAGGGCGCTCCCGTCAGCGTGGCCAGTCCCTCGATCGCTCGCCCCGATACGAGCGCCTCGTAGCAGCCATGGATCTTGGCCACCGCCTTCTCGATGAGCGGCACCCACAGCTGCTTACGCTTTGCTTGTGAGTAGACCAGATGACCGCGCTTGTCGCACGGGAGCAGATCATCCACCAGCACCGTCGTCCACTTGCCATCCTTGCAGAGACGCACCTGATAGGCACCCTGGCCGCATATCTCCTTTGTGACCAGCACCTCCTTCACAAGATCTTCCCGTTCTGCCAGCACGGCCAGAGCGCTGAGCAGCCAACAGTTCCCGAGGACGCCCTGACATATATCCGAGGGCAGTGGCGTTCGAAAGACCGCCCATGGCGGATACGCACCGCCATCGCAGTTGATCTCGTGCGGACGACGCCATTGTACCACGGGATTACCCTCGGCCGCTCCTCCAGCCGGATTGTAGTAGAGGCTCTTCGGGGCCGGCGGAAATGAGTCATCGACGAAGAGCTCGTTGTTGTCGCGACAATACTGAATGATGTTCTGCCACTTGGTCAGCGCCTCGGTTTCTTCCAGTTGTCTCAGGTTCTCCATCAGCTTGCTTTCCTGCCGAATGTCCGCCGGAGTGAGGGCTACGCGAATAGACTTTCTGGCCAGCGCTTCACCCAATACAGCGGTCGCAAGTCCACGCGGACTGGAGCAGATGTCACAGACAACAGAAGCAGCACAGTTCTCGTACGTGCAAGCCGGGCATTGCCACTTTTTGGCAGTGCTGGAGATGGCACTGGAGCCAGCTCCTGGCGCGACCACAGAGGCGGAGGCCACGCCCTGACCCTGCTGAATATTATAGCTGGCCAGGCCAGCGATTGAGATATTCCTGGGAACAATGGAGCCGCCAGTGCTGTGACGCTTGGGAATGGCACCCGAAGAGCTGCGCTGCTGTGGTGGCAGCTGCTGTTGCTGAAGCGGCGGCAGCTGCTGCATCCTGGGCGAGGGACTGCGCGAGCCACGATGACTTGGCGCCGAAGCCGCTGGTATCTGCAGCAAAGGCATAGGCAGCGAAACTGGCGGCAGAGGAAGATTCAAAGCTGTGGGTGTTTTCACCTCGCTATTACCTCCACCACCGCCGCCTGAGCCTCCAGAGGTTGCACTGGCATCCTGCTCTTCGTACGACTGGCCATCGGGTCGTTCGCGTACTGCTTCCATGGCCATGGATAGCTGCGGCTGGCGAAGTGACTTGCAGGCACTGCACACCGGCAAATGCAGCGAGTTCTTTAGAGTACAGTGACTGCAGGTCCAGAACTCGCCCTTGCGCAGCGTCATGTCCTCAATGGAGGAGATGCTCTTCAGCTTAGAGCCGCCACATACTATACAGGCCATTGCCGTTGAGTAGTTCACCAGTGTGCACTTTTTGCACGTCCACGGCTCATCGCGGGGTTTTTCTGGAAGAGTTAAAGGTTGGTTAAATGGTTTGATATATAGCTTATCTAAGGAGGATAACCTACCTGCCTGCTGCTGCTGCTGGAGCTGCTGTTGCTGCTGATCTAGCTTGGCCTCACACATCTCGCACGTCTTCAGCCAGAGTCGATTGTAGGCATAGGAACATTTGATGCATGTCCACATCTTGCTGCGGCTGCCGTTGCTATTCCCCAGCTGTGCTTTATTGTCGTGACGTACTGGTGCTGCGGATCTTCCGCTGGCTACTATCAGGCGACCGCTGCCCCCCGATGGATCATGAGTGCTGCGAGGTGAAATATTAGAATTGATCATAAATCATGCTCGCAGATAATCTCAAGGCGGAAGGCCAAGCCAATTATCAAAAATTATTAACTTGCCAATTATATTGTTAATAAAAAACACACTCTTGGCAATTAATCAAACAAATAATAATTAATAAATATAAAGCTGGTAAGGAACTGCAGTAAACCAACGAATACGAAATATAAACAGAATATGCTCGCTGGGAGCATGACTAAGCGCCAGCGCAAATAAATAATCGGCAGCAGCAAACAAAAACAAAAAATATAGGCAAAAAACCTAATTATAACTGATAAGCGGGAACAAAGGCTACAAAAAAGAACTGGAGAAACCGAAGGGGGTCTTAATCTCTCCTCTAGCCGTCTGGCTGGCATTACATTTTCGATTCGGTCGCCTTCCGCGGTCCCTTCCACACCTTGGCGTAGATGGAATGCTCTTCAATTTGCGACTCGGACTCGCTGGCCTCACCGCTGGCACCACCGCTGCCATCGGTGCTGGCTCCTAGCCCGGTCAGGGATTCGCTGCTGGTCAAATCAGTAATCTCCCCGCTGCCGCTGCCATTGTTATTCGCCTGCGAACATTCGACGATCTGTTGCTGCTGCTGCTTTTTCTTGAGCTTGTGCTGCTTGTTGACTTGCGCATAAATGGGCACTAGCCCACCGCTGCCTGGGGTATCCGAACTGGCAATGGCCACCGCTGTGGCAGCTGCCTGGGCTGCCTGGGAGGCAGCTGCTCTTAACTGCTGTTGGGCCAAAGCTACGCATTCGTTCTCATACAACTTGTTGCTGTTTCCATTGCCACCACCACCGCCATTGCTGTTGGTGTTGCTGCTGCTGGTGTTGCCGCTGTCGCTGATGTTATTGTTATTGTTGTTGTTGTTGATGCAGTTGCTATGGTGATGTTGATGATTGGAACTGGAGCTGGAGCTGGAGCTGGCTGCCGCTGGCTCTGACCACTCATTGACGGCTATGAAGACGCCGTTCCGCGGAATGGTGAACTGCGATGGATTCATACTCACTGCTGCTGGCTCTCGCTGCACCTTCCGTTGCACTTGCTGGCCCTGGCTGGGGCTCTGGCTCTGATTCTGGGTCTGGCTTTGGTTCTGGTGCTTCTGCTGCTGCTGCAGCTGCTGATGAAGATTCAGAGGCTGGCGGGGAGGTTTAGCCGGATTTTGGACATCCTTGGTCGCTGACCGCGAGAGCGTGGTAATGGTGAAGTTGTACTTCCGCTTGGCCCCGCTCTCGCGCACCACCTTGTGGTTCTGGTTCTTATTGTTGTTATTCTGCTTGCGCCGGCAAAACGTATCGTTGGCAATGGCGAACCGCGAGTTGCTGCAAGCGGCCACGACGGGTGGAATGCCTGCGGGAAAAATTATTTAAAACTAATGTAAGCTTTATGGGAAAGTAAATAATAATACTTTATTTTAAAGCTATTTTGTTGCTAAAGGACAAAGATCTTGTCAAAGACAAGAAGCCAGGCCTCAAACTGGGAGAACCTCTCGTGTCCTTTGAACTCTCTTACATTATAAAGTATAAAATAATTAAATAACTTTCAAATAAGCTGCATAAATGGATATCAAACTCACCTGTCGTCAGCTGTGGCGATGGCTTGACCTGCGGCAGGTTGAAGATGTCCTTGCTCTGGTTATTCGCATAGCAGATGTGGCAGCTGCGCCCAGAGGCGCTCTTATCGATGGCGGTGCTCAGGCTCTGGGTGCGCCTCAATGCACCTGATGCCGTCAATCCTGAAGCTGAACCGGAGCCAGATCCCGATCCCGATCTGCTGCTGCTTTTGAGTAGTCGCTTGTGCGAGTGCTGGGAATGTGACTGTAGCTGGTGCGGGTGGTGCTGTTCCTCTTCCTCCTGATTGTGATTGTGATGGTGTAGCTGATGCTGCTGTGGTTGCTGTTGGTGATGATGATGGCTATCGGCCAGCAGCTCGCCTCGATTGCCAAGGCTGCCGGCTAGCTCCTGGCCACGGTCACCACAGCTGGCGCCACTAATGCCGTCCTTGTAGATGGGCGCCAGATAGCTAACCGTGTCACAGATGAGACAATGCCAGGTGACGGAGCTGTTGTCGGTGGTGCAGGCGTGGCACACCCAGCGCCGGTTCAGTGCCGGATTGGAGAAGTGACGATAGAGCTCGATGGAGCTCTTGATGTACTTGCGCGTATCCTCGCAGTCCACACAGTTGGCAGGCAGGTTCTGGCTGTTCCTCTGCGGCCGCTTCAAGCATCCGCGCAGCAGCGACTTGTACACATGCTTGTACTCGCTCCTGGAATAAGGGAAAAGGGTTTCGCTTTTTGGATTTGGATCTGGGATTTGGATGAGCGGGTTTTGGATTATTTTCCTTCAGGACTCGTTTCGCCAGTTCCTCCTCGGCTAAAGTTAACTCAATGACCAGTGTTGTCACTTCAGCTTTTCCCATCGAGTCTGGCTTTCTGTCTCTTTTCATTAAACTTTAGTTTGCCTATTATATGTCAAGTTTAAAGTGTGAAACAAATTATTAACCATTAGTTTGCCTGTTTCTTCGACATTGTCAGTTGTTTTTCACCATCTAACTCCTCGAATTAAGCGTTTTAACTGTTTAAAGTTGGCAACACTGCTCGCCAGTTTCGTCGTCAGTCTCTGCTCGTCCGCCAATCGATAAACTTGTAAACAATGCCTCTTTATCCAAATCGATTTTCCCCAATTCTCGCTGCTCTCCTCGCCCGTTTTGTTGTTGCTTCTGCCGCTGCTGCTGTGTATACATGCACACATACACACACTCGACACACACACGCTCAGGGACAATCGTCAGTGCTGGCTTGAGGACTTTTAGCTTTCATTTTTCAAGCCAAGAAATTGGCTAAAGGATTAACTGAGACCGAGAAAGCTTCTTAATGATTCTAATTTCTTTCACAAATGTGCTTTGGTAATTAATTTAACAGTGAAATTAATTACCTATTTAACTATTGGACATATTGGGATATCTTATTGGACAGGACGTGATGCTTTTCTTATTGTCCCTCACAGCGCCTATAATGGAATGAACTGAAAAAGCGTTTGATCTCCATTTATAAAAAACAAATATTACAAAATAATAAGTCGAATAAAAAAAGTATGTCCTGTTCACTAATAATCCTAATTATTAATTTCTAATCAAAAATCTAATAATACAAAAATCCTTTAGCTATCCTTTCGTTTGGCTCAGAAAAAGAAATCGGACAGCACTGGACCCTGCTCTCGCACACAAACACAAAACGCACACACACACGAACACCTACACAGTCAGAGACAGAGGAGCAGGAACAGGCTGTTTGTTTTTGTGGCGACCGCTGGTGCTCCCGTTCCCGCTCCCACTCTCTCTGGTGCTCCTTTATCTGCTTCCAGGCCCCTCCTAGCGTCTCGTTCTCTTGCTTACCTGGCAACCGCTCTACCCTTCTCCTTATCCGCTGTCTGCTCGACTCCATCAGCTGGCCAGGCTCCAGTTCCAGCAGCTTCTCCGCCACCTCCTCCTCCTCCTGCTATTCGCCGCTGCTGCTGCGTCTGATGCTGCTGGATGGGATTAGGGAAGACCTTGCGCACGGTGCCGCAGTTGAAGCACTTGAGCGATTCCGTGGGATTGATCGTGTTGCACTTGGTGCATGACCATTGTAGCACGGATGAGATGGTGCCCATTTCAAGGAGCTCCAACTTTTGTTTTCGTTGTTGTTGTTGTTGCTGCTTCTGTTGCTGTTACTGTGATGTGTGTGTGTGCTTTGTATATGTATATATGTGAATGTCGTGTGTGGTGTAGGTGGTTGTTGTTGGCTGGCTGACTGAATGGCTGGTGGAACTGGTGGCTCAGGAGGTGTAATGTTGATGTTGATGCTGATGTTGTTGGTGCGGGGTGCGGAGATCGAGGAGATCGATCACAGCCCGGGACCGAAACGAGCACCGAGGCGAATTCCAATTGGATTCCAGTCCAAGAGCGTTCTCCGTCTCAGTCAGTGGTGCCAACTCGTCGGGTCGTTAAAAGCTTATCTAGCTCTTGAAAATTGATAAAAAAAAGCCAAATTATGACGATAGCTAAGAAAATTTTACAGATTATAATAATATGGGATTTGTTAAAATATATTTAAAAAATAGAAAATTAAATTAATTAAAATTGAAATTAGTAGCACGCCTGAAGGCCGCAGACGCCCTGGCTCCATTCATTGCAATAAGGAATTTTATTCGCTGTTGTCAAAAATAAAAAAATTATAATAAGAACGGAAATTAACTTCGAGAAGTTTTGCAGTTTGCAATTGAATTATAGGATCGAATCGGAAATCGATCATAACTAAGCTTAAAATATTTTTTTAATCAATATTTTCCATTTATAAAAATAGTTTCCTTAAATTTATATTTAAAAAACTCATAACTAAGGCAAATACGCATTAATTTTAATTCTGAAAGCTTTTCTAAGTTAGTTTTTAATAGCTTAATAAATCTGCATACTCAATTTAATTAATAAATAAATTTTAAAAAATTAAAAATTTTTCCACCAATTTTTGACAATTTTGTCCATGGAACCCCTTATGAAAATTTGAAAAAATTAAAAAAAAAAATTTGCGTTCCGATATGGCTAGAAAGATTCGCCTGTTGATGCTGATCAAGAATATATGTAATTTATAGGGTCGGAAATGACTCCTTCACTAAATAAAATTATAATACCCGTATACACGTATACAAATAATACATAAAAATGTAGCAGAATCGAACCCAAAAAACAGGCAAAAAACAATAATGTTTTATGTTAATGTATACATATTTTATTTATGTGTATATATATATATACATATATATTTATATATGTATATATATAGTTAGTTATATATGCATATATATGTAGCTAAGAAATAGCTAGATTGTTAAGTTTTGCTTAACTGTTGCAGCTAGGGCTGTCAACGCTTCGCGAGGTCTGTTCGATGGGCTGGTCTTGGGGCTGCCAACTTGGTTTTCGTTTTCTGCAAATATTATTTTAAATTTTAAACACCTAAGAATTTTAGATTTAGAAACAATATAGAAACATAAGTTTAATCATATCATACATTTTTTTAATAAATTCTAAATGTGGCGATAGTATTGATCGGTAGTACCAGATATCGATATTGTCGATGGTTCCAACGATTACTTTCATCTCTAATTCCCAGCCGCGTGCGAGTTTCAATTATTCTTCAGATTAAATATCCAATTTTGGCAAAGTTAACAGGGAATGCAGCGACAGAAACACAAGAGACCGGGCAAGCCGGGTCCGCGTTTTAAGCCGAGATCAGGAGAAGAGAAGGGCAAGACGGAATACCCCAATGGCAGGCGTAACAGGGGACAAGGCAACCAAAAGCAAAGCGGCAACAACAGGCAGCTAAAGCGGCCGCGGGAGGACATCAAGAAATCGAAACTGGCCGCCACCGACACAGAGATCCAAGAACTGCGGGCCAAGTATGCCGAGATCGATGCCGAGGCCATCAAGAAGTTTGCACAGTTCCCGCTGTCGCGCAAGACGCTGAAGGCCCTGACGGAGTCCAAGTTCGTACATCCCACACAGGTGCAGCGCGAGAGCATCGGCCCGGCGCTGCTGGGCAAGGATGTGCTGGGAGCGGCGGTCACGGGCAGTGGGAAGACACTGGCCTTTCTCATACCCGTAAGTTAAATACATCTTCTGATACTTGTTCAAATTCCTAAAGTTCCTTCTTTCTTTTAGGTCCTGGAGCATCTGTTCATGAACAAATGGTCTCGCACCGATGGCGTTGGAGCGATCATTATCTCACCCACACGCGAGCTGGCCTACCAAATCTTCGAAACACTAAAGAAGGTGGGCAAGCACCACGACTTCTCCGCCGGTCTCATTATCGGCGGCAAGAACCTAAAGTTCGAGCGCACTCGAATGGATCAGTGCAACATTCTGATCTGCACTCCCGGTCGCCTGCTGCAGCACATGGACGAGAATCCGCTGTTCAACACAAGTACCATGGAGATGCTGGTCCTGGACGAGGCAGATCGTTGCCTGGACATGGGTTTCCAAAAGACACTGAACTCGATTATTGAGAACTTTCCACCAGAACGACAGACCCTTTTGTTTTCGGCGACACAAACGAATACGGTACAGGATCTGGCCAGGCTGAATCTAAAGGAACCTGTCTATGTGGGCTATGGAGCCGCCGGTGGGGGAGAAGAAGGAACGACTGCTTCCACATTGAAGGCGGCTGTTCTGGCCGTTCCCGAGCTGCTGCAACAGAGCTATGTAGTGCTCAATCTAGAGGATAAAATCACTATGCTGTGGTCGTTCATCAAGAACCATATGAAGCAGAAGATTATTGTGTTCGTTGCCAGCTGCAAGCAGGCCAAGTATCTGTACGAGATATTCTGCAAGCTGCGTCCGGGCAGTCCCCTGCTGGCCCTGTACGGTACCCTTCATCAGGATCGTCGCATTGCCATCTACGAGGACTTCTTGCGCAAAAGCCACGTCGTCATGTTTTCCACAGACGTAGCATCACGCGGTCTTGACTTTCCCGCTGTCAACTGGGTGGTGCAGTTGGATTGTCCCGAGGATGTCTCCCAGTATATCCATCGAGCGGGTCGCTCCGCACGCAACAAGACGCGTGGTGAATGCCTCCTGGTGCTGACGCCCAGCGAGGAGGAGTACATGATCGGTGCGTTAAAGGACCAACTGAACCTGAACATTCGGTGTGTACAGATCGATTCCAAGAAGCTCTTCTCGCCACGCGTCAAGATTGAGGCCTTCCTGGCCCAATTCCCCGAGCTGCGAGCCACCGCCCAGCGTGCCTTCCTCTCGTACTTGAAATCTGTGTTCCTCATGCGCAACAAGCGCCTCTTCAATGTGTTCAGCTTGGATCTGGATGCGTTCGCTCAATCGCTGGGCTTGGCAGTTACGCCGCGCGTACCATTCCTCGAGAAATTCCTGTGGCGCCAAAAGCAGCTCCAGCAGCAGAAGGAGAAGGGCGAAGGACCTGATGCCGCTGCTGCAACGACGACTGCCGCTCCAGTTCTACCCAAGCTCAGCAAACAGCAGACCTTTGGTAGGGCAAGCGAAAGCGAAGATGATTCGGATGATGAGGACTTTATCAAGGTCAAGCGAAAGGATCACGACGTTGAGGGAGAACCGGTGGATCTTCAACTGGACGTCGGTGGAGATGTGGGCGAGCCAGAGGAGTCCCTAATGGTACCCAAGCGTGAGAAGCTCGTCACCAAGGCCTCGCTGGCCAAAAAGGCACTGAAGAAGAACCTTCAGGTCAACTCCAAACTGAAGTTTGATGACGAGGGCGAAACGGTGGCAGACGATCGCAGCCAGATGAAGGCCCTGAGTGCCAGGCAACGTTCGGGCGACAAGGACGACGATGGTGGCATTGATCTGGTGCTATCCAAGGCTCTGCTCACCGAGGAGGATCAGTATGATAAACAGCGATTCCGCGAACTTGTTAAGAAGCGCCACAAGCTGCAGAGAGATAAGCTGCGTAAGAAGGCGGAGCAGGCCAAGGGCAGTGACGAAGAGGAGGAGGATGAGGAGGAGGGCGGTGATGACGATGAAGCCAGCGAGAGTGACCACTCTGTGGACCTCTCCTGGCTGCCAGATCCCGACAAGGTGTACAAAACTAAGACCAGCAACGAGGAAGAGCCATCTGAATCCGAGACCGAGGCTGAGGCGTCTGATGATGATGATAAGGAAGAAGAGGAGGACGAGCCCGCCTACAAAAGGTCCAAGCTTACGAATAAGATGACACTGATGGACACGGAGGCCATAGCGGCCAGTCTTTTGGGTAGCTAAAGGTTAAGGGACAACTCGACTGTGTGAATAAATGAATGCTAATTAAGCAGTAATTCATAATTTGTAATTTAATAGATTGTTTTTATTAAATATCAAAGTTGTAATTTATTTAACTGAATAATCAACTCAAATCTTTTAAAAATAATTAACTGATCTGCCGAAGAAGTTTACGAATTAATTTTAAATTTGACACATGTGAAAGTACAGTCTGTTCAAGCAAGAGTTATTGAATATACTTATTTCCGAGGATAACCCAAAACCGCCCAGTAAAAAATCTATTGGCAAATGCTTCACAAATATTTGGAAAATGCCCACAAATTTATTTTTGCTTTTTGTTTGATTCAATTCATCGTTTTTTCTCTCTTGGTTTTTTGTTAAATATTTTCCCCCAACGCCCCCCGCGTTGCATTGCAAGGCGCCCCCAACCGAGATTCTATTTCCGGTGCTTTTCGACCGGAAATGTGGCTACGAGTAGGGGAACCCTGGGCTGGGCTGGGCTGAGACGGGAATCCCTTGGGGGATGGGGGCTGTGGTGGTGGCTGCTTGGCATTGGGCGTGGCATAAAATTTGCTTTTAAAAATATCATTACACATCACGTCAATTACAATTTTTTTTTTTGTTTTTGCTTCTTGCTTTTGTTTTTCTTTTTTTTTTTTTGTTTTAGTTTTGTTTTTGTTAGACATATTTTGCTGGTTGGGATTTTTTGTTTAATGTTTTTCTTTCGTTTAGCGTATGTATATAAATAAATGCATACACATATATACGGTAATATATAGACGGTATATATATGCACGTGTACAAATAATGCAATAGACACACATCTATACAAATTATACTATATAATGGTTAAGTGTTTCTCTTTTCTTTTCTCTCGTTTTTGTTTTTGTAATTTTCATATTGAGTTTATTTTAGCATGTGCTTCTGTTCTGTTTCTGCTTTTGGCAACAGATCTCGTTCTCTTACTCGTTCTCGATCTCCTTTCTCCTACTCGTTACTTTCTTTTAAGTTTGAGGTCCGTTTCAGACACAAGATACACACACACAGATGCACACGCACAAGAACACACAATTATATATAAAAAATCAATGCTTTAATTGCAAGAAATAACACTTAGGCTTATGTTGTTGTCTAAATATAAATGTTGTTATTTGTTCGGTTCCATTAATGCCTCTCGTTAAACTCTCCTGCTAAGCTTCCTTCTCCTCATATTGATGATGCTTTTTGTTCGTTATTCTTCTGCTTTCTCCTTTTTAGTTAAAATATATGTATATATTGTAGAAATTGTATTTGTTGCTTTGCTAACACACACACAATTGTTTACAGAGACAGAGAGATTGAGAGAGAGAGAAAGAGAGAGTATTACGTTGGGGATTACATATCAATTATATCGAATAGACAATCAGTGGAGACCGAGAGAGACTGGAGATTCGAAGGTCGGAGACTGGGAGACTCTGGAAATTGATTTTTTGTTTTGTTTCGGTTTGGAAAGTTGTTTTTTAGTTTTATTTGTGTTCATGGAGATTTCTTTTTAGCCGTTCCAAGATAATTATAATTTTTTGCTTAAATTGTAGGTATATTTTGAATACATTTTGTTATTCTGCTGCATTCACACTCACACACACATACTGAGGGATGCACATTTAGTATTATAGCTTGAAAGTGGATTTTAAATCGTGGTTTGTTGTTGCTCCTGGGCCTCCGGCTCTTCCTACGCCTACTGCTCCTTCTCCTATTCGTTCCTAGCCTGACCTACTCGTTCCTTCGAATTTATCTTTTCTCCTATTCTAGACACACAGACATTTAGTTGTTTTTTCTTTTGTTTAAATATATATATTGTATAGCCTAGCTTTATAGCTATTGTTTTGTTTTATTTTTTTTTTAATATGGGGAATTTTTGTTGTTGCTGATTTCGCATTAATTTTAACATACAATTACAGTTACAGTTACAGTACAATTACAGTTACAGTTATATAACATACACAGATACACAGTAAATTTTATTTAACCATTCTTGATCCTAGATAATCTCCCTCGCTTTCAACTCTTTTTAGTTTTGTTTTTCTCATTTCTTGTTTTAGTTTTTTTTTCTGTGCGTTGTCGTTGGCGCCACCCGGCCCCGCTCCTTTTTGTTGTTGTTTCTGGTGGGGATTTATATTTGGATGAATCAATGGAGGCGCGAGTCTCTGAGCGGTGACGGAGGTTGGCAGCGGGGACACGGGTTGCGGCGAGGGGAGGTCTCACTCAATGAAAACAACGACAAGGACACACAAAAAAAAATATAAATACTTGACGCGTTTACATTTATCACGGAAACACAACAAAGCCATCGATACAAAATATATATATATATATATTATATGTGTGTGTGTTTATGTATATAGAAGATATATATTTATATATCGTAAGTAATTCGTACACGCAGACGCCGACGCAGACACACACAGACATTTACCATACATATATATATATATTTATATATAAGCGATATACATATGTATGTAAGTAATTATATAAAAAATAAATACCCTACTTAGCCAAGTTGTTCACAGATACTCACGCACACACACATAACTCCCAAATCTATGTACTATTATTAAATATTAATATGTATATATGTATGCCTGGCTGCTGATCCTCATTTGAATGAATCGATCGATCGATGGGCTACCTTCACTTCCTCTCACTACACGTTGCTTTCGCTTCTAGCTCTTGAATGAATCCTCTCCTTACTCGTCACTCCTTACTCTTTACTCGTTACTGTTTACTCAATACTCAATTCTATTGCTAACGAGACCCGCCTCGCTGATCCTCTCTTTTCGCCCCACTTACGCATTCATGGACACTCGCACCTACACTTGGCAATGACACTCACACACGCCTACACACACACACTAATGCTGGCACACACACATGCACATTGAATCTAGCTATCTCGTTTTGGCTCCAGGTGGCATTCTAATTCTAGACCATGACAAATGCATCTTTGCCACAGAACAGATACGGAAACTGATCGATCATTGTCTGCACAATGTCCTCCAGATACGGACGCAGCTGCTCAAAGTGGCCCATATCGGTGAAGTCGATGGGTATGAGTGTGGGCCACCAGCAAATGGCCAAATTCTTGCTGTCCATGCTGTTGAGCTTTGAGTTATCCGAGACGCTGAGAGCGAGAAGATTCATAAATAATAAATAAAGCCATAATTCTAAAACCAAAGGACACTTACTGCACAAAATGCTGGAATATATATTTGAGTATGGCAAAGTTAATGTGCGGCAGCTTCTGGAGCAGCGATTTTAAAGCTATCAAGCGGCAACTCCGATCGGTTTTGACCTCCACATTAAGCTTTGAATTGCCAACGCCACGGGAACCTATAGCAAAATAGGTTTTAGTTCAGTATCTATCTATTTATATCCTTTATATGTGCTAATCCCATACCGGCAATCTCTTCCAGTTCCTTGATGATATCCTTACTGAACAGCGGCGGCAGTCGCTTCGAAAAGAAATCCTTCAAAGCGGTGGCCACTGCATTGACGGGAATGTCCAGAGAATCAATCTCAGTGTTGGCATCTGTGTTTAATGTTAAATTACAATTAATATGCTCATTACCCGACTCTCAAATACCTCTCCATCTAGAATATCTTAAGCAAGCTCAAAACTTACCCTCTTCAAAGCGCTGGAAGAGCATATCGACGTGCGCCCTGCTACCGGGCACCCGATAAATGCCCTCGGAGTCGAGACCCTCCTTCTCGATGAACTCAACGCACTTGTTAAGGAAAATGGGAGTCTCGTCTTTGTCGGAGCTAATCATCAGCTTGCCAAATTGCGCCTCCGCCGATTCGGTCTGACCCTTGGCATTCTGTTTGAGCTTACGCTTGAGCTTCTTCTCCTGCTCCTTCTCCTTCTCCTGAAGCTTGCGCAATCGTGCCGTCTCCTCCTTGATGCGTCGCTTTTCCAGCTTCTCAAAATCCTTCAAGCACTTGGCATTCATGTTGTACTCGGGCATATTCTCAGCCCCAAAGATTCCAGCTGCCGCCAGCTCTGGAACCATGGAGTACTGTAAGTGTAAATGAAAGAGTGTTAGGAAGAGGCTTAATCTTCAGTGAAACCCAAACACACCTCTGGCGACTTGTCGCTCTTCAAAAACTCGGGCACGCCTACGCCATCGGGTTTCTCTGTGGATAATAATATAAATTGTGATTAGCTAAAATATTAAATATTGTAAATTTACAAGTAAAAGAATAAGAAATTATAGATAGTAAGGAAGACAATGTTATAACCTTTTGCAGACCCTTGGTAATTTCTTAAATAGACAGAATAGTTTCCCAGCTTCCAGAAGACTTGAAATAATAATTGCAAACACGACACATACTTCTCTCACCTGGACCACCGCCGCCCACGGCCATCCGCTGATAGTGTAGCGGAATCTCCGGTGGACTCACATAGGAGCCAAATGGAGGAACACGCGGTGTCTGCACAGGTATGGCCACCTTCTTTTTCTTTTGTTTCTTGGCAGCCACTGGCTTCTTGCTGCTGGCCTTGTTGTAATAAGCGGCATTCTGTTGACGCACTCGTCGCTCCGTAGAACTGGCACAGCTGTCTGATTCGGTGCAGTCTACAGAAATGGTTAGATGATAAAGATTAGGAGTCAGATGATGGATTTGGGGCCTCGAGGGATTTATATTTGGGAGAGGAAGAAGTGAGAGAGAGGCAGGGGGTGGCGAGGGACACAGAAGACAATGCTTTGGTTGAATCGATTCAATGGTTCTCTTTGGTTTCATATCAAAATGAACTTGATCTTAACATATGTATATCGAATACTTGGTCATTGTTTTACAGATATATTTTGAAACTGTAACACATCCTTCATTTAATAGTTATATTAAATCGTTATTATATAATTTATTCACAAGTCTGAGTCCTTAGGTTTGGCAAATTTTACATTTTTGGACAGACAACAAGTCCTTCTCTGAGTAGATTGCAATGCAAGCAAGTTTAAATTATAAATACTGCAAAATATAAATTTCCGAATCTTGAAGATACATCTTAACATGTTAATATCAAGCTCAAAATGTATGTTGCCCCTTGTTTTCTGGGTGGGTTAGTGCAGTGTAGTGTGTGATTCGGGCGAGTATTTTGAGGTGAGGGGGTGTTAGTCTGGTGATCCTATTTTCTATCCAGTCCCACAGCCTATCTCTACTACTGGTACCTTCGTTCTCGTAGATCTGCTCGTACTCGGCCAGCTCCTCGGAGTCCTCATCCTCGCCATCCAGCTGGGCATGATCATATCGCTTGCCATCCTTGCCATCGCCCGGCTCACAGGCGCCCAGATACGAGTCTACCATGCTGCCACTGCCCAGACCCAGGCCTAGGCCAGTGCTACCGGAGCCGGAGCCCGATCCAGAGCCAGATCCTGAGCCTGTAAAGTTCATCTTGGCCACCGCATCGCTGACCAATTGGAAGTTCTTCATATTGAGCTTGCCCGGCTGCTGGGTGGGCAGTGTAAAAGTTGATGAGCTCATCGCCGGGCAATTGCGGCTTGGCGCCTCGCCCACTTTTAACGTTTGGCTCGGTCCCTTCGGCCGGATCTTGTTTAAATTGGAATCGATGTGCCGCCGGCCGGTGGTGTAAGCATGCGTCGAGCCACTAAAGTTGTTCCATATGGAGTTCTTGTTCATGTTGCGTCGTCCGTCACTCTTGTCCTCCAGCCACTCTGAAAAGTCAGCCACACGAAGAGGGGGGAAGAAGACGAGAGAAATGTTCACAATTAGCCCAATCAGGTGGAGATACATTCCGGTGCAGGGATTCCTACTAGACAGGTGATATCGGGATAATAGGCAGCAGAGCACACCTCATCATGTACGGTAATCTTTTGCGTTACATTCAAAGCTACAAGGGTTTTATTTTGTACTTTTTCTAGTGATATTTGTTAAAATATACAATTAACGTTCTTTTTTTTGTGTGCCACGAGCAATACAAAAAATGAAATCTACATTTTATGGATATATTGATATATATTCTATGTATTTTGCAGTGACTTTTGAGGATATGATAAATAATAAAATGAGTAAATTATAAAAAGATTTCCATTTCAACTTTTTTGTAAACCAATTATAATTTATATAATGTAACTAACGACCATAATAATAATTTATTTTTATATCTTTGCGGAGGGTTTTATACATTAAATTAGTGAAGAAGTCATTTCCGACCCTATAAATCATATATATTCTTGATCAGCATTAATAGGCGAATCATTTTAGCCATGTCGAACAAAAAAATTTTTTGCAATTTTTTTTGGTAATTTTATAAGGGGTTACATCATGAAAATTGTGAAATATTGGCCAAAATTTTTAATTACCTAAAACTTTAAATTGAGTATGGAGATTTTTTAACGCAATAAAAACTAGCGTAGAACAGCTTTCCGAATTAAAATTAATGTTTTTTTGATTGAGTTATGATACTTTTAAAATTCGATTTGTTTACAAAATTGTCATTAAAGAATGCGAATATTTTATGATCGATATCCGATACGCTCCTAAAATTCAGTTGGTAACTACAAGGTTATAAACTTCTGCTTCCCTTTCGTGTTTATGATTAACAATCAATCCAATATAATAATAATGACATACATTTATTAACGACAATTAGATAATTGGTATATTTAGTCTTTTGGATAATTTTTCTTTTTTATTTTAATAATCTCTTTATACCCTATATTACTACAATAAATCTTATTTATAATTTGGAAGACATTTTTCATTTATAATTTTAATATATCCGAATTCATATCAGGTTTATTTTGAAATAAAACTTTCTAACCAGTTTATAAGCAATACCTGCATATATGATTGTGCATCTGTGACCGATATCCACCGAAACTTAAAAAGGGGGCAGAGATGCAGGAGCACAGGCAGGGGATTCGTGCCGGGATTATAAGGATTTTTAAGGTTGCTATAAAAATAATAAGGGATCTAAAGCTCTAAAGCTCTAGGCTCTACAACAACTTGATTGGATCGAGAATGAGATTAACCTGCATCGTGGGTGGCCAGTGAATCCTTGGACCCGCTAACATCCGCTGCTTGTTAAAAAACGATATATATATATATAGAAAAACGAGAGTAAACACACACAAGACTCATCAGTTTGGCCAGGACTCTGTGAAACCGACAAAGCTTTAAAAAAAAGTAACCAGAGATAGCAACGCAAAAAAAAAATGGAGAACTGAGAACGGAGGAGCAAGAACTTGTTGGGAAAGGAACACAGCAAACGAACGAAAGAACATTTGTACAGTCGCGCATCCAATCCTGGGATTGGATTTGTATCTTGTGGGTTCGGCGTGGGACAATATGGGTATGTTACATATGCAGCTTAACTGGCAGACAAACCGAAAAAGAGATATTAATAATCCACACCACAGAAAAAAGGAGGAAGGCATTCAATTGGTGAAAGTGTTGAAATTGGTCTTGGATTTTCTCTGATACGTCCCTCTCGTTGTCTGAGCTCAAAACTGGGGGCAATATCCTTGCAGAGACAATGGGATTATATGGTTAATATTTTAGTATTCATTTAATTTAATTATATCTTAAAGATTTAGAAGAGGTGCTGAAAAACATTAAACGAAATATTTCTGCGCACCGTTTCGAAGGTACATTTGCTTTTAATTCAACAGGATATCGGGAGAAACTGATAAAGAAATATTTGATATACTTTTTTTATTTGCATATTGAAATTAAACAAATATATTTACAAACTTTTAGATGCAGAACTCAAGTTATCCTTTAAAATTGGCAATATTTAAGACTTCATTAAAAGACTTTAAGAAACCCATTTGAAAAATCTTTCTCATAGGGTTTTAATAATTACACAAGCTATTTACACAATTGTTTAATATATAGATATATGAAATATGGAATACCAATTTTTAAAGATCAATATCATATAATTCGAGTCTATTCGCTTCTCCTGAACAAGCGCACACAACCCAGAATATACAACGAAATAACGCTCTATTCTCAAAAGGATATATATGTTTGTCCCAGATTTTGACCAAAAGAACAAAAGGGTGGGATTTGCAAGGGGGTGGGAAGGGGAGAAGTGGCGAAAAGGCCATGTGAGCTAAGGACGAAGGTGAAGTATCGCTGGTGGTATTTTTTTCGAGTGATTACGATAAGGAACGAAATCGAAAACAATTAAAAACGGAAATGAAACAAACATAAGGCTCTAAAGGATGAGATAACATATAAAAAGAGACAGAGAGAGAAAGGTACAAGATATATAGGAGGAGATAAGAGATAAAACGAGAATATAGGAGAAATATGTATATTCAAATAGTTAGATTACATGTTATTTCTTCCAAACTTGATTCTGAAGCCGAAACGAATTGACTCTTATATGTGCATGTAATGAGCTGATGATCTGGAGGGGCTGGCTCTGGAGGAGTTGTTGGAGGAGGGAATATCTGGAATCCTTATATATTTTCGTTTTTTTTTTCGAGTATTTTTTTGTTTTTTGTTTTTTTTTTTAGAGCAAATAATTTGTTTGATTTGCAATTAGGCAAAAAACGACAACAACGAATACACACACAGAGATAAATCGATACAAAAAAATGGTTAAGGTTAATTCGTTAATTAATAATAATCATTATATAAGAGTATTTATATATATATATATATATATATATATATATATATATAGATATGTATAAGTATATATGGTATGGAGGAACTATCTCCGATGGCAATGAATGGATGAATGAATGAATGAATGAATGGTTGGTTTTCATGATGAAATGGGATATGAGACATTATTCATATAGTATATATATGATGGGTATAGAATGTATATGGTAGATATATTATATATATAGTTAAATTGGCTATTATTTGGGCACGAATTCTGAATGAGTTTGGTTTTTGGTTTCTAGTTTTCTTTTTGGGCTTTATGTTATAGCTTTTAATTTAGCTTTAGGGGCGGGGGGTCTTTTTAGGGTTCAATGGTCAGCATGGAACTTACTTTGATGCAGATGCTTCGGCTTTTCGTTGTCATCGTAGATTTCATCTAATGATATATCTCTTTCTTCTGCAAAGTTCAATATATATATAGCATATATTATCTATATTGACTTGTGTTACGCACCATTTAATGAGTTGAGAGATCGTGTAGGAAGCATTTCATAATTCTCACTGCCGGAACCATCCGTTCCGAGAGTATTCGATAGCATATAGCTTTCGTGGCGCGGCGGCGGGCGTGGCATCTGGTTAACCGAGTTCTCTAGCGTTCCCTCACCCGAATCCAATGTAATTGACTCCTCCACATGCAAATTCTCCACCTCATACTTGTTATCCCAGGCGGTCTTCAGGAATGGATTGTAAAAGGCAACTGTTTGGAAGAATGGTTGATGACAATTAGTTCGTGTTTATTCCTTAATTAACTCAAATATCAAACTTACACTTGACATACTGATCCGCCGAGAAGGTCATGAAGCTGCCCTTGAAGCGATCGGCCACCGCATTGCCCTCGGTGATCAGAAATTGGCAAATATCGCTGTTGAAGAACGCATTAACACCCCCGCTTTCCGTCACTGCAATTATTTGCAATGGAATGTTGGCATTCTGCGCTGCCAAAAGGCTGAAAATGACACAAAAATAAGTAAATAAGCAATTTAATATCAAGCAAAACATAATTAATCACAAAGAAAGCTAACAATATGCGCGTCGCAACTTACCTTAGATTGGCCAGCGATGAGCGGCGCTTGGCCGAATAAAAGTAAATGTAGCCATGGATTAGCTCATCGCGATACTGGCTAGTGCCATGATATGACGACAGTATGAACTCCACTCGCCGCTTCGCATCGCCAATGAAAACGTCCACAATAATGGAATGCTCGCTGGCCTTGACCAGCGTCGATTCTGCCACCAGCGGCTGGACAATGTTCTCAATGTCATACTGATCGCCGCAGAAGATACAGCACAATATGCGCAAGTCTGTGTGATTGGAGGGATACGGTTCGTAGCTTTTCATCTCGGTCAGCTTCAGCGACAGGATGACAATGTTGAGTATATCGTAGACGTACTTCTGATGATTCTGCGTGTGATCGATAAAGTCACAGTGCAGCATCTCCGACAGGCGGATGCCCTCATTACGCAGGTACTCCACCTCGTTCTCCTTGAGATCCTGCGGCTGATAGACCAACACAATTGGCAGGTTCTCAAATTTATCCTCCAGCTCCAGATTGCAAAGCAGCGTACGCTCCAGGTTATCCTTGAGCGTCTCAAAAGACTGCTGGTTGGAGTAGACGCAGATCAAACCTGTGGAATATGATTAAACTTTAGATATGGCAGAATATATTGATATATCGCGAAACTGTATGTAATTATTTAATTCTGACTTGGGGAATTCATCAATTTCTACGTTAACTACCAGTGTTTCTCCTTGATAAAGTTGTTTATCTGTTTTTATATTGCAAAAACTTACTATTTATATATTTCTTGATTAACTTGGTTACATTTTCAATCATAAATAAAGCCTCATTCTCTCTCATTCAGCTATTTTCATCATTTATTAGTATTCCCAATGCGCTGTGACTAAGCCCTATGATATCATTTAATAGCTTGGTATTCGGTGTCTGTTTTAACATTCCAAATATTAAATCATTGAACAATAGGATTAATAGATTCACTCTTTAATTTATAGTTCGTAGGGAAAGTCTTACCACTTGAATACACATCGATGGCCTTGAAGGCCTCCATGTCGCCATTGGCAATGCGATAATTGAGATAATACGTCTGGTTCTCGTAGATATACTCGCCCTTGCTGCCAGTGCAGATGCGTATGTCGTTAAGCAGATCGCTGGCCAGATGCTCCGAGCCAACAATCAATAGATTGAGCGTGCGATCAGTGCCGCTGCCAGAGGATGAGCTCTTCCAGCCGCCACCGACACTCGGTGTCTTGTGGTTGCTGGTCGATTTATCAGAGAGAACCTCCTCTATCAAACCATCGACGCAGTTGTAGAAGAATGGACAGTGATCGCGGACGGGGCAGTGGATGAAGCGCAGGTGCTGAACGAGCATAAGACGCCGCTCTTGATCCAAACGATCGAGCATCTTATAGCGCGAATCCTCTTGAATGACTTCGGTTATCTGACGCACATCCTCCTGCGTGATGTTGTCCACATTCTTGAATTGCAGAAAGTACTGGGCATGCTCAAGCAGCAGCTCTACAAAGTTCTGTTTGCTCTTCTCAATAATCTCATCTTGATGGATGTCATAGATCTGCTGGCAGTCATGCTCCGACAGAGCCTCGAAGCACTCTCGACCCATGAACAGGACTCGAACTTCGGACAGTTGCTTGCCGGGCGTCACGAAACCCGATTCCTCAAGAAGCATCTTGAACTGCTGCTTCCATCTTGAATAAAGGAATATGCAAAGAAAAGCAACGGGTTTTTAGGAGATGCATTAAATGATACCCTTCTTAACTAGTACCTCTCACAAAAGATTTGTTTTTAGTTACAAAATGGAACAGAAACTCACCCAATCTTTTTCTTGTCCTGTTGCACCGAATTCAAATAGTTACGGAAGACTGTCTCCGCCTCGGATGTCTCCAGCACGTCAAACGGAATGCGCGCCTCATCCTCGGCCTCGTCCATGTCCACCAGCTCTGTCCATGAGGCCTGCGGGCACTCGAAGAAGTACTGCTCGAACTCAATGTGATTTTGAAGATAGTTGCGGGCACATTCCCACGCATCGTCATCGCTGATATTGAGCGCACCAATGTCCGGCAGCAGGTATTCCAATGCCAATGCAAACTTGTCCAGATACTGCAGCAGCTTCTTGTTGAGATGATCGTCGCGCAGCTTCTTCATGTGGCGGCGGAAGAGCTTCTGGCCGGCCTCGTGACCAAAGATGTTGAGGAACTCGTTCCATTCACGATACTGCGACAGCATCTTGGAGCCTTGCGACCAGAGCACATGGTAGTCGGTGATCTGATTGCGGATCAGTCGCGTCACCGCCTCGGAACGTGTGTCAAGCAGTTCCTTGCGTGACTTGGCCGATTCCTGATAGGAGATGATCTTAACCCGGTTCTTAACCTTGTCAATCATCTGGGCGAGCAGGAGGAAGGCCAGATCGATGTTGATGCTCTCATGGGCCGACGTCTCTATGAGTTGCACGGTGCTCTTGTAGTCCTTCCGCTGGCTAATCTTCTCCGCCTCACGAACATACAGCTCGTAGGCATCGTCATTCTTTGTGGTCACCAGCACCAGGGGCTTCTTGTTCTTGAGGATGCTGGCAATGACATTCTGCACAAACTCCACCTGCTTCTCCACACTGCGATTGGGGACGGGACTGACGTCGAAGACAACCACAAAGCCATCGATACTAAGTCGGCCATCGGGCATCACCTTTTGCTCGTACTCCTTCTCGATGCCCAACTGATTCTTGCATATATACATTAGTTTCTCCGCGGAGAAGACCTTGGTGGCGGTGCAGCGCTTCGAGTATGGATCCATCTTGCCCACCTTAAAGGCCTGAAAGGTGGAGTCGTCCATGAACTCGGTCTGCTCAATAATATTGAACTGGTACTCCACGCCCTCGTCCGTCGTCTTGCGGACATCACCCCAATAGAGGAAGTGATCATTGTTTACGATCCGGCCGCTGAAGTCGCTCTGGCTGAGCACTGATATGTGATCGATGAAGTAGTCGTCGGCCATTGGCCGCATAAATCTGTTGCACAAACATGACTTGCCCACGCCCACCTGGCCGCGGTCCTTTTCGGTCCCGGATAGTCCAATGACCGATATGTTAAACTGACGCATCTTGACGTACCTGCCGGGTATTGAGAATATTAGGCTTTGGAGTCAGTTTGTTGTAAGTTTGGTAAGGATTATGGGAAGCTAGTTGCTTCATATAAAACTTGATTTAAACAACTACAAATTAATCCTCATCTGTGGCAGTCAAAAAAGTCTAGACTTTAGGGTTCTATAACAATGGAAGTCATATTCCAAGCGGTTCACTGTGGTTTTCCATCCTCAACTGGAATTCTTACTGCAACCCTGGAGCGACCGATCTCTTTCTAACATCCAAGTTCGATCCAGACAGACTCCCAAAAACCAGTACACTTCGCACACACAGACACACGCACACACATCGGATTAACCGACCGAGAATATAACCTTGTACGACGGATGACAGTATATGTAACTGCTTCCTTTGTCCTTTGTGGGAATTCGGTCCCAGGGACCTTCACATATTCGCACACCGCGGACGACTTTTCGCACAGTCTAGGACTCGGATTGGGGTTTTGCGGCGGATGCTGCTGCTGCCCACAACTACGCAGTTACGGATACATCCACGGATTGGAAGCTTCGAAAACACATCTCTCAGGGCGCGAGCGAGAGCGACAGAGAGCCAGTGAGATTGGCTGCTGCGGTGACAAACGAAGGAAGGACGTAAGCAAGGCAGGAGGAAGGGGGGAAACGCGATTTTCTTATGCCGGCGCTAAGCGAAAAATCTGCCCATGTGATTTCGTAGTCCTCGTTTCAACTGATTCCACTTGATTTCGTCATACAATGCAATGTTTCCTCGTTGTTTCCATTTTTCGTGTTACCTGGCTTGTATTTATGCGATTTTTGACAACATTTTTCGGGAAAATAGGGAAATCGGTCTGCAACAAATCCTTTTTCCAAACTAACTGTTTCTGCTTCTGCTTCTGTTGCAAACAACGGCGCAAGACAGTTGGAGAGAAAGGAAAAGAGAGTGTGCCGTGGAGACACAGAACGAGAGAGAGAGCGCGAGAGAGAGAGAGCAAAATCGTGGGTGGATGGTTGTTGTTGTTGCTGCTGCTGCTAGTGCTGCACTTTTCTCATGCCCAATTTGTTGCTGTTTTATCCTAGGAATTTATTGAAGCTTTTTTTTGTGCGTGGGAGAGTGGAAAGAATAAACAAGCGGCAGCAGCCCCACTGGGCATTAATTGAATTTTTCCGGGAGCAGCACACACACGTGGTGTGGCTGTGTGTGCAGCAAGTGCAGCCAGCAGCACAGAAGCGAAATTGGAGCTGCAACAGATTTCCTGTACAATCTACAGGAACGAGGGAGAGGGCGTCGGGCAGAACGGCGACAGTGATAACAACAACGACACAGGCAAGCTGGGGAAGGCCAAAAAAGAAAAAAAAAAAATACAAAATACAAAATACAAAAAGAACGGCCCACGGTTATTGTTGTTCTCGGATCGGAAGGGAGGTGGAGTGGAAGTTGTTATAGCGAGAGTGAGAGGGCAGTGTCATTGCTGCAAGTGCAGCGGTAAAAAGGAAACGGAACGGGGTGGGGCGGCGGCGGCGGCAGTGGCAGTGGCAGTAGCAATGAGAGAGAGAGCGGGTGCAGAGCCGTAGTCGCTCCATTAAGCCGAAATTCAGATTCGCTGCAGAAAAGAAAAACACTGTTGCCGCATCCGTCTAGCCATCTCGCTTTGGCACGCGCACTTTACCCATTGGTGCCTCCCGCTCGCGCTGAACAATTACCTGCAGTTGCGCACAAAGAAGACTCGCGTGTGCTGTTCAATTTCAGCAGGCGGAGTAGTTTTCTTCAATTATATTCCTCTCGCTGCCAGCCGGTAGCTAGTGCAGCATCAACAAGACGATATCAATATCAACAAATTCCATTCGTATTTGCTTTAATTATTTTTCTTGGCCAACTTCGGCAGAGCAGCAGAAACTCTCACTCGTTCGCAAACTCACTCACACAAACACACGCAAAGGCACGCACGCACGGGGAGTGGAAATGGGAGCGGGAGAGACTGAGCAGGAGAGCGGCAGAGGGAGCGGGAGCAAAGAGAGAGAGCCGTACACAACAACGTATACAAAAGACGAATCAGCATCGTAAAACGCACACATAAAAAAAGGCGAAAAACTCCGGAAAAACTAACTCCGCGAGGGCAACAAAACGCGAATTGCGAATATCGCAACACTCACTACTCACAATTAATGCACTTGCACTCCAAATGCGGGGGGATCGTAATCGAACGTTGGTTAAATAAGTACGAGTAATTCACATCCGAGCTTTAATTGAACAACAACAAAAATGCACCAGCGCACAAGCCAGTGTGGCCGTATTCGAGAAACTTATCGATACCCAGTTATCTGTTTCGACTGCCTTTCGAAATTGAAATTCATCGAAATAAAGAAAATCTGAGAAATATGCTTTAACCGTCAATGAGTAATGCTATAACTGTAAACATATTGCAATATTATAGAATCTGGTAAGTATTTGATATAAATTGATTTTATTTTTTGTGGGCAAAATGAAGCATGACTCTAATTGAAGGCTTGTCATCGATAACAGGTCTAGATGAAGCGCGGCCAACTTCACTTGATATAAGAATAAGTCCGCAATATTTGAAAAATACAAAAATAAAGACAAACTATTAAAACTTTAAAAAATTTACTTAAATATATTCAAGAACCGCACAGTTTTACAAATAAATGTTTTTATTTTGGTCAAATCTTACTGTTTTCATTTATCAATTGTACAAAACACTATTATATTTAGCTGGAGAAATGAGCAGGAAGGGGGGATTCTTACAGGGATTGGGGTTAGACTAATACAACTCAGATTTCTGCATGACTGCGGTGACCAGCGCCTTGAATGCATCCTCGATCATGATAATATGCAGTTGGGCATCCCTATACGAACACAGCTTGGCGCTCTCTGTGAGCGGCATCTGCATGGTGGTCACGCCAAGCGACGACTGCGAGTGCAGACTCCGACCGGTGGTCATCAGGATGTTAACACAGTCATCGGCTAGAATGGGGAACGTCTCGACAAATCGCACCATTGCCGGCAATACGTTCCGCAGGAACTTGCACTTGGTGGAGGCGGTGAGCAGCGACAACGTCGTCTGGATCACATTCAGGCAGAACTTGGACACACCGAGACTCTTGGGAATGGAGTAATTAAGAACCAGATGCGACGTTAGTTCGATGGTGAAGATCTGCTTATCCATTTCGGTGACATTGAGGAATTCGTGAACAAAATCAATGCATATGTGCATCGACGGCACACTGGCCACAATCATAGGGATGACCGACTTGGGGTAAGTCTGAAAATGCACCAGCTTGGCCAGGGAGGGTTCCGAAATGAAGGCCTGATGCACATACGTTCCGATAATGCCCTGAATTTCACGTAATTCCAGATGCGACACACGATCGTTGGCCTTGCTGGCCATATATTCCAGCACCTCGAGCAGAATGTGAACTGCGGCGCTTTCCTGCGAGGCAATCAAAGTGGTCTTTAGCTCCTCCCGATCGGCATCGGTCTGCACTAGGCCATTCTTGTCCACCACCTGCTTTTGCTGCATGTGTACATTGAGGTATGTCTTCGAGGCGGCCAGGCTGCCCTTGAGGATGCGCAGCAGGATCATCAGCAGGTAGGGTGAGCAAAAGACTTGGCGGGGACAGCTGTTAAGAGAATTTGAGGATTATTTGCATCTCTCAATAGTACTTCTTTTACACGAAACTCACCTGAGCACCTCCATTGGCTCCAGCAGGCTCTCGTTGGCAAATGTCCGCCTTGTCAGCGAATCCGAGCCGTTGGTGATCGCTCGCAGCGACATTATCCACAGGGTGGTGGGCAGGACAGCGTTTAGACGCAGCCAAATATCATTGTACAGGTCCTTAATGTAACGCGGCACAGGTTTGGCAAACACCAGAGGCAGATGCTGCACCAACTGCTGGCCATACTGGGCCAGAGATTCCGGTGGAAGAAGCAGCAGCTGCTTAAACACCCGAATAGCCAGATGTGGTTTCGTTTGGATGGCGGCCAGGGCGCGATCCAGCTGGTGTGGCTTCAGTTCGCGTTGCTGCTTGGTTACAGTGGAGATGGTGGTGGTGATTGCTGCGCTGCCGCCTTGCGCCTGACTGTGCTCCTGCTCCAGCCAGTCATCGACCATGCTGAGATGCGGATAGTTGGAGATGATGAGACGTAGCAGCGGATGGAAGAGCGAGAGGTAGTCGTGATGATAATGGTGTGCCTTTTGCAGCAGATACTTGAGCGGAAGGCCGCCCAGGAAGTTGTTGGAGTACTCCTTCTGCTTGCGCCCACCCAGAGCGCTCAGATTCATCAGGCGCGTGTCCTCGTACAGCATCAGATAGTAGATCATTAGCAGCTGAGCGGTAAGCGGGCAACTCACCTCAATCTGGGCCAGCTCCTCGCTCTCCGCCATCGGTGGCAGTTCCTCGGCAAAGAACGTCAGCTGGGAGGTGCGGAAGACATGCAGAATCTCCGCCTCAGTGAAGGGCCGGTGCATATGATCGATGTTTACCTTGCCAGTGGGATTTGGTATAATTAACGTATTCACAAACACCTCGACCATGGCTGGCATCACCGGATGCACAGGACGCACCGAGCTGCAGATCTGCTTGAAGATCCACGACTTGATCGGTACTTTGTGCTTGAGAAATGTCCGCGACTTGAGCAGCTGATGGATGCAGTGAACTGGCAAATAGCCCGGCAAAGTGCCATTCAAGTTTGACGTCACCGGCACCCGGACTGCATGCAGGGCCACCACCTGCTCGGTGAAGAGATCCTGCGTGAATAGCTGCTTAATTCGATTGGTGCTGTTCGGTCGTATGGGTATTTTCATGGCCAGCGTGGAGCAGACCATTTCACTGATATTGGCAATCTGATTGCTATGGAAATGGATGGCCAGCAGGAGGAGCATCTCACCTAGCGAGGTGCTGGTACCGGAGCGTTTGCAAAAGAAGGCATCCTCGCGTATCAACCACTGCAGCCACTCCACAGCCTTGTTCTCCAGCGGTATGGTGGACACCAGCGAGGGGCAGGCAATGAGCATGCATAGGGCCAGTGTAACAAATCTCACGCCCGAAGGCGTAGCCTTTGGACAGCTGGTCACGAGCTGGGACAGTGCATTGATCTCGTCATCGTTGAACTTGAGACCGCCAATGCCACGGAGCGCACAGTACAAGCGCAACAGCACCGCTCCCTGTAAATTAAAGTCGGGCAGCTCAGCCGCCCTGCTCGTCGTCTGTATCACCTTCTGCAGGAGCTCCACACGCACCAGATTTAGGGCATCCCCCTTCCGCTTCTGGCTGGAACGGATGTAGACGGCAAACCAGGACCGCAGGTTTTGATCGTTGCCCAGCAGCAGACCGGTGAGAAAGGCAATCTGGTGGAGAACAGAAAAACTATTATAGGTAGTGTCCATGTCTTCCTCTCAAATGGAATGCGACAGCTATAGCTGGATTAGCCATCTCTGTTCATTTCAAATCTAAGAGCACACACTCACCAGATCCTCGGGATGCTTAAGCGTTAGCTTGAGCATAAACGACGGCACCTTGAGCATCTCCACGCACATAGAGCGATTAGCCAGCGCCTGCGAAGGGTTCATCTCGCTGAGAGCCATTAGCAGAGTCAACCGATGCTTGCCATCGCTGCCCTCCTCATCGCAGTTGGCAATCACATGCGAAACCACATCGCGATAGCAGTCGGGAAAGTTGGCCACCAGAGCACAAATGATGCGATGACCGTTGGGCACATGCACCAGGGCATCAGTTAGCTCCAGGATGTTAAGCAGCGAAGGCAACTCGGCCAGGGCGATGCATAGAATGTCGACAACTTCCTCCAAATAGATGCCATCGTCCAGCATTTCGGAATGGGCCGCCGGCTTCTGCTCCTGGACCTGCTGCTGCAGATTGAAGATCTCGGAGAGCACTACTCGAACCTTGCGCGCCACATCCGCTCGCTCAAAGCCCAGAGCAATGCCCGATTGCAGGCCATATTCGTGCTGCTGCTGGCCCTCAAAGTAGGCTGCCTTCTGGCGTGTCTGCAGTTCCTTTTTCAGCTCATTCTCCAGCTCGTGGTAGTTAACTTGTAGATAGGAGACAATGCTGTTCACCACCTCGATGCCAATGAGAACCGCAAGGATTTGTTTGCGAGACTCCATCGACGACTCGGTGTTGTCCAGCGGCGACAGCAGGCTCATGCGGACCAGCGAAGGCAGCACCGGCCGTATCTCCGTCTCCGGATAGCTGGCCAGCAGCGTTATGTCCAGGTTCTGCATCGCACTAAACACCCGCGCCGTCACATCGTACATCTTAACCGGCATCTTGACGGGCCTCCCCTTCGCCTTGGCCGTCGTCGTCGCCTCCTCCTGCCCAACTTGTTGCTTGTCGCCCGCCGTCGCCGCTGCGGGGGGATTCACTGTTTCTTTGATTCTAGCTGGCCGGATACCTGGGCCTTTGGTTGCCAGCACAGGTGGCTGCGTTGGTCTCTGCTAGTTTCGATGAACCGGAAAAATTAAAATCCACATAAACAGTGAAAAAATAATGTCCAGCAACCACCAGTGTGGGATAACGATGAAAGGGCATGAAAACATACGTATAAACTGTTATACACAGGCAAACAACGAGGAAACCGAATTAATCAACGTCAAGTCTTCTAAAAATAAGGGATATACATTTTTTATATTAAACTGTATGCAAGGATTATTGGGTAATTAAAAAAAAACAAACAAACATTTGTGCATTTCTAGCTACTTTTAAAACAAAAACTGTTTGTTTTGCAGCACTAACTGAAAATACTAGCTGTGATGGGAATATATACCAAAACTATTTACAAAACACCAATTATTTATATATAAAATTAAACAAAATATATCCTTTTTAATTATAAATAAATACATTTATAAAAAAAAAACTATGCTCATTAACTATCAAATTTTTGCCAGAAATTCCACAGTTGAAATATTTTGAAAATTCTAACTGTGATGAGAATATATACCAAACCTATTTACAATTCAACAATGTTTTACTTATATATAAAATTAACCGAAATGTATTCTTTTTATTGATAAATAAATAAATTGATAAAAAGGGGACAATGCTAATTAACTATCTAATTTCTGCAAGAAATTCCATAGTTATTGTAACGTAAATATACATGCTAGTCATATTTGTCAAATTTTGTATTTGAAAAAGTTCGCAGCAAAGCAAGCCTCTTGAAATGTGTAATCTACGTTTTAAATAGATTTGGGAGAAAGTAAATGATAAAATTAAATTAAATGAAAAGCTTTACAAGTAGCATTTAAAGTTATTTTATTAAATTTAAAGAGTTACGAGTTCGCTGGGCGATCATGGTACACTTTTTCTAGCCAGATCTGGTGGGACGAGACCGTGCGCAAAAAAAACAGCACTGCCACACTGCGCAATTGGCGTTTTTTTTAGCGCCATCTAGCTTGCCATATCAATCGTTCGCAACGCGTTGGCAGCGCCGCACTCCTCCGATGTTTTGAATACACACTTTTTTCCATTCTCGCCGTTCACCCCAGACCGAAGATTTTTAGACATAAAAATCTATGAAATTAACAACGTTTTACGACTCGACTAGTGCAAAGTCTGCAAAATTAAACTGTAGGTAAGTGCAAGTCGCCGCCGTGCAGTGTGTAGCGATGTGAAAAAGCCGCAAAAAGGCGGAAAAAGTGTGTGTGGATTAATAGACCAACGCCCAAGGAGTCCCGTTCCGCAGAGCAAGCAGCGAAACCAAAAAAAATGCAAGAAGAAGAGGCAGCAGCAGCGCCGAGAGAGCGGCGAAGTGCAAAAGTATCTTTCGGATTCGAAGTGGGACAATTGATCGGGATGCGAAAAGTGTGTGTTTTTTGTTTTTTTTTCGCCATAAAATCACAAACATATCATGGATTATAAATTGTCCGCTGGCTCATTTATTTTGCCGCTGCCCATAGTAGCTGCTGCTGCTGCCGCCTCTGCCGCCGTGCCGTTGATGACATCATTCGGTTTTCGGTGAGAGCGTGCGTGTGCTTGTGTGAGTGTTGTCTTATTACAGTAATCGAATTGGACGTGTGTGTGCGTTTTCCTAGCATTCGTTTTATTTTTATGTTCCGTCCGTTGCCCGTCGGCCTAACAACTATGAATTTAACTTTAAACTGAGTGTAAGAAAAAACATGAGAGTGTTTCAAAACAAAACGCAAGCCTGTGGGCAAAGCCGCAACATGAGGAAGCAGGACAAGAACTTAAGTAACATTTGCGTCAGTTGGTGATAAAAAAAATTAAAAATGAAAAAGAAATAAACCGAGCCAATCGCCTAATCGGACATATATACATATATGAATGTGTGCGTGTGTGTTTATGATTCGTCCGCTCATTTTTTTTTTTGCTTCCTCATAGATACACCTATGCACTTGGCTGAAATACAGTTACGTGCCTACCAACACACTCACACAGACACGCACGCACTCGGGCTGTGTAAAAATAGGAAACACTCCACTCCATCACCGCCGCCGCCGCCGCCACCACCACCAACACCCCCCCTCACTAAGGCACTCCCCCTTTTTTCTTTTTGAAGAGGTCACGAGTTGAAGTTTCTTTTGTAAAATAGAAATACAAATGCACCGAGGCTGTGTGTACAATGCATATCTTCTAGCCTGCACTTGCACTTGTTTGTTGTTGTTTATGACAAACCTCACTCATACACACCAGCCCGCACACACATATTGGAGCCGTGTTGTAAACACAACACAGAAACAACAAGCAAACGAAACAAATTAACTGGGCTCATACCACATAAATGGTAATGGAAAACTGGTTTTTCCTTAGCAAATTATAGTCGCTTTTTGGTGGTGGTTTCATTTCCAAGTTTCCAAGTTGAACTCTTGGCCTGTTTAATTGAACTCACAGTTACAGTTGCACAACTACAACTACAACTGAACGACTCCACGCCCCGCTCTCTCGCTCAATCACTCTCTTTGGGGGACTCCCTCATGAAAAGTGTGTGATGAACTCACTCAAAACAAGAGGATCGGCCCGTTAAAAGAAAAGTGTGCCATAATTAAGTCTCAAAAAAGAAGGAGCGAGAAAGCTTGAGAGAGCGACTTATGCAGTTTCAACCCTCACTCCCACTCGCTCTCGCTCTCTTTGCACCACCACCTTCTTCAGATACACAATCACGCGCGCTCTGTCGCTCCAATTGTGCGTGCCCGCCCTGTCGTTCTATCGCTCACTCTCTCTGTCTCTGTTGAGTTTTAAGCTTCGTTTTAATAAAAATATTACGTAATACAAAGATAGAAGCTGCTTGTGTGTGTGAGTGTGCCGATTTGCTGTTTTTGTTTGTTTTAACAATTCTCGTTATGCGTGCTGTTGTTACTATTGGTGTTGTCATAAAATTAGTACAAATTAAATCAGCAGCTTAGGTAATTCTTCAGGAATCCCAGGCGAGCGAGGAAAAAGAAGAGGGAAAAAAGAACAGGCGGATAATGAGTGGGAGGTCAGAGTGGGAGCAGTAAAAGAAAGGGGAGCAGCAGAAGAATAAGGGGAGCAGCAGCATAAGGGAAGTGAAAAGTATGAGTAGGCGTAGAAGCGAATGACCCCAGAGCGGGAACCTGTGTTCATGCGAAAAAAGGGGAATAAAGGTCAAAGGACATTAGCACACAAAAACGGATTCACTAGCTGTTATACACACAGCTAGCGGTATTTCGCTCCATTTGTCTTCCTGTTTTACCATTTTCCTTTTTGACCTAGGTTCGCTTTTAACCTCGTGACTTTTTCAAATTAATAGCGAACAAAATCCAATATTTAATTAAAACAAAACCGAAAAAGGAAACTCCAGCATAAGAATAAAAAATTATAATAAAAACTAAACATTGCGCGCCGGAAGCCGAAATGTGAAAGCCGCCGCGGAGAAAGTACCAAGCAACGAACAAAACAAACCAAAGTACAGCTACAAAGTACACTAGGGCTTTTTAGAGCAATTTCCACGGCGAAAAAGAGGTGTGAAAATGGAAATGCAAAATGCTGTGATGTTCAAACATGTATGTATGTAGATTCAGACTGAGATTCGGACTCAGATTCAGTTTCGGAATGAAAATGGGATGTTCGAGGGCCGCACTCGTATGTGAATAGGTCATAATTGCACAGCTACATCAATACAGTGTGTGCGTGTGTGTGTCAATGTGTAAAAAAAACAACAAAATTCAAATAACAGGCGCATAAAAAAAGCGAAAAGCTGGCAAATGAAAATGGAAACTGGGCTCAGTCAGTCTGTGCTGAGTACCCATCATAGTTGAGGTCATAAAAATAGCACTAAAAAGTGACAAGGCCTTGCCATTTAATAGACAAGTGAATATCCCATGCATATCTCTATATATTTCTAAACATTTAGTGAATATAAAAAAATAGACCCGAGTGAAATGTTTGGTTTAGCTGCAAAAATAAATCATCTAAAGAAGATACATATGTACATATATGGCAGGGAAAGGTCTCACCCTCTACCTCTAATTTTGATTTATTGATTATTTAAAACAATTTACTTTTAAAAAATGCATATACTTTTCTATAATAATTATTAAGAATAAAGCTGTATATACATTTGTATATTTGTATGACAAGGTGAAACCTTCAATTCAACTTGCTTATCATTTTTTTATTAGGTTAAACATGACATCATGAGATAAAGCTTTTAAACTTTTTTTTTTGCGAAAAAAAGTATTCAAACTGAAAGAGTAGAGTTCATTCTGGATTTTTAAAATTAAATACAATTTATAAAAGAAAAAAATCTGATTAAATTAGATTTATATTTATAAGAATTTAATTTAAAAATGCCAATCCTGTATCCTGCATTTACAATATGTTTAAATTTTGATATAGATTTTTGCCTTGGATTTTCCCACACACACACATACAGTATTTATCAATTAATTAGCAATTAACTATCAATTTAAATGTGATAACCTCTCTGCTTCTCTGCGAACTACTCGGGGTAATTAGCTACTACTCGATGCACACATACACACAGTTCTATATACGATTCTGTCCCCACAATCCCTCGATTTTGTGAATTGAATTTCCTGCAATTTGATGGTTTCGGTTGGGGCACCAGCCACTCTGCCGGCTCCACTGCTCTGGTATGACCCGGTGATGGTTGTATGATGTAATCGCATTCAAGTTGGACAATTGCGATCGGACATTGTGGCAACGATGACCCCATGTGACGCCATCCAAAAAAAAAAAAAAATAATAAATAAGGGGGAAAACAAAAGAAACAAAAAAAAAAAAAAAAACTATACCTAGAGAGAGGCCGACAATGAATCATCAATTATCTAAGCTATTTTCTCACCGCCAACTCCTCGACTTTTCCCCCATTTCAGTGATTCTCTTGTGAAGGCGACGACGACAACACAACGCGGTTTGGACTTGAAAGGATTTCAGTTGAACGAACGAAGAACAGAGGCGTGGAGAGGCGAGCTCCCGGAGGATTTAAAATTACGAACGAGAACGAACACTAGCCACTACTAACTAACCTAAATACCTAAGCTAAGAACTCAACTTCAACTTCAACTCAAACGAATCCATTGTGGAAACTGAACTCGAGGAAGCGCAACCATGACGACGGACATCTCGATTGTTCGCTGGGATCCCAGCCAGGGTCCCGGCAACGAGTACATCGATGAGTACGAGTACGATGGCGGTAACAGCAGCTCCCGCCTGTTCGAACGCTCCAGGATCAAGGCGTTGGCCGAGGAGCGTGAGAGTGTGCAAAAGAAAACCTTCACCAAATGGGTAAACTCGCATCTGTGCCGTGTCAACTGCCGCATCGCCGATCTCTATGTGGATATGCGCGATGGCAAGCATCTGATCAAGCTGCTGGAGGTGCTCTCCGGTGAGCGATTGCCCAAGCCCACAAAGGGCAAGATGCGTATCCATTGTCTGGAGAATGTCGACAAGGCCTTGCAGTTCCTTCGCGAGCAGCGTGTCCATTTGGAAAATATTGGATCGCACGATATTGTTGATGGCAATGCTTCCCTCAATTTGGGCCTGATTTGGACCATCATCCTGCGCTTTCAAATTCAGGACATCACCATTGAAGAGGTGGACAACAAGGAGACCAAATCGGCCAAGGATGCCCTACTGCTGTGGTGCCAGATGAAGACCGCCGGCTATCACAACGTCAATGTCCGCAACTTTACGACATCGTGGCGCGACGGCCTGGCCTTCAATGCCATCATCCACAAACACCGTCCGGATCTGGTGCAGTTCGAGAAGCTCTCAAAGACGAACGCCATCCACAATCTGAACAATGCCTTTGACGTTGCCGAGGACAAGCTGGGCCTGGCCAAGCTCCTCGACGCCGAGGATGTGTTCGTCGAGCATCCAGATGAGAAATCGATCATTACCTATGTGGTCACCTATTACCATTACTTTAGCAAGCTCAAGCAGGAAACGGTGCAGGGCAAGCGTATTGGCAAGGTCGTTGGCATTGCCATGGAGAACGACAAGATGGTCCATGACTACGAGCACTTCACCAGCGATCTGCTCAAGTGGATTGAGACTACCATTCAGTCGCTGGGTGAGCGAGAGTTCGAGAACTCCCTGGCCGGTGTCCAAGGACAGTTGGCGCAATTCTCCAACTACCGCACCATCGAGAAGCCGCCCAAGTTTGTGGAGAAAGGAAACCTGGAGGTGCTCCTCTTCACGCTGCAGTCCAAGATGCGGGCGAATAACCAGAAGCCGTACACTCCCAAGGAGGGTAAGATGATTTCCGATATTAACAAGGCCTGGGAGCGTCTGGAGAAGGCCGAACACGAACGTGAGCTGGCATTGCGCGAGGAGCTGATCCGTCAGGAGAAGCTGGAGCAGCTTGCCGCTCGTTTCGATCGCAAGGCATCCATGCGGGAGACGTGGCTGTCGGAGAATCAGCGTTTGGTTAGCCAGGATAACTTTGGTTTCGATCTGGCAGCCGTTGAGGCGGCGGCCAAGAAGCATGAGGCCATCGAGACCGATATCTTTGCATACGAGGAACGTGTCCAGGCCGTTGTTGCCGTCTGCGATGAGCTGGAGTCAGAGCGCTATCACGACGTGAAGCGCATCCTGTTGCGCAAGGACAATGTGATGCGTCTGTGGACATACCTGCTCGAGTTGCTGCGCGCACGCCGCATGCGTCTGGAGATCTCGTTGCAGCTGCAGCAGAACTTCCAGGAGATGCTCTACATTCTGGATAACATGGAGGAGATCAAGCAGCTGCTGATGACCGACGACTATGGCAAGCATTTGATGGGCGTCGAGGACCTGCTGCAGAAGCACTCCCTCGTGGAGGCCGACATCAATATCCTTGGCGAGCGCGTCAAGGTCGTGGTGCAGAACTCACAGAAGTTCCTCAGCGACGACCCCGAATCGTACAAGCCCTGCGATCCCGAGATCATTGTGTCGCGTGTCCAACAGCTGGAGGATGCCTACGCCGAGCTGGTGCGCTTGGCCGTTGAGCGCCGCAGCCGGCTGGAGGAGAGCCGCAAGCTCTGGCAATTCTATTGGGATACCGCCGATGAGGAGAACTGGATCAAGGAGAAGGAGCAGATTGTCTCCACCGATGAGGTGGGTCACGACCTGACCACCGTCAACCTGTTGCTGAGCAAGCATAAGGCCCTCGAGTCGGAGATCACATCGCACGATCCCCAGCTGCAGAATGTGGCCAAGGTTGGCGCCGAGCTGATCACCGAGGGTCACTTTGGTGCTGATCGCATCAAGGACCGCTTGAAGGAGATCCTCTCCAAGTGGGACCACCTGCTCGATCTGACCAAATATCGGCGCCAGCGTCTGGAGAACGCCGTCGAGTACTTCCAGCTATTCGCCGATGCCGACGATGTTGACAACTGGATGCTGGATACGCTGCGCATCGTTTCCAGCGAAGATGTGGGCCGCGATGAGGCCAATGTTCAGTCCCTGCTGAAGAAACACAAGGATGTAGCTGACGAGCTAAAGAACTACGCCGAGGTTATCGATGCTCTGCACAAGCAGGCCGAGAGCCTGAAGCTCAATGAGGCAGAGAAGGCTAATGTAGACAAGCGCTTAGAAGCCATCGACAACCGCTACAAGGAGCTTACCGAGCTGGCCAAGCTGCGCAAGCAGCGTCTCCTTGATGCCCTCAGCCTTTACAAGCTGATGTCGGAGGCCGATGGAGTCGAGCAATGGATCAAGGAGAAGACCAAGATGCTGGACACAATGACGCCCGGCAAGGATATCGAGGATGTGGAAATTATGAAGCATCGTTTCGAGGGCTTTGACAAGGAAATGAACGCCAATGCCTCTCGTGTCGCTGTTGTCAACCAGTTGGCCCGCCAGCTCCTGCACGTCGAGCATCCCAACTCGGATGAGATCTTGGAGCGTCAGAATCATCTCAATCAGGAGTGGTCGACGCTGCGCGAGAAGGCCGAGGCCAAGATGGATGATCTGAAGTCTGCCCATGGCGTTCAGACCTTCTACATTGAGTGCCGCGAAACGATCTCGTGGATTGAGGACAAGAAGCGCATCCTCACCGAAACCGATAGCCTCGAGATGGACTTGACCGGTGTGATGACCCTGCAGCGTCGCCTCAGCGGCATGGACCGTGACTTGGCCGCCATCCAGGCCAAACTGTCTAGCTTGGAGCGGGAGGCGAACAGCATCGAGGATGAGCATCCCGAGGAGGCGCAGATCATCCGTGAACGCATTGCCCAGATCGAATTGATTTGGGAGCAGCTCACGCAGATGCTCAAGGAGCGCGACTCGAAATTGGAGGAGGCCGGTGATCTGCATCGTTTCCTGCGCGACCTCGATCACTTCCAGACGTGGCTGACCAAGACGCAGACGGACGTTGCTTCCGAGGATACGCCCACATCGCTGCCAGAGGCCGAGAAGCTGCTCAACCAGCACCAGTCCATCCGCGAGGAGATCGACAATTACACCGAGGACTACAAGAACATGATGGAGTACGGTGAGCGTCTGACCTCCGAGGGCAGCACTTCGGACGACCCGCAGTACATGTTCCTGCGCGAGCGCCTCAACGCCCTGAAGGACGGCTGGGAGGAGCTGCATCAGATGTGGGAGAACCGACAGGTGTTGCTGTCGCAGAGCCTCGACCAGCAGCTCTTCAATCGAGATGCCCGCCAGACCGAGGTGCTGTTGAGCCAGCAGGAGCACTTCCTCAGCAAGGACGATACGCCGGTTAATCTGGAACAGGCCGAGAACCAACTGAAGCGTCACGAAGCCTTCCTCACCACCATGGAGGCCAACGATGACAAGATCAATACACTGCTCCAGGTGGCCGACACCCTGGTGGAGAAGGATCACTTCGATGCCGATAAGATTGGCAAGCGGGCGGAGAATATCACTGGACGACGTGATGATAACCGCCAGCGCGCGTTGGATCAGCACGAGAAGCTAAAGAACCAGGTGAAGCTGCACGAGTTCCTGCAGGATCTTGAGGAGCTTGCCGAGTGGGTGCAGGAGAAGTATGCCACGTCGCAGGATGAATCATACAGGAGCGCCAAGACCATCCACTCGAAGTGGACGCGCCACCAGGCCTTCGAGGCGGAGATAGCCGCCAATAAGGAGCGCCTCTTCGAGGCCGAAAAGTCCGCCCAGGAGCTGTCTAAGGAGAAGCCCGAATTCAAGGACGTGATCGAGCCGAAGCTGAAGGAGTTGGCCAAGCAGTTCGATGACTTGGAGGTGCACACCAAGGAAAAGGGCGCCATGCTCTTCGATGCCAACCGTGAAGTGCTCGTCCAGCAGACCTGCGACGACATTGACTCATACATTACCGATCTGGAGAAGCAGATCGTTAGCGGCGACACTGCTAACGATCTGACATCGGTCAACATTCTGATGCAGAAGCAACAAGTCATCCAAACGCAGATGGCGGTGAAGGCCCGTCAAGTGGAGGAGATCGACAAGCAGACCGAATATCTGCAAAAGACCGTTCCGGAGGAGAAGATCGAACCGATTGTGGTGAAGAAGACCGCCGTGCTGGAGCGTTTCGAGAAGATCAAGGCGCCGCTGTTGGAGCGACAGAAGGCGCTCGAGAAGAAGAAGGAGGCCTTCCAGTTCTGTCGCGATGTCGAGGATGAGAAGCTCTGGATCGATGAGAAGCTGCCGGTGGCGAGTAGCTCCGACTATGGCAACTCCCTGTTCAATGTCCATGTTCTTAAGAAGAAGAACCAATCGCTGGCCACCGAAATCGATAACCATGAGCCACGCATCAATGCCATCTGCAACAATGGCCGCAAGCTGATCGATGAGGGTCACGAGGATGCCAAGAAGTTCGAGGCGCTGATCAGTGATCTTACCCAGAAGTGGCAGGAGCTCAAGGACGCCATTGAGAACAGGCGCAAGCATCTGCTGGAGTCCGAGAAGGTGCAGCAGTACTTCTTTGATGCCCAGGAGGCTGAGTCGTGGATGAGCGAACAGGAACTCTACATGATGGTCGAGGACCGCGGCAAGGACGAGATCAGTGCCCAGAATCTGATGAAGAAGCACGAGAATCTGGAGCAATCGGTGGAGGACTATGCCAACACCATTCGCCAGCTGGGCGAGGTGGCTCGACAATTCAGTGGTGACGATGTCTCCTCCGGCGACGCTGTTGCCGTCAAGCAATCGCAGCTGGACAAGCTCTATGCCGGGCTCAAGGATCTAGCCGGTGAGAGGAGAGCACGCCTCAACGAGGCCCTGCAGCTGTTCATGCTCAGCCGCGAAGTGGACGATCTGGAGCAATGGATCACGGATCGGGAGGTCGTTGCCGGTTCACAGGAGCTGGGCCAGGACTTTGATCATGTGACGCTGCTGTCGGAGCGCTTCAATGAGTTCGCCCGCGACACAGAGGCTGTGGGCGGCGAGCGGGTGGCCAAGGTGAACGGCATTGCCGACAATCTCATCCAGGCCGGACACTCGGACTCTGCCACCATTGCCGAATGGAAGGACAACCTGAACGAGTCGTGGCAGGATCTGCTGGAACTGATCGACACCCGAACCCAGATGCTTGCCGCATCACGGGAGCTGCACAAATTCTTCCACGACTGCAAGGATGTTCTTGGACGCATCCTCGAGAAGCAGCACGGCGTTTCCGATGAGCTGGGACGCGATGCCGGTTCCGTGTCGACGCTGCAGCGCAAGCACTACAACTTCTTGCAGGACCTCACCACACTGTACTCGCAGGTGCAGCAGATCCAGGAGGAGTCCGCCAAGCTGCAGGATGCCTATGCCGGCGACAAGGCAAAGGAGATCACCAATCGGGAACAGGAGGTGCTCCATGCCTGGGACAATCTGCAGGCGATGTGCGATGCGCGCAAACAGAAGCTGGCCGACACGGGTGACCTGTTCCGCTTCTTTAACATGGTGCGCATCCTGATGATCTGGATGGAGGACCTCGTCCGCCAGATGAACACCTCGGAGAAGCCGCGCGATGTCTCCGGCGTGGAGCTGCTGATGAACAACCACCAGAGCCTAAAGGCAGAGATCGATACGCGCGAGGATAACTTTGCGGCGTGCATCTCGCTGGGCAAGGAGCTACTCACCCGGAATCATTATGCCACCGCGGAGATCAAGGATCGACTGCTGCAGCTAAGCAATAGCCGGAATGCCCTGCTTCGACGCTGGGAGGAGCGCTGGGAGAATCTTCAGCTGAGTGAGTGTCAACGTGGCAGCTCTCATGAGATATTCCGCAAACTAATCATTTGTCTTAACTTGCAGTCCTGGAGGTCTACCAGTTCGCCAGAGACGCTGCCGTGGCCGAGGCCTGGCTTATTGCCCAAGAGCCTTACCTGCTCTCCTCGGAGCTGGGCCACACCATCGATGAGGTGGAGAATCTGATTAAGAAGCACGAGGCCTTTGAAAAGTCTGCCGCCGCTCAGGAGGAGCGCTTCAGTGCTCTTGAGCGTTTGACAACAGTGAGTGTCGTTTTTCCTTTCCTCTCCCCCCTTAGGTATATTAAATATTAACATTTCATTTAATATTATTTTGCAGTTTGAGCTTAAGGAAATGAAGAGGCGCCAGGAGCTGGCAGAGGAGGCCGAGCGACAGCGCATCAAGGAGGAGCAGGAGGCCAAGGCCGCCTCGGAGGCGGCGGAATTGGCCAAACGAGAGGCTGAGCGACGCGACGACGTCGACGTTGGAGCATCGCACGATGATTCAGGTATTGAATAATGTCCGCCTTTCTTCTCTAACTCATGGTACATCCAACCATCCAACCATCCCTCCACCATATATCCATTTCCATTTCCATATCCATATCCACATCCCTCCCAGGCGTACTATCAAGATCCCCGCACGCTCGTCCAACCTAAACAAGCGCCAAAACTTAACTTTAAACGTGTTCTCTGTCATTCACTCATGCTTACTAAAAAAAAATAAAAATAAATTAAAAATGAAACCAACCTCACCCTGACATGGATTAACCAACTAACCAATCAACTTTAACCCCGGTGAAGCCGGCAAAGACACGGCCGTCGAATTTGAGCGCGTTGTCGAGATCCAAACAGGTATAAAACAACCCTTAGCTAGCCGCAGATCCATAGCATTTCTCTAATATATAAGCCAGCATGCAGTTATTCATAACGTTTTGTGTTTTGCAATTATCTATTTACTGAAACCGGAATGCAAACCGGAAGCTTGGGAACTCTTTAAACTAACCAAAATTCTATAATTCACAGAACGAGGCGCTACACCAGCCGCTGGCGAAGGCCAGGAGGGCTATGTGACAAGGAAGCACGAATGGGATTCGACCACCAAGAAGGCCTCAAACCGATCTTGGGATAAGGTAATTGTAGAACTTGATATTTAATTGATATTTAAGCGTGGAATTGAAGAGGAATCCGGTTGCATTAATCAACAAGCTGTTTTTAAAAGCTCTGTGGCTTAGGGAGCTGTGTTTTGATGCCTTCCAATAAGGCGGTGCGGTGTTCTTGGGCCTATTGTTGCTATTCTTTCGCAGCTTATGCTCAAGGAGCTTGAGTCACTTTTCATAATCGATGGTCTTGCGCCGCATAATCCTCCGTCGCTGCACCTGATTTTCCTTGTACTCGCAGTAGAGTCCTGGTCCTTATACTAGGCTTATTCCTGTGGCTGCTTCGTCTCGTACTACTTAACCTTCGTGTTGTACTTGCTCTGCCATGTAATCTCCTGCAGCTTGAAGAGATTCACTGCCTCCTGGTCGTATTTTAAACGCAGAGAACGCCTCGATTTAGTTGCTGTTTTCCCGCTCACTTGCTGCGCCTCGATTCAACACTGATTTGTGCCTAGATTTTGACAGCTTTTGCTTCTCCTACTCATCACCTTAAAATCTTTCCCATTTTAGGTTTACATGGCTGCCCGTGCCGGACGCATTTCGTTCTTCAAAGATCAGAAGGGTTACAAGAGTAATCCCGAATTGACCTTCCGCGGTGAGCCCAGCTACGATCTGCAAGGAGCTGCCATCGATGTTGCCACTGATTACACCAAGAAGAAGCATGTGCTGCGAGTGAAGTGAGTGTACTGGAAGATTATTTATACGAATCTCCTAACTTACATTTCGTATTTCCATTTACAGGCTCGCCAATGGTGCCGAGTTCTTGCTGCAGGCCCATGATGACAACGAGATGTCCCAGTGGGTGTCATCCCTGAAAGCCCAGAGCGATTCGGCAGCGGTGGCCGCCAGCAGATCCCAGACTCTGCCTGCCACCTCACAAAAGGATGAACCAAAGCGCCGATCGTTTTTTACTTTAAAGAAAAAGTAAACTAAAAAGCCTAAACGCTAAAACGCTAAACGCAACCATTAAGCAAGAGCAGCTAATTAAAACAAAAAAATAATATATAATATAATACAGCAAAGAAAAGAAGGGAAAGTAAAACGACAAAAATTATACAAGAGGAAAGAAAGATGACGACGGAAAGAAGCAAATATATATATATTTTTTTTCATATATTTAAACTTATTTCGTAATGAGAAACAAAAAAGGTAAAAAACCCCGACAAAAACTTGCAAGAGAACGAGCAAAACGTAAACAATTATTATGCTTATCAAATTTGCACGATAAATACTGCTATTATGATTAAAACGTATGTATCTTATTTATTTAAACAAAATACAAAGTAATATAAAGATAAACAAAACAAAAACAAACGGAAAAAATACAAAAACAAGCAAAAAAAACATTTGAGGAAAACCAACTCGTGTATGCATTTCAATGTATTCGATAAATAAACGAAAAATATTCCTTTAAAGTACACCAAATGCCAGCACAGACTGGGTTCGCACTTCCTACTACAGGGTGGTCTCCTCCTAGATCTTATCCTTCTTCTCCTTTTGTTTTTTCTTATCCTTCCCGTTTTCCTTGATTTCTCCTTTACTCTCCAATGGCCTCGGGTTGATCACCAGACTTATCAACCGATTGCATGGCATCTCGAAAAACAACGTGATTCCTATAGCTAGTATATAGATGACTACCGATTCGGCAATGAATAAAAGGATCTGAAAAGGATATTGAGAAAAGGGATTAATCATTATCTTATGTCAATCAATGCCTTTTAGATGCATAACGCCCCACGATTCTCTAGGAATAGGTTCTTCGAAAGCTAAAGAAAGGATCTTTGGATCTGGATCCCTTATATTTTGAGGCGCCCCGCTTTATGCATCTAAAAAGCATCTTCAATGAAAACCTACCAACATGGATGTGTCTGAATTAACGCTGGCGGTGAAGGAGTGATAGAACCATGAGATCACCGCTGGATTTAACAGGTAAATGGCATAGGTGAAACGACTCATTCGCTGAACGTGTTCGGACTGCAGCAACGCCAGCAACCAGCGGTTGGGCGCATACAAGTCATCGCTAGTGTCCTTCTTGGTGGCACACACAATCAGGTGGCTAGCATAGGAGGCCACCAGGGCTCGCAAAATAGACATGATGCCAAACCGGATGCCAACCCCTATCAGCTGTTCCGATATAATCAGTTGGATGAACCACAGGAGGCCTCCGCCAAGGACGAGCCTAGGCCAGCCGCTGGGCACAATTGTCTCGAAGGGTGTATCCAGACCCTTGAGTCGCGTATAAGCATAGGCACCGCCCGTTACATAGCCCAGCAGACGGGGTATCGGACACACATAGGACCACTCGGCGGTATAGAAGAAGTCCTCAAAGGTGGGCCCCACCTCGACCAGATGCATCATAATTAGGGGAAGGGTCATGCTAAGAACCACCAGGATGCAGGAGATACCCCTAACCGCCTTCGGATGCCGTGTATGGGCAAAGAGGAGCAGGAGGGCCAGGATATGGAGTTGCATGTCGCAGGCCAGCGACCATGTCCACGAGCCGCACAACTCCGTCACAGAAAAGAGATTCTGGATGAAGAGCATGTTGCGAAGCCAATGGCGCTTGCACCTCAAGTCCGTCGGCTCTGTGATTTCTAATACGGACACCTGTCGCTGATATTCCACGGCCACCACGCCCGCCAACACCACCAAGAACTGCATCGGTGCCAGTCGCCAGAAGCGATGCATCACCAGTCGCAGGAAGCGACGTACATTGCCCCACAGTCCATCGCCAGCGATGTCTTGCTGCAGCTGCTCATCACCCAAGAACTTGGTCACCATCAAGTAGCCACTGGAAGGAAACAAATAAAACCTTTATTTAACATCTGACCAAAGCTGATCTCTTGCCTGTTCTTTTACCTGATCACAAAGAAGAAATCCACCATATTTGGCCAGTAGTTGTGATGCAGGGTTATCCTTCCGATCTTGTCAAGCATCTCCAAGGATGGATCCACCGTGAAATACTTGTACCAGATAACATGGACACCGACCAAAGCGAATGCTGTGATGACCCTTATCCCATTGATGGCTGTATTCTCCTGCCGTGGATCCACCGGCTTCCATACTCTCACCCAGTTGCTAGCCAGGTCGAAGCAGGCCAGGTACCGGGAGTATCTGTGCATCCCACTGGTGGCCAGCACTGCCAAAAGCAAGGTAATACTCAGCAATATCGCTAGCATTCGCACCGTGGGGCTCTTGTAGAAGTCTGGCTTAAGTTCCGGTCGCTTGACATACGCCAGCTGTGGTTGCATCTCCCAGCGCCGGAAGCTAGTGCCCTTGACCAGTGCCTGACGGATCAGGGATTCCACCTCGGCGATGCCACAAGTCTGGGGCAGACAGAGCGCAATGTGCAGCATAGGATCCGGCCGGAAGTGCGGCACCACGCGGTATGGGTAATTGGCCTCAACGTAGGCCACCATATAGTCGAGGGTGAAGGGTGAAATATCCACGATTGGTAGCGGATGGTCTCTGATCAAATCCAGGTGAACCAGTTTGTTGACGGAACGGCAGGCAAATTGGTTACCCAGCCACTGGCGCTTGCCAATTATAAAATCGGAAATGCCTTCGCCGGAGGCATCAACAGCTGTTTATTATATATTATTATTATTATTATATTATAGAAAACAACATTTAAAGTTTAATTTTAGATTAATTATTTTATTATTCTGGCATATATATATATATATATATATATATGATTTAATAATTGTATTAAAAAAAAGATAAGTTTAAGGTTACACCTTTTTAGGGTATTATAATTTCAATCAAAAGCTTAAAACGCAGTGAAGCAGTCATTTCCGACCCTATAAATCATATATATTCTTGATGAGCATTAAAATGGGAATCTTTCTAGCAATCTTCGGCAGAAAAAAAATTTTCAAAAAAAGCAATGGGGTTACATCGTTAAAATTGTCAAAAATTGGCAAAAATTAACCTTATAAAAACTAACATGGGAAAGCTTTCCGATTTAAAATTGATGATTTTTTAACTGAGTTATGGATTTTTAATAATTGATTTTTTGCAAAAAAAGATCATATAAAACTATCCATAAATTTCGATTCACCATTTAAATTTTGTATTGCTTATTATTATGAAACCAATACATTTTTAACCAATTTTAAATATTGCGTCCCTGATTTAATTACAATCTTCAAGGTTAGCTTTTTTTTATTGTTTTATATTAATAAAACTCAAGATGAAGCAATAATCATGTCGAAATATGACGAAATACACATATGATATCATAACAATAATCGTATCATGCACTTTATCAGATAATGATTCCCAGCTATATGTGCGTACGATCCAATTACACATATAGCTAGAAATCATTATCTGATAAATTTTATAATTATAAATGATTCCCTTTTAAAAATTGATTAAAATAAATAGCTCATGAAGATTTTAAAATCTTGAATTTATGCAAATACCCTAAGTATTAAATAAATTAACAAAAAGTAAGTAAATTAAAATATATATAATACAGACAGGAGCTCACTCACCTCTTAATGCCCAAAATCGCTCCTTCTGGACGGCATCTCTCAGCTGCTCTAGCTGCCCCTCGCATTGGGACATCGCGGTATGGTTACCCTTGGTTGGAACCACTTCCAATAGATCCATCAGCAGGGACTTGGATGCGGCACATGTTTCGCCATCGCCCTGAGCGGCGAGTATTTGGACAAGGAGCAGCACAGCGAAGAGCATGGCTTGGGGACTCGGAAGGATTACTTGGGGAGACTGGACTGGATTAGATTGGATTGGATTGGATTGGATTGGATTAGGATTGGGTAGATCACCTCAACACTCCACGACAGACGTCGCACAACTGGCCAAATGGGGCTGGGATGAAGCAAAGTCTAGATGACCCATATAATCTCAGTCGGAAGTGATCCGTGACGCTCTCCAAGATCCCAGCAATAGTTTTATGATGACAACTTGGAGCAGCCCAACTCGACTGAGGATTACCCCCTGGTAGACAGTTTTATAGTTTCGGAGGAAAATAACAAGGAAATCCTAAAAATATATATATTGATAAAATATTTATCGAAATAATATATTCTACTTACCAGTACCTGATAACATAGGATCAAAGGCAAGTGATAAGTTTTTCTGTCTTCTAAGTCTTTGCATGAACAATATAAAAAAATATAAATATAAATAAATAAAAATATATATAATTTATATATACCAAATGGTGGATCCATGCTATTATTTACACATTCTATTTCTTTCCCTAACCGAGGAGTTTATTCTCAAGTATTCTCCACACCTTTCTCTACGAAATAGTTATAGAAATATATACTACGGCACAATTAGTTAATTAAATTCCTAATTATATTTCAAATATATTTTTAGGTCTTAACGCAATATAAATAAATTAAATAGTAATAAGTTCTGTACAGCCCCTTGAACCCTGGTTATTGTTTTACAACCGGACTTTGTCCTGTTCTTGTATTATATGATATTAAATAATACAATTAAATATTGGTATATCTATATATACTTACAGTGTATTTGTATATATTTACAGTGTATTTGTAAAATAACCAAGTTCAAAATATATAATATATTTGTAATCAATTTTATGTGCAGTAATAAAAGGAGTCATAAACCTAAAATATCTGTGACAGTGAGCGAAAATTGAGAATGAATTCGTTTTACATAAGCCCAGAGAAGGCCTCTAAAAATATAGAACAAAATAATGTCTTAACGGTTTAATATTTGAAACAAATATTCAATTTATAAATGCGCATTGAAAACAAAACAAAAAATAAAAAACAAAGCCAAAAACAAAATGGGAAGCTTCGGGATGGCAATTAGCCAAAGGATCATCATTATCTCCAATCGATCATAACTAAGCCAAAAATGCATTAATTTCAATTCGGAAAGCTTGCTTATGTTAGTATTTGATTTGTAAATTAATCTGCATACTCAGTTTAAAATGTAAAAAAATTAAATTTTTGCGAATTTTAACGATGTAACCCTTTTCCTTTAAAAAAAATGGAAAATTAAAAAAAAATTTTTTTCTTTCCGGATATGTCTAGAAAGATTCCCCTGTTAATGCTGATCAAGAATATATATGATTTATGGGGTCAGAAATGACTCCTTCACTAAGTTTTATACTTCTGACTGAAATTATAATACCAGGCAAGGGTATTACAAATATATAAAATAAAATAAGGTAAAAGCTTATAAATTACTCTTCATCTAAAAATATTCATAATAAATTAAAGAGGTTCTATATTTTTTTTGTTTATTTTGGCACTTTATTTTTTAATTTAATTGCAATTTGTTTATTAATCAGAAATTGTACAATAATTATCGCATTAATATTAGTTATATTAGTTAGTTTTTATGCATTAAAACGGTATCTATATAACAAATCGTTAATATTAGTAGTAAATATAGTAAGAACAAAAAAAAAAAACAAAAATGATATAGTAGATGGATGTGTAATTAGACAATAGGCATTATAGTATTATCAAATTATTACGATTGGAAGAGGCGTGGCGGCAGGACAGGACAGACAGTGGGGCTACACCTATGGGTATATCCCAATTCCGCGTTGCATATATGTATGTACTATATATTTTCGATTTTGTTTTATATATATCTTGTTGCCTTTTTATTTAACATTCAATTTTGGCCTTTTACTTTTATTTGCTGCTTGACAAATGAAACTAAAGCCCAAGGTTCGAGCCTTTGTTAGCAAATGGTTATGGATGATTAAGGGTCCTGGCAGGGGGGATATATCTAAATATTCAGTCGAACTTCTTTTTGAAATATAGATTGATCAAGTTGTTTGAAATATTTTAAGGGAATTTAAGGCATTCGTTAAAAAAAAAATAAAAGGAGTTTCTGGTTCTTATTAAACATTTCTGGGATCTCAAAAGTATTGTTGTTTTTCAATTAAAGGTCAAATAAGAACTTGTTTTTATAATTTCACAGGATTCCTCCTTCTATCAAAATTTAAAGGAGAAAAAATAGGACTGTTGTTGGCATAACAGAAACTTGTATAAAAACTAAAGTTATACAGAAGGTTGATCTTGTAAAAAACATAGATAATGCATTAATTAAAAACAGAAATAAGTTCGACTGTGAAGGAGTTTCTCTGGCGGGATCTCTGGCTGAGAATTACTTCCGATGTCCACCGGCGGCGGTGCGCAGCTCAATGATGGTGGCACCAGAGCCGCGACGCATGTTCTGCGTTTGATGGCTCTGGACATGGAGGAGCTGCTGATGCTGCTGGTGCTGATGATGATGATCCACCTCACTGCTGCGTCGCACAATGCTGGCCGTGTCCTTGTTGAGCTCCACGGATGGCGGTGATCGAGAGTCGAGGGAGTACTTGGTCTGCAGCGGATACTTGCCATTGCTGCGTTGCTGTACTGGAGGAGGAGGAGCAGCAGCAGCATATTCCTCGTCGCCGTGAATCACACGATAAAGATCCGGTGCCTGCTGATGTAAGCCCCGTAGATACAGCTGCTTCTTATCCTGGTCCTGCCCCTGGCCTGGGTAACTCAACTCATCCTCCTCATTTCCAGCTATCTTGGTCAGATCCTTTTGGCTGCGACTGATCAGATTAACAATCGATGGACTCTTGAGACCGCTCTTAAGGGAGTTATCCTTGCCGGAAAAGAGATGTGGGTTGGATTTGTAATTGGAGTTGGGTCCCTGGCCCAGACCATAGCCAAAGCTTGGCTCCTGCCTGGTGGTGGGCTGCTGGTGGTAATTATTCCGTGTGAGTTTCTCAATGTAGATGGGACTAGGATCATTGCTGCCATTCATGCCATGGACATTGAAGCTCTTGCTGCGATTTAGGACCTTGGCATAGGTGCGAGCCGGCTTTGCCGGTCCCAGGGGCTGTGGCTGCGATGGATTGGGGATCTGGTTGGAATTCTGATTTGCATTTGGCATTCCTCTTGACGATTGCTGTTGTCCCAGATAGCTGCTGGCTCTGCCCTGTGGTGGAGCTGCCGGTGGCGGTGGCGCATTTCCAAATCTCTGAGTCCGCTGCTCATGCAGCTTCCGTGGCAACGTTTGGGCCGATCGATAGTCCTGCTGCTGCTGGTGGAGATTGGGTGTGGAACCGCTGAAACGCTGACCATGCTTCTGATAGCGTCCCAGGGTATGAGCAGCTGTTACCGGCGGCGGTGGAGCCCTCGATTCGTAGTAGTCATCCTCCCGCTCCAGTCGCTCTAGACGTTCCATACGCTCCTCTGGACGCTCCGGGACATTCCTAGAAAGAGAATTGAATATATAAAATAGCATTATGGTTATCAGAGTGTAAGGATAACTTACCGCTGTCGTGGACGTCGCTCGTAGAGATTCTCCTTGCCATAGAGCGTGCTGGAATAAGGATCCTCGCCCAGATAATAACGCTGTCTGGGACTGATAGCCTGCTCCAGGTGCTGCAACTGGGGATCTGCAGACTCGGCGCGCTTGAAATTCTGCCGGGACTGGGTCTCCTGCTTCAAAGGATCCCTTTCTCGATCTCGATCCCGTTCCCGTTCCCTCTCCCTTTCCCGTTCTCTCTCGCGCTCTCTGCGCCGCTGATTATCACTATTAGAGTCCTCGGAATCATGACTATGGCCATGGCCTATGTGACCATCAATGACATTATATTGCTGATAGGTAGTCACTGGCGGTGGACCACCGATTCCTCCTCGGATTTCATGGCCCGGACTGGGAGACTGTTCACGCGACTTGCTGGCCGCTGATTTCATGCGGAATTTGCGCTCGGCACTGGCTGATCGAATCTTGCTGACCAGCTTCCTTAGAGAGTTGCCTATAACCCGACCCATGCGACTTGACTTGGAGGTACTACCGCCGCCTCCTCCTGGGCCTGCACTCATGGCCGATAGATTCGAGGTGGAGGCAGAGGTGGCACCCGTTGGCATTCGTAGATTACCACCGGCTGCTCCTGATGCCGGCGGGTAACTGGATGTGGGTGCAAATCTGGTCCGTTGCTGTTGCTTCCTGCTTAGGGTCATGGTGCTAGAGGGCACCTCTCTCTCCCTGGTCATTAGATAGTCCACCTGGGGCGAGGAGGAGCGACTGCGACTCCTTGGAGGTGGTGAGTAGTCCGGCGGCGGCTCCAGTTGATTCAATTGGCCCGGCAACGGGGCCTGCGACTTGACCATCGGCAGATGACCCTGACTGTGGCTGTGGCTATGTGAGACGTGAGATGTGTGGCTGTGCTCGCCCAGCTTTTTCTCGATGGCACGTCGTCGCTGCGGGACAGTGGGTCGCGAATTAGGACCCAAGCTACTACTGCTGCTCTCCATGGGTGGACCCACCGATGATGCCGGCAGCGGTGGAGGAGGGGCTGGCTCATAGCTCTTGCCGCGTCCATTCACCAGGACAGGTCCATGTCCATTGACCGGATGCCCATGCCCGTTGATATGGTGTCCACTGGTGCTGGTGGTGGTGGTGTTACTTCCACTGCGATGACCATAGGCCACTCTCTTGTGCGATGGCTCTTCGGCACGGCCGGATAGCATGGAGGGACCTGGTCCTGGTCCCGGTCCTGGAATTGCCTCTAGATCATCGAGGGCATCACGAGAGCCACGCATGGAGCGGGCCAGGAACTGTGAGGACAAACTCTGACGCTTCTGCTGCAGTATGTCCTCGCGACTGACATAGCTGTCCTTGGACTGTGACTGCTGCCTGATGCTGATATCCTGATGGCCTGGCGATGGCAGAACGGAGCTGTGACTCGATCCGGGGCCACCACTCACCTTCTTCTTGAGTCCATTGCGCCGTATGGTCTCCTGCAGATCCTCGCGAAAGGCCTGCGAGGAGAAGTGATTGACAGGCGGACCCGTGGGATCCTTACGCTCTGACCAATTGGAGATGCCCTGGAAGTACTTGGAGCGACCACCACCAACTGCTGTGGCATTGGTCGCCACTGGTTTTCGCTCCAGCGTAGCGGATGTGGTGACCATGGCCGGCGGATGACGATCTCGCTCTCGCTCTCTCTCCCTTTCCCGCTCCCTTTCACGCTCTGCGCTCCTGGGCAGCGTCTGGGGATGATGCTGGGCATGCATGTGCTGGATATGCTGGCTATGCTGAGTGCTGGCCGCCAGGTGGGACTGGGCATGGATGTGGGCCGACTGTGGCTGGCTCTGTGACTTGATGGTCACATTGAAGTAGCTCTTCTTGGTGGGCTCCACCTCGGCCTCGGCCTCGTCATCGCGGGAATCGTTGGAGGCAGTGGATTCGCTGCCAAAGTGTGACTCAAGCCACTTCATGGTCTCACCCTTGCGTGTCTCCTCCTCGCGATCGAAGTCCAGAGGCCGCTTGGTCAGGGCATCCTTACGATCCGCCAGCAGGGCCACTTCTGGAGGATAACAATAAATACATTAAAATGCATTCGATCGATGCATAAAATTATGTTTTAAATATTCATAATAACAAGAATAAATCAAAACAAGAAAAGAAGCATAATTTGGAAAACCCCTTGCACAGAAAATGCATCATAACTAAGTTAAAAATGCATTAAGTTTCAATCGGACAACGTCTCAGTGTTAGTTTTAATTAGGTTAATAAATCTGCATACTAAATATAATTTTTGGAAATTTGAATGATGTAACTAACCCCTTATAAAATTTTCAAAAAATGGCAACATTTTTTTGTTACTTAAACATGTCTAGAAAGATTCGCCTGTTGATGCTGATCAAGAATATAAATGATTTATGTGGTCGGAAATGACTCCTTCACTGTTTAATAAACATAATTTTACCCCAACATACAATTTATAATAAATTTAAATAAATATTTATAATTAATAAGGGTTTTTCAGGATTTCATTGTCATTTCCAAAGAATGTTTCCAAATTCAAGCTTGATTAAATTTCTAGCAGCAAAATCTGATTGTTAGGCCAAATGTATGATATTAAAGCCAGTTATGCTATAATTTTATTGAAATGAAAACATGTTTTGCCGCTGAATCAGCGCCAAACCTGATGTCATCGATTAACACACTGTTGAAAAAAGATCTACTTATACAAAGTGATCTAATTTTAGCCCAAGCAAGAGCATAGAAACTATACCGATTTTCATTTAAGATTTATTGATTGGATATGAAATATATTATTGGTGGATACTTACCCTTCTGCTGCTGCTGCTGGGATCGACGGAGCTTTCGCATCCGATCGGAGAGGCTATCCCAATCGCCCGGTCGCTCCAGCTCCGCGGGCCCGTCCTTGTCCATTTGCGTCGTCTCGGCGGCGTAGCGCATCTCGGTGGAGTGGAGCCTTCCGTTGGCTAGCACATCCACATGCTGCTCGTCGCGCTGCCGGAAAAAGCGCTGATTGGACGCCGTGGTGGTCAACTGCTCCCTATTGGCCCCCACCAACTGCTGGAGGTTGCGTTCATCCCGATGGGAGAGATTATTGGTGGTACTAGTCTTGGGATCGGTGTCGTCCGGCGGCAGTTCGTCGTCAACGATTAGCTCGTGCTCGGTGGTTCGTCGACTTTCGGTGACCAAAGTACCGTCCTCCTGGGCCAGACACCGTTTACGTGTATCCTCCGAGTCGATTGTCTTCCGGGACTTGCTTCGACTGGCCACCACCTGAGGACCGAGAGGTGCTAGTTGCCGCTGACTCTCCGGTGAACACAGTACGGCTTCGAGATCCTCGACACCGTCACGTACAGCGTTCACGTAGGTCTGAAAGGTATAGAAGGAATTATAAGATTATAAGTTTATTTAATTTTAACTTTAAAGTAAGAAAATACTTTATTTTCATATATATTGGTTTAAATTTTATTAAGAAATATATATTAATTAATTGTGATTTGAAGATGAAGACATAAAAGACACGTCAGTTAAAAGAAAAACACTGTTTTAAGTTCATTTAATAAATTGAATACTTCAATACTGTGAAGTATGAATAAAAAGTATAAAATAAATGTTTTTTAATTATTTTAAAAATTAGGTAAAAATTGTTCATGTAAGTTTCATAACCATACAGGAAATGCAAAAATCAGAAATACAATTTAAACTATGTATGTTTCTCTTGGCATTTTTTTGTCCCACTTCCATTTATTATTTCTTTGTGTTATTATTATTACTTTTTTTTGCAAATAGTATAAATATGTGAAGCTTGTTTGCTCGATTCAATTACCAATTAAACTTCAATATTCGTGACTTACAGATCTGAGCACATAATTGATGGCCTTTTAAATTGCAAAGCAAATGACCATGACATGAGCTCAAAACCAAAGCACTTCACATAATTATAAATAAATAAAATAAGCAACAAAACAGCAGATTAATAACTAAATCTATTTTATATATATAAGATATTATATTTGATTTCCTTTCTATCTCTCCCATTTGATCCCTTATTCAATTAACAATTCACTTTGAATTCAAATTTCCACTCCAGCCCCTCTGGAAGGTTGCTTCACTTTTCCACCGATGCAATCACTGCACATGGTGTGGGTTGGCTCCCAAGTCCAGCTCCAGCTGCTCCTCCTCCTTCTCCCTCCTCTTTACACCTCTCAGGTATTCAGAGCAAGACAGTAAAAAAACAACCACAAAACGAATCCATTTACTTTTTGGATGGGGCAACGTCATTGAGATAACGGTAAAAGTCAAGAATGCATTTCAAGAATACACCATAAAAAATAATAAAAACAATCTAAGAACTAATTTCATAATTAATACTCTTAAATTAATTAACTATGAATTGTTTTATGCTTGAAATCTATTTCCTTTTTGTTTTTTTTTAAATTAATATGTAATTCAGGTGTTATAAAGTAAATACATTAGATGTGAGATAATATAATAGTTACGTTAATTTTTCTTATAATATGTATTACAAAATCGATCATAGCTAAGCCAAAAATTCTTTAATTTTGATTCGGAAATCAGTTCTGTGTTAGTTTTTAGCAGGGTAATACATCTGCATACTAAATTTTATATTTTAAAAAATTAAATTTTTTGCCAATTTTGCAAATTTTAACGATGTCACCCCTTTCATTTTTTTTCAAAAAATTGAAAATTTTTGAAAACATTTTTTTTCTGCCGGAAAAGATTCTCCTGTTGATGCTGATCAAGAATATATATGATTTATTGGGTCGGAAATGACGCCTTCACCTGATTGGAATCTTCTGACTGAAATTATATTACTCTGCAAGGGTATAAAAATAACAGAAGTTATATAGTTTTTGTATTATATATCTGATTCTATTTGTAAAAAAATGTGTAGGAAATTAGTTTAGTTTGCAGTTAAAATTGTGGCACTGTTATTTATAAGATTTTAAATAGTTTCAGGCTTAAGAGATTTGTTTGCGTAGAAACGGACAGAGAACGTTGGCATAGAGGCGAAATACCTTCTATAATGCATTGCTAACTTCTGATTAAAATTATAATATCTCTAAACATCTTCTATAAATATATATTATAATACTTCAACATGACTGAATGTTCTTTTTGATTTTCTCTATTTTCCAGTGCAGAAGGTAGCTTCATCTGTTCTCCATTTTCTTGCCGTGTTAGGAGGAGGATGGCAGAAGGGTTCGCTGGTGTTAACTGTGGAATGGAATGGACAGCTCAAGGTCGAATTGCTTGGGGGTATCGCATCTTGGATTTCTTGGGTGACGAGCAGATGGCACGCCTGGGTGATGACGACGACGAAGACGCTGGTCAGCGGATGAAGATGACGAGTTGGCCATATCTCTTCGCCATTCAAAGATACGCCTCTGAACCTGTTGTTGTTATTCGTTTTATTTGTTTTTTATTTTTAGATTTCGGTTTTTTTGTTTTGTTTGGTGTTTTTGTTTTTTAATTTTTTGTCGACGACCTTGCGTTAACGGTAACGCGCGTAGAAAGTGTTTTGTTGTTGCTCAGCCAGTTGGTTTTGTTTTTTTGTTCACTCCGCTCTTTCGGCCTGAAACTTGATGGTCAGTCAGCCTCTTGGCCATATTATTTAGTATATATATATATTTTTTTTAAAACCAACAAATGCCAATATGCAAGCGCATTCCCCACATCTCCCACTAATCTTTCATTTTTTTTTTGCTTTTCGAAAAACCCATTGAACACGAAATTTCCAAGCATTTATGCAAATGATTTAAAGTTATTCAAGTTACATATAGTTTTCAATAATGGAACCATAAAAAGAAGGAGAAGAAGTAAAAAAAAGGGAAGGAGAAGAGATGGAGAAGATAGAGAGAAGAGTTGGAGAAGAAGTTGGAGGAGGACGGAACTTTGATCGGTGATTTAAATCAATCGATGATGACGCAGAGTTCGAACCCTTGAGTCGTGGATAAATCACTTTTGTCCCTCTTTGGTCACTTGGCTTTTGAGCTTTTAACGCTTTACCTTTAACCCAAGTTATTTGTCATTGGCCAAGAGTACAGTTATTACCTTGAGAGGGTTAACAATCTTGAAATTTATCTTGCTATTGATTATTATTGATCAGTACTATAATAAGTAAATATTATCAGTAAGTAACTCTGAACAGTAAGTATCTATGAGCAGTAAGTAACGCTAAACAGTAAGATTCTATGGCCAGTAAGTAACTATGATCAGTAAGTATCTATGACCAGTAATTATGTATGATCAGTTACTAACTTTAAACACTAGTAAACAATGACTTGCAACTTTTGTAACACAACACATGTCTGAGACGTGGCCGGTAGAAGCCACTTCGTTCCGGGGATGTTAGAACTAGTTCGGAATCATATGCACAGATGTGCGAGATTTGTTTTGGACCAATTTAAGAGCAAGCTATTTAAATGAACCTATGGAGTATTCATCTATATAATTTTACTAATATATGAGTCGGAGCATGGCGAATTTTGGTGTAAAATGATTTGAAAATCGGACAACTATGTATATCATATAGCTACCATACAAACTTCGGCGTTCCGAAGTTAGCTTCCTTTCTTGTTTTTATTGTCATTAAATCGGTTTTTTAAACAAGGCATTTGTTAAGATTTAAAATATTTTATTTTAGTCAAATTAGTACATAAATTTATATGAATATTTATTAACAAGGAAACAAAAATAACTATATAAAAGGAAAGGAATCAAACTTCGAGAAGCTGAATTGATTTTATCGATTTTTAATATGACAATTTTTTCGATAAATCATCATTTATAAAACTCATAACTATGCCAAAAATTCATTAATTTCACTTCGGAAAGATTTTCTATGTTATTTTTTGATAGGTTAACAAATCTGCATACTCAGTTTAAAATGTAAAAGTTTGGCCGATTTTTGAATATTTTAACGATGTAACCCCTTTCCTTTTTTTGCAAAAAAATTGAAAATTAAAAAAAAATTATTATTATGCAGGAGATGGCTAGAAAGATTCGCCTGATCAAGAATATATATGATTTATTGGGTCGGAAATGACGCCTTCACATTATTACATGCTTCGGACTGAAATTACAATACTCTTGGTCGAGTATCAAAATAGTAGAGATAGTAATTCTACATTATATTTATTTAAAATTATGTACACAAAGTTTAGAAAACCTTCTAATGACAACTCCTTTATCGAATGTTTAAAGCTTATTTTTAATTCCAACCAAATCATAGAAAATAATAGTAATTCAGCAACTATTACTCAAGGCAATAAATAAGGCAATAAAAATTGAATGAAAGCACGTAATGATCCAATAAATAAACTCACTTTCTGTGCAGTGTAATGGTAGCAGCGAAACCCACTCTCTGTGCGTTGACAACTTTTCCCCGCATGTTGTTGTGATTTATCTTGATTTGTTTTATTGCCTTCACCTGGCCAAATCCCAAAAAAAGCCGCAAAAAGAGGATTTCCCAGGACGGGGAAAGGGGACTTGTGAATGTGAATACCGAGTACTGAGTACTGAGTACTCGAACTGGAACCTTTTTTTTCGTATGCACACACACCCGGCCTGCATATATTCAAATGGACATTTCGCTTGGCCATGTTTTGCCTGGCATGCCAAGTGGCCAGCAGCCAACAGCCACCAGAAAATAAATACAAATACAAAAAAAAAAAACAACAAAATTGACATGGCAAAAAAAAAAAAGAAAAAATATACAAAATAAAAAGAGAAATGAGCAAATTTTTAAGGCAACTGTGACGGAGGGGATAGCTTGGTATCGGTGGAAGACCAGTTTGCCTTGGGAGTTGCTCAACCTCTTCGAGCCAAGTCGAACTATACTGAACCGAACTCAAACTGAACTGAACATGAGCATAGCCGGGCGAAGCGGAGCGGAATGGAACTGGTAACTGGGAGTTGGTAACTGGGAGCTAGGTATCTTGGAGCGGGTTGAAGCTCTCGATCGATTATTATTATTGTAATTCAGTTAGTGTGCGACCAACGCCAACGCGGCTGCATATGATAATGATAACTATACCGGCAGCAAGAGACCATATTATGTATATCTCCCTTTTATGCCAGATTCACCAGTTCCATCAGATAGCATCAGTAATATCAGGAGGTCATCTTTATGTGGGTATTAAAATATACATATATCACGATCGTTAAGTGATAAGAAGTTGGAACAATAAAGTGAAACAGCTTCAAGTCAAGATTTATTGTTGGTTTTTAACTTGTTTTTCATTTTGAGCTTATAATAGTAAGGTAAATAGGGAAGAAGGTAAAGAGATTAATATACTAAACAATGAAGAAGGAGGCAAGGGTATATTTATTTATATATATAAATAAAAATATAATAATATTTCAATTAAATAGAACAATGTCAGTAAATGTAGTGAAATCTTAACAATTAATTCTTCCGGCTTGTTTATAAATGTTGTCTGAAGTGTAAATTGTTTTTGGAAATCTCAAAATCATACTCTAAGGTTGGAAGTTAAAACCAAAGTCGAAATGGCCAGCAAACTTGGTCTAAGCTTGGCTTTGGGTTGGAGTTTGGTAGTTTCTGTGGGCCGTGAGCCTGGCTTTTGGTTTATCGTTTCCGTTGCGTGAATTGCTTTGGCTCTGGACCAGGTTGTAATCCCCCCCTTACCCTCTAGGAAAACCAAAAAAGACCTCCACTAAAATATTAAAAACCCAGAAAAGTCTCCCCCTGAAGCCTCCCAACGCCCAGCTGCTTTTGCTGATTGGCATTTGCTGATTAGAGTTGTTTGGGCTGGGGATTGGATTGGTTTAGCATGTGGGGGCACCTAGACTGACTCCAAAACGAGTTTTCGGCCAAGTACCGCAGCCAAGTACCCACACACACACATAGACACAGTTACAGATACATATACTTTGTATATAACCCAAGTAGAAGCCACCGTTGAGACAAAGAAGTGCCAAGCAAGATACCACATTTAAATTCAAATTCCAAACACTTTTTGTGGTCGCTTTCCACCAAAAAACTTCTCTGGACGAATTAAATGTGCTTGTGTCTACCGCTCCCGCTACCGTTCCCTAAAACCTCACTCCCTATGCCATTCCCCTAAGTGTACCTGTGTGTATCTTTGTATCTGTATCTGTAGTACCTGCGGTGTCCGCGAGAGTGTGTGCTGTTTAGGTTCATGGACCTGCTGGAGACACGCCTAGAATCCGAGAGATCCGCGGCAGGAGCGATCCGCGCGCAGCCACAGTAGCCGCACTTTGACTATTGATTAAACCTGGCTCAGAACAGGTCTGCCTCTGTACCTCAGTACCTCTTGGCCACCCCTGGTCACCTCTGGTTCGCCCCCGGGGCTCCCAAAACCCAAAGCAGCTGGACTGCGGTTTCTTTCGCCTCCGGGAGAGTGTGCACACCCAGCTACCTTGCCATCCATCTTTCTCTCTCTCTCTCTTGGCCGTCTCTCAGTGTGTATGCCTTGCAGTGTTGACCATAAATAAAAATATATATAATAAAATAGAATAATTAACTCATAGGGATAGAACCAGATAATTGCTTATTAAAATTCATCAAATTCAGGGAATAAAAACGTATTAATCAATTGTAGAATTGAACTTGTATAAAGAACTCTTTAAGTGTCCATACGACCACCACACATCTTCAATATCATTACCTTTTTGGCTTGGTTAATTGCCAACTACCGGCTTAAGTGAAGTTGGTTTCTCAGACCCAGGAATTATAATATCATAATATCATATCATTGATTTTAAAGATAATTATAAAAAACAAATAATAATAAATAATAAATAAATGTATTGTAATATAAATATTAATAATATTGATATATAAGATGAAATTAATGCAATACTTTTTTGAAGATGGTTATATATTTAGGTCTGATAACTTTTGGAACATATCGCACCTTGATAATTATGCGAATTGGAGCAGGTTTTTAGTTTCTAAATTAAATTAGTTACTAAATTAAAACAAAAACTAAGCCACACGAACACACCAAAACACAATTAACTATTTTAAATAGTGTGTGGGGGAACAGAGGCAGATACAGAGAGTGAGTAAGAGAAAGAGCAGCTCTGGTTGGTGTTGTAAACAAAAATAAAAAACAACAACACACAAACACTAACACAGCCGTGGAGAGAGTATCGATACCGATTAACGATCGCCGCCGATTAACCATTCACGTCTTTTTTTTTGTTTCAACCCGATTGTCTTCTGGCCGAAGAAGCAGTGCAGATAAATGGCAGATAAGCATACAAAATAACAGTAAATTAAAGCCAAACGGAACGAAGCAAAACAAAATGGAATGCAAACCGAATCGTAGTTGTACGCTCTTCGCTCGCTCAACGGCAACTGATCGCCAAAGCGGTTAGCATGGCTTCCAGCTTGGCGGCTGGAGCGTGCGCAAGCGTCGACGCCAGCTGAGCGGGATGCAGCTCCAACGGCAACAGCAACAACACCAATAACTTTCGAATGAGCTTAAAAGCAAAACCAAAGAGAAAAAGCAACAACAACCAGAAGAAGGAGAAGTGGGGAAAACACAACAACATGGCCAAAAGGCAGGGCTGCCTGGCTACAAAACATTGTTGCTTTTCACGCCGAATTAATTTTCAGTTATTTACGCCAATTTTCGGTTCAGCCTGTCCGCACTGCAGCGTCTCCGATTACACATCATATTGATCGATAATCACTTGCAAAAATTAATCGAAAAAGGAAAGCGTAAATCTAAAAATGATCAAGATATTTATATATAAATTTACCAAATATAACAAACAAGCCTAAAAAAATTTAATTCTAAAAATACTTTATTTCAATATACACTCAATAATATAAATAATTGTTAAATATTTATGTTATTGAAAAATTATTTATTATTACTTTAATTATCAAAGGATTCAAATTATTATAAACCACTTAAAAAGTTGGATACTTTTCAATCTCAGGGAATTCAAAATCATCTATTAGGCCCATCTTAAGTATTCAAAATAAATCATACTAAATTTGCTGTTAATATTTAATTAGATCCCAAATAAGATTCTTGTTTTTAAGTTATAATATTTTTTCAGTGCTGGTAACAGAAACAGGCAAGAAGCCACCTTATTGGATCAAGAACCGCTCCTGAGTTTAGCGGCCAACCGGTCTCAGGTCTTCCACTTCTTTGGAGCAGAGCTTAGGCCCATGGTTTGTGATGGATATGGAGATGAACATAAAGACTCGGCTGTAGATGAATGTTGTGGCCCAGTGGGGGATCGCGAGTGGGAGTGGCACCAAGACAGCCAGCTCCACGACCAAGTGGAGGTTAAACCCATCAGCTATCTTCTAATAGGAAAATGTGAGTAACTTCAAGTATTTCCCCCTTTTAACGGCCATCGTTTTACTAGCATCTTTCAGTGAGTTAAATATGTATTATGATACGTATTATATATATGTTATTTATATATAAAGTAATAATTACTACTTAATGTATTCTTTTTGTTTTAAACACAACTATAAAATCAAATAGAAACATGACAATTTAAGATCATTTCTACTCATTTTGATAGCATTATCTGGCACGGAAATATAAGTAAGACATACAAAAGAAGTTGAAAACAGATAAAAAGAAAATAAAACTATACAATAAAGCTTCTTAAATAATCGTAGTTTTGAAAAAAAAAATTGTTTGAGAGCTTCTTTTAATTTGGTAATCAAGAAAAAATAAATAGAGTAATAAATGCATTTGTACATTAATATTACAATATTTACATTAATATTACAAAAAAGCTCATAACTAAGTAAAAAATGCTTTGAAATTAATTCGGAAAGCTGTTCTATGTTAGTTTTTGATAGGTTAATAAATCTGCATAAAATATTTTCTGAATCAATAGTTATTGATATTTTTTTATATGACAATTTATTCGACAAATCAAAGGTGAAAATATCATAACTCAGCCAAAAATGTATTAATTTTACATCGGAAAGCTTTCCTATGTTAGTTTTTGATAGTTTAATAAATCTGCATACTCAGGTAAAATGTAAAATTTTGGCCAATTTTAGCCAATTTTAATGATGTAACCCCTTTCCTTTTTTTTGCAAAAATTAAAAATTTTTGACAAATTTATTTTTCTGCCAGAGATGGCTAGAAAGATATCCCTGTTGATGTTGATCAAGAATTTATATGATTTATGGGGTCGGAAACGATTGCTTCACCTGATTGGAAGCTTCTGACTAAAATTATAATACTCTATAATAATATATGTATGTACAGGACTTACCTGGTCTGTAAAATCACCCAGATGCTTAACATCCTCCGTTTCGTGGTAGTCTTTAATCTCCTCATGGGAGATGACCCGTTTATCATCCACCTGACGCACCAGACCATCCGTTGGCCGGGGAACAATCCGTTTGACCAGCTTTCCAGCTCCTTCGGCGGGTCCAAATACTTCCTGGATTTGGGCCAATTGCGTTTCATTTACAGCGCCCGCCTGTAAGGCAGCCACATCGATCAGCTGGGCGTTGCCATCAAGGTCGTCAGGCAGGTCAAGGTCACGTTTCTGTGGGTGGTAGTTATTACAATATATTAATAAATTAATTAATTAATTAGAATACATAGTAATAAAACATTTATGAGTGTATGCTTAGAATAATTATGCATTGTTTACAAATGTTTTTTTAATAAATTGATTATTGATTGATTGATTGAATTTAATCTGTAAGATACTCACCTCGGTGGTTTCCGTTTCCTGTTTATCGGTGTCCTCAGTGGTGTTGGTGGAGACAATGGGGCCCGAATCCTCGATAACCTTGCCATCCTGCAGCTTCACCTGTCGTTTTACCCTCGTTTCGATCTGTCTGGTGGTTGTGAGTTCTGTCTTGCGCTTCGTTATCCACTCCTCTGAGAAATATATATAAATATATTGCACATTTAAGAAATATATATTTATAAATTTAGGAAAGCAAGATTAAATTAACAAGTAGTTCATATTGAAATGGGCAGCTTTTGGCCATATTTTTCGGTTGCCTCCCAAAAGCCGACTACAAAGTGGCTAAGCTCCTGCGTGTTAATTGCTTTTGTGAGGTTTTTGGCCAAAATCAAAGCTCTTGGCCGGAAGCTTTTTGCTGCCAAACTTTTCGGTCAAATGATCAGCAGACAAGACAGGAGATGTTGGTCAATGGAATGCATTTAGTTTTTGGCACCAACTACTTCCCAACACACCGTTGCAACACACAAAGCCAGGCCAAGATGCCTCATTTGCATGTGGCTAATGCCCATTTTGAGAGCAGCAGCTCCTCCCGCTCCTCCGCTTCTATCAAAAGAATTAGTCGGATGCGGACTCGGACTCATACTCAGACTCGGACTTGGACTCGGGACTTGGTGAGCATTGGAGGGGCGTGAAGCGCTCCAGCGATTGCGCCAAATTACGTAACCAAGTCCAAGTTGGTATGGTCGCTCCGCTTCCCAAGCTAACTGTACTTTGTATACTCTTCTTTACCTCTGGCAGTGATGCTGGTCCAATAACAAAAGATATATTAAATAAAAAATAGTACAAAGTATGTTCTAACTCTTTTCAATTTAATAATAATTGAATAGGTTGTGAGAAATGTATTTATTTAATGTTACTATTAGAAATTGGTGAGTCCAAGAGCTCTGTTGTGGAAGTCTAAGACTTGAGCACGGACATCCGTGATTTTTCTTGCAACTTTTTGCCTCATCTATCTATATATATATCAAGTATCTTTTTTTTCGTGAAAATGAAGCCTGGTGTCTGGCCTGCATACCCTGCTCCATCTGTATGTCCACATCCACGTCCGCATCTCTTTGGCTTTTCTCCATCTCCATCTGTGAAATCTTGGCTCCGGCGGCTGCATCGGGATCGCTGGACCATTAAAGGTCGCTTATATAATCGCTTTATATACATATATATCTGCATTTGCAGGCAGCATCGCCAGAAAACCGAAACCGAGGAACACAGAAACGAGACGTCGCGTTGTCTGGCGTCTGTCTGAATCTGAATCTGAGTCCAAATCCGCGACTTGCAGTGAATTCGAGACTGCAATTACAGTCCGTTGGGCAGTCGATCGAACTACAGTAAGGAGTGGCTATAGAGGAAAAGCCAAAGAAGGGAATTTTGTATCATATATCGTATACAGATAATGAAGCAGTTGAAGAAGTAGTTGATTTCAGAATTCAATTGGTTTTTCCAACTTTTTTAAAGTATAAGAAAACTACTACTTGCTTAAACCTTTGCTTTTATTTTATTTGATTTAAAAAGTTTTATTTAAAGTTGCATTCTAAATCTAGTTCATTGCTCTGGAGGCTAGACTGTCACAAGGCCTCCTCTGTCTGTATATATATTTGCCTGACCAGACTGTTTATCTTTATCATTGGCTCATACTACACACACAGACATATACCTAGATATCCGCATTGTTGCAACTGGTGCTGCTGCCGGTTCCCTTGGTTCCCTCTCCCCCCTTTAGCATTTTTACCCCTACCTGGTGGGGTTCCCTTGCATCAGGGCAGTCAACCAACCAACCAAACAACCAACGAACCACTTCATAAATGGGCAACAACATCGCCAACAACAATCACAATTAAGCAAACGAAACGAAGGAAAACTGTAGCGAAAAAACCTGCGGAAAATGGCCAAGTGGAAAACAAAAAGGGAGCAGGTTGGGTTATAAGTATATATATCGGCGGGTGCAATTGTTCGATCCGAAACCGAAACCGATCCAATCGATCGCGACGACGCTAATGTGAATTTATGTTACCTGGCCACGCCCACTTAACAAGCCTCGATTTCTGAGTTGATTTCTGTCTTGATTTCAACTTCTTTTGTGATTTCCATGGATTTCCATTTGATTTCAATACGATTTACTTTTAGATTTTCTTCGATCTGTTGCCAGCATTTTTCTATTAAGTCTTTCCACAACTTTGCCCAGATACTATATTACATTACATCTTTGACTCCGATTGGCACTTGAACTAATTGTGGTATCGATTATGGCCCGTCAATTGAATTCCCCCCGAACGTCATCGATTTCCATCTCCCGCCTCGTTATTTAGTGGCCCCCAGTCACTTGTCACTTGCCACACCCCTCGAAAAAAGGCAGCAAAAGAAAAACTGCACAGTGGGAAATATAATACAATTTGTAGTGCCTTGTAATGTTTAATCAAATATGATATCAAATAATATTTCTATTATTGAATATTTGAATTATATATATCCAAGGGTTTCCCCATTCTTTACTATTTCTTTCTCTTAAGGCCTGCTTGTATTTCACTTTTATTTAAAACCAAAATCAATACAAATTTGGACTAAACAAATTGTAGTATTTATGTGTTGAAACCCACTCATGTACTTGTAAAATTCTCACAATTAAAACGGCCTTGCGTGTATTTAAATAAGAAGTGTTAATATTTGTTGAATGGCTAATAATGTTGAGGTTTAAGTTTTTAATATTTATTTCAGCAATTATCACTAGTAAATGAAACCCATTCATATATGTAATTCCTATGCTTGTAATAATTCCCACAAGATGTATGTATATATTTTCTTGTAAATTTCCTAAACGCAAATCACTTAAGTTTCTTCCTCTGGAGGGAGGCAGCGGGCAGCCGCGTGGTGGTGTCGCTAGGTGGTGCACCAATTATTATAATTTTCCCGCTGCTTTTCCAGCTCATCCCCCCCGCTTGGATTTTTGCATATAGCTTGTCAAGTCGCGTCTCGAGTTGATTTTTAATGATTCGCTAACGTGGGAAATCTGTGCACATTTTCCTTGGATCATTTTGTGCTTTTCGCTTGCCATTTTTTTTCCATGCATTTGCATTTTGCATTTTGCTGCTTGCCGTTTGGCCGCTTGTTATTTCTAATTTTTACACGTTTTTACTGGTGTGCTGTGCATACATTTTTTTTCAGATTACAGCAAGTAGTAATCGACTTATTGTTGCAAGTTGCAAGTTGCAAGTTGCTAGCTGTGGCGCCTTTGTGTTATGTTAATCACATAATTAAATCAAAACTTTCTATGATTTCCGCAAGATGCAGTTGTATGGCAAGCATGTAAGTATAAATAAAACTATATATAATTGGCAATAGCTGGGAGAGCTGGTAGGATTAGTTGAATTATGAATATGACTATGGAAATGGAAATGGAATTTCTTCCCAGCCTTACTTTCATTTCTCATCTTTGCCGGGCCACCGGGTCGTATGCGTAATGTGCGAAAATGTACTCAGGATGCGAAATTAATTAATTAAAATATATATTGTTGATAAAATGTGTATTCAATCATGAAAATATACACTTTGAAACCATATAAGAATATACATTTTGAAAACAAAAATCTGAAACTTTACCAACAGGTCGTATGCGTAATGTGTGAAAATCTAATCTGGCTGTGCGGCATTAAAAATATATATTTTTTACGATGCAATTGATGTAAAGTCAAGAAATATTCACTTAAGGTGTTTAAAAATATAAAATTAAACAAATTCTACGAAACTTGACTTCCAGTTACGATCACCGGGTCGTATACGTAATGTTCGAAAAGCCTCACAGCTGTATTAAATATATATCTTTATGATGATTAAGTGGATGTTAAGTTATAAAAACATACACTTCAAAGGCTTATAAGAATATTTATTTTGAAAATAAAACTCTGAAACTTAACCACCAGGTCGTATACGTAATGTGCGAATATCAAGACAGGCTGCGCGTCGTTAGAAATTAATTTTTTTGAAAATGAAATGGATATTTAGTCTAGAAAATGTTCTCTTAAGTTATATAAAAGTATAAATTCATACAAAATCCCTAAAACTTAGCCCAGGAACGACCACCAGGTCGTATGCGTAATGTGCGGAAATCAGGATGTGAAAATTTTCCTTACAGCGGTGTTAAATGTATATCTTTTCGATGATTAAATGAATGTTAAGCAATAAAAATATACACTTTGATGGTATATAAGAATATACATATATACATAAAATATATATAATTCTGCAATGTGACATCCAGTTAATTATCCCATAGATCTCTTCATGATTTTATTCTTTTGGTTCCGTTTCGACCGATTGCCCATCAAATGATCCGTTCGCAATCGATAATCGAGTGAGTAATCGAGTGACAATGCCAGTCGATCCCCATTGACATATCGATCCATCAAGATCTCGCTGTGATCTCACGCTGGAGGCAATTTGGTTCGCCAATGTTTGAAGGCTTGGACATGCCGTTCTCAATGATGATGTCACTTCGATTGGCTCACCCACGATCGATGCATGGGCAATCAAGTTGAGAATGTTCCGATTGATCAGCAGCAGTGTCTTGACAAGATCTGTCGTTTCCACATCGTCACTGATAGTTAGGCATTGTCTACGATCATAATAATACTGAGCGAACACTTGTTGTTTTCAAATGATTTGCTAAATGCTGATAGTGTATTATCTCTCAGCTTAAGAATAATTGGTAGCTAGGATTTATCTTTTAGTATAAACTATTTGTGGTTAAATAATATGTATATAGATAGTGATTAGATAACTGTCACTCACCTTCTTTGGTAATAGCTTCTGTATCGCAATTGCTTGCCGTGGCCTCGTTGCTCTCCTCGTCATCTTTGGGCTCGAATTCGACCTGCGAAGTAATGTCGTAGAAGTTAACGCGGGTCACGTGACGTACATAGTCAGTGGTGGTGGTTGTGGTGGTGGTGGCATTGGTGAAACCACCGTTGGGCAGTGATGATTGCACTCGAAAGACGATTGCTGGTGGCGGTGGCAGCGGCGGCTGTGGCGGCGGTAGATCGGAGGCGACAGGATGCGGCTGATAGGTGGTATAGCCAGCATAAATGGGATACGGCGATGTATGCCAATGGATGCCATGGGTGCGCGGTGGCTTGGGCACAGGATTTGCCGGCTGGAGCAGGGGCAGGGGCAGCGGCAATGGCAGCGGGAGCCACCTGCCTGCGGGCAGTAATAATGCTGGGCTATGACTATGACTAGGCTGGTGGGGATTATTGGATTGATTTCGTTGGAGCTGCTGCTGCTGCTCCTGTTGCTTCTGATGGTGCAGCTGCAGGTATCCAGCCGGAATGGCTGTGTCGCCAGTGGATGCCGATGAGGACTCATTGCTGCTCCGTGAATCCCCAGACTTGGAGGGTGCGGGTGCTGGTGCTGGTGCTGATGCTGGGACAAGGACGTGCTGCTGCTGCTGATGGATGGGATCGAGGATGTGGGCGGCGTGGCTGCTGCTGCTGCTGCTGCTGCATGTGCATGGCGACAGTAGGAGGATCACCACCATTCGATCATCTGGCTCATCTGGCGGTGGCAACGGTGGCAACGGTGGCTCCTGCTCTAACTGCCGACTACATTTGCTTTCTGCCCGTCAACCTCAGTCCCAGTCCGATTTCTACTCCTTCCAGTTTCAGTTTGAGTTCCAATTGCAATCCTAGTTTTGGTCTCCCTTCCAGCTCCCGTTTGTGGTGTGGCTCGGCGGCAATTCCAGAGCTCGCACCACATCGCAGAGCGCGATGTACGCCTCCAGTTTGTGAGGATCAGACCCAGATTCTAAGCCAAGAAATCGAACGAAGTTAAGTGACACGACAAAAAGAGGTTGAGAGCAGGGAACAAAAACACAAATCCTATAAAAACGTTTTACTAAAACTTTAAACTTTTATATTAAATAAAGTTTTACATAAAGCTGCTCACAAAAAACATGTTTCTTTTCAACCTCAAACCATAAAATTAAACGAACTCACTTTTAGATTTCTATATGTCTATATGTCAGAATTGTTTTATTTCTTCATAAAGTTCCATTAAAAATGTTGTATATAATTTAATGTTTAATGATAGTAACTACCTAGCCCACTTTTGTGGGCGTTAAATCCGCGAAGCGTTAAGTCCAGAACGGTTCTCTGCAAGCTCATTAAGCCGAAAGCTACGGCTGAGGGTCATAAATGGATCAGACTATGTGTTATTTTCTTTCTTTTTATTTTTTTTTTGACTTGCGGAAATCCCGCCCAGACACTGACGCCCACCCACTGGCTTGGCCTGGTCGTGGCTTTTTTTCGTGGAAACTAAAATCCAGAGTGAACCCTACAAAAAGGGCAATGGAAATTCGAAAACAAACAAAAGCTCTCAAACTTCAAACTAAAACTGGGCTTAAAAAAAAAGCGGCCAAAGGTCAGATGATCAGTGGACCACGAGGCAGAGCCCTTTTTTTGGGTTTGAACCCTGAACCCGGCTTCTATACTTATGAGGGAAAATTCGAAAATAAACAGCATTACCTATAAACAAAAATAACACATATAAACAAATGTAGAGATAAGCAAATACTAGTTAAAACAGGAAATGTAATAGCTTACTAGCTTTAATCACATTTTATTCTATTATATTATTAATATTCTCTCTGCTTTAAACACCTTTAAGTTACATTTTTTTATAGCTTTAAACTCCGGCTAAATACATAAACAAATATAAGCTTGGTGTTTGTATTTTCTCTACTCACTCATTATGTTAAATCTCTAACTTTGGCCTCAATTTTTAACTGTTTTAACCGCACAAATCTTGGCAAATCTTTTGAGCAATGTTTCCCGGCCCAGATGCTTCCTCTACGGATATGCTGACACAGAATGAAGACTCATCTTCCCTTCCCCACCATTAACCAGTCACCAGCGGGAAAAACGAATCTTGAATCAATAATTAGGCGATCGAACAATAAATCTCCATTTTGTTGTGGTGCTGCCGGGTTTTTGCTATTTTCGGTTTTTTGCCGATCGATTTTTGGACTGTCGGTCTAACTGACGTCAGACCGCCACAACAATACAACAACAGCAATATAAAAACACCAACAACAACATAGTCACACTAACAACAGCAGCAGCAAAGAGAGAGAAAAAGAGGGACAACAATCAGAATTAATTGTGATTGCAATTTGGCCATTTTTGTAATTGCTTCCGGTCAAATCGATGATTTATGTTTGTAAAAGGTATTGGCAGAAGCCACAATCAGAAAAAGGGGAGAAGAATTAAATATCTATATAATACATATATGAGAGAGAAGCTTCTTGAGTTGTGGTTCTTCTTAAGGCGATGCCTCCTCTTTTGTCGCAGGAAAATAAAAGAGAATACATAGTGGGATAATAGGTTGTGGGGAGTGGGGTGGTCACGCCCAAAATAATAAAATGTGAGTCACCACCCCTTGGAAAAATCTTGCTTGAATTTTCAGTTAGGCCACGGATTGGAGCTCTTGGTGGAGTCTTGCTAAGCCGTTTTTTTGTGGCAAACTTTGACAATTCCTAATGCAATCGCAATGCCTTTTACTTGACCCAAAAGTAAACGGCAGCAGTGCACAAAGAGAAAAATATAATAAAAAATTAGGTGACAATATCATATTAAGTACAAGAATTTAGTAATTGAAATGAACTGGAAACAATGCCTAGGCTTGGTTATGATACTATGATTTAAGGGCTAGAAAAACTTTAATCTAACATGGCTAAGAACATGTTGAGCAACATCAGCAGGAAATATAGATCTTTTATTTGATTTAAAATAACTCTCACTTGCACTTTTATTATTAAAGATACATTTTTCCCAGTGTGCCTTCACATGGAGGCTTTCGGCAAAGTTGCAGTGGGGCCGAGCCGAGCCCACAAGTCACGCACTTGGTCAGCGGCGGCGACGAATGGATATCCAAAACAACTCCCAGCCAATCCTCTCCCCAAGATTCCCCCCTATCATACCTACCATGCAATACCCCCGCCACATTCAGTGGCATGTTGTAGTTGCATTTAATTCACGCCTTTTGGCCATACAAAGACATTGAATTGTGGCCGCTGTCCAAAAAGAGCGCGCGAGACAGGCCAAAAAGAGGTTTTCCTTTTAGAAGACGTAAAAAAATCTTAAATAGTTCACCCACAACAAACACACACACTCACACACACACACACTCTGCAGCAGCGGCAGAGCAAACAAGTTGGACACAAGTTAAAGACAACAATAAACAGCGAAGCGACCGAACCAACAATACTCTTTTCGTACCCTTGAATGGTATTATCATTTTATTCTAAAGTTTGCAACACAGTGAAGGAGCCATCTCCTACCATCTAAGGTATATACATATATTCTTGATCAGCATCAACATCAGTAAAGATTAGTAAGTATCAATGAACATTAAGTAACTATGATCAATAAGTAAATATGAGCAGTAAGTAAGTCTGAACAGTAAGTATCTATGACCAGTAAGTAATTATGAATAGTAAGTATCTATGACCAGTAAGTAACTATAAGCATTAATTAACTATAACCAAAAAGTAATTTTGAACAGTAATAATCTATGGCCACTAACTTACTATGGTCAGTAAGTATCTATGACTAGTACGTATGTATGATCAGTTACTAACTTTGAACACTAGTAAACAATGACTTGCAACTTTTGTAACACAACACATGTCTGAGAAGTGGCCGGTAGAAGTCACTTCGTTCCGGGGATGTTAGAACCAGTTGGGAATCATATGTACACGAGAAGTGCCGGTTTTTTTTTTCCCAGTTTTCAACAGATTTTCATCAAATTTGATTTATAGCCGAAATATATTAATTTAGAATTTTGTGTAACACTTTTTTGAAAATCGGAGTACTGCTGCCATACAAACGATAGTTAAAAATAGAAATGAATGAAATGAAAGCAGGCATTACTTTATTGTTTCTTAACATAAATATATATAATTTATATTATATTAATTCCTAGTGATCGAATTTCAATCTGCAAGGGTATACCAACTTCGGCGTGCCGAAGTTAACTTCCTTTCTGGTTTTTTTTTTTCAAAAAATTCAGCCACACATAATCACAGCAACAGTAACAATAATAAAAAATAATAATAATAATCATAATAATAATACCAGCAAAATAGAAACAACAACTGCATTAGTTGTGGGTGCTGCTGCTAAAGAAACCCCCTCACTCCTGTAGACACTGAGAGATTTAAGTTCTTTTAGACAAGAAATCTTTCAAAAATACTAAATTATTTAATCTCGATAAGAATTTTGCATTATATAAATAGAAAATAAAAACTAATACAAGTTTTTGTAAGCATAATATTTTAGTTACATTTTTAATGGGGAAAAACTTGATATATATCATACATTATTATCTTGATATCTATTGATCACAATTTCATCCTTTACTTTATATCTGTATATACTAGTCAAATATAATTTACAATATAGTCCCTTATTTGTCACAGTGCATCAATGTCCAAACACACTTTGTGTGCAGGCTATGATTTGTGCTATATGTGAGTGTTTCTCAGGCCTTGTTGTTATATTGCCTGATCTCTCGGACTTTTAAGGGGCCTCTTAATGGTGGGAAAATATTTTCGTGGCCTGTCCAAAATGCCGGGGGAGTTGCGAGTTTTTCCAACTTGCAGGCTATGTATGTATGTGTGTATAAACTTTTCCGAGGGGGAAGCAGGGAATTGCAATAAATATTGCGTCAATGGTAGAACTAATTTGCTGGGCCAACATTGCGTATACGCGACGTGATGCCCAATGTGGGTTTATGTGTGCGGATGATGCAACACGAGCAACTACGACGACGAAGATCAAACAAAATAGCAACAAATGCAGGTACAAAACTTAAATTGCACACAAAACAAATATGCAGAAAAACAACAACAACAAATGTCACGACAACGAATGGAGCAATAATAAGTAGAGAAGAAAACAGATACAATACGAGAGACTCAGGGCAAGAGAGCTGAGTGAAGTGAAACAAAAAAACAGCCCCAGAGTTAATGATTAATTTTTTGCACGTATTCACAACGATCTGGCAACGGGAATGGATCGCAGAAATATATAAATATATATATAGATATAAAAAAAAAAAAAATATATATATATATATATATATCTCATGCTTATATATCTCTAATTCTGAACAGCACAAAAGTAGTTAGTGCAATTGTTAAGAAATTGCAGAGCCAAGAGTTTGGGCAAAGTTTGTCTTAAAACATACTTTAATTAATAATTTATTATTTTACCTAGAACATGTCATGTTGGGGTACGTTATCAACAAGAATTCGAGGTTCTTAGTTAATTTTTGTGTATTTATTTGCTATTTTAGAATTTAGGCAGTGAATTATACCCCTGAATCAAATTTTAAAGCCTATATTTAACGATTTTATTTAAAATTAATGTGTGTAAACATTTTTTAAAACATAACATGTTTTTAGTGTATATATTATACCCTATATTGAAAAATACAATCAACTCTATGAAATGAATCACTTGAAACTTTTCTAAAAACTATAGTTTATAATATCAACCCAAGCTCTTTTTCTATTATATTTTTTATAATATTTCCTTATAGTAAAGTTATCTTTTTCTCCAAGTGTATTTACCCTTCTAACCCCGTGCTCCCTGCCACTCTCGCTCTCAATCTCTTGCACTGTCACACTTTGCACTTTGCCTTTGCCATTTAGGCAATTAGCGTTAAAAAAACCCACGCGAAAAAAATATGAACAAATCAAGTGCAGCGCGCAAAAAGTTACAAATTTAAATTGATAACTATAAAACAAAACAACACTAAGTTAATTCGTTTCAATATTTAATTTCGGGTATTTGTTTTCATTTAAGCGGTCGTGCTAAATGAAGCGCCAAACGAAATGGAAACCGACGAGGAAAACGAAGCAAAAAAAAAATTAAAATACTGCGCGAAGCTTGGAAAAACTGCGACGAAAAAAAAGAACGGAAAAACTGAAAAGCTGGAAAAACGGAAAGCCGACCACCGAAAAGAGAGCGCGCGCGATCCGCGAGCGGCGTGTTCGATGGCGCGTCTGCGACTGCTGGGCTGAGCTGAGCTGCACCGTTAGTTTGTTACACCTGAGCTGAAAACGCTTTTTTTACCTTCTGTTTTTTATTTGTTGTTGCTGCAGTCGCTGCTGATGCCGCTGCCGCCGTCGTAGTTAACGTCGCTGCCAGCCATTCATTGTTTTTGCCCGCAACGGCGAGCTTTACCTGAGCCACCATACGCGATTATCTTGGCCCGAATGTGAGTACGTTTTCAGGTGAGTGTGTATATGAGGATATATATGGGTATATGAGTGCTCCGCTTAGTGCTGCCAAAATGCTCGACTTTTGTTGAGTTTTTTGTTCTCAAATGTCCAATGAATGCACATTATCTTTTCTATATAGAATCCTTTACAACTATATCATATAGAAGTATCTTTATACTTTTTTAAATTTTTGCATTTTGCAAAAAAAGGAAAAGGGGTTAAAAAATTGGCAAAAAATTGAATTTGATAAAATGTTAAATGCAGATTTATAAACCTAACAAAAGCTACCACAGAACAGCTTTCCGGATTTGGATTTTAATGCATTTTGACCGAGTTATGATATATTTTATCTGCAAGGATATTGAAATTTATTTATTTTTACAGCTATTTTAAAATAGTTTCCGATATAGTTTTAATGGCAGCACTATCGCGCAATGTGGCATGTGTGTGTATATGTGAAGTGCTGGGGTTGGGGGCAAGTGAATAAGGGGTTAAGACTCACCAGTTCGCTTTGCTCGTCTTTGGCGCCAGCTTTTGATTTGATGGTCTTGCTTAGAGCCATGGCCGCTGCAGGGGGCTTTTCTTTTATATTTTTAGATTTTCCACATAAATATATTCAAATATATTGTGGAGATAAAAGAGGTTTCCTTAAATTGATGCGTTTAATGTCTGCGTGGCGATAAAGAGGGGTTTTGAATATTTTAGTATAAGAAGAGTTCTCCAAAACGCATTAAAAGTGTGTAATCAATTATAAATTACTTAAAATACAGTTCAAGAAATATAACTAAGATATCTTAAATTTAATTCAAATTGATTTTTCTGCATAAAGTTGTAAATTTCAGTTATTTTGCTTTAAATAAAAAGGCTTTCTGTTGCTTTTCTAGCTTAGCTTATTTCCGAACCTCTTTTGTTAGTTTTATTTCAGCCTAAAAGTAGACCCGCAGAAATTAAACTTAATTCATGTGATTGAAACTGAAAAATGTGTTAGTTTATATAATAATCTTGCTCTAAATCGAGATGGGAAATGTTAACTGTTTGATCTATAATTAATTCAAGGGGCAAACTTGAGTAAGTAAAGCTGCGTTGGATTGCAACACAATAAACAGATGTTAAATGGTTTATTATTGAGGCACTTTTCACAATGACTCGTGAACTTGTCATATCTAGTATTTGTCGCTTTTGATGGTTGTGACTGTAGGGTTTTCCTTAAAAGCCTAAATTTGTTATAGATTAACTCTACATATGTTCATTAAGTTCTTTGTAGAGGGAACTTTGCTGGAATATGTGTCATGGAAAGATTTATTAATTTACAAACCGAACACACATTACAAAATTGTGAAGGGGCTTTAATTATAATTTTTCCTAACGGTCTTTGTCCAAAATATGTTGGCTAAAGGAAAATCCCATAACTTTCAGTTACTTCTCTCCTTGACTTGGATTTGAAGTTTTCCTCCACTTCTCCGATCAGTGATCTCTCTGATTTGACCGATTCCCCATGCATTCGGCGATCTTTAGCTTTTTAGCCAGCTTCATTTGGATAATTGCTGCTCTTGAACAAGCCAACAAGCGAACAACTATGAACGCATTTGGTCAAAATGAGTTTTAGTTTTCATTTTTGGCATTCGAGCTCCAATGGCCGAAGCATTTGGAACGCCTTCGCCGGGCGACCCGCCCCCGCCTGTTAATGAAACGTTCAACTTAAGCGTTCTCGAAACAAACAAAAAAAAAAACACAGAAAATATACGTTAAATTAAAAAAAGAAATAAAAAGAAACGAAACCGAAGCGGACAGATTTAAACACAATAATATTGTTGACACACAAAACGGGGTTTTGGAGTCAACAATATCTACGAAATCGGAGGATTTTTACGATGCTCAATGATGGCCGCCAAGGCAAATCATCTAAAGACACCGAGAAAAATGCAAAAGATGTAACTTTAAAATTCTACATACAAATTATAATTTTTTTATCAATTATAGATTAGGCTGTTTATCAATTTAAAAATGTATTTTGTAAATAGTACTATACAAGGAAAATTTAATGAAAAGATATTTATTCTAATGATTAATTTAATGTATTTACTATAATATAATTAATTTTAAAGGGGTACTAATATGTATTTTACAATACAATACAATACAATTAATTTTGATTTTAAACTGGACAAAAAAAGTTACTCGCAACATTTACTTCTTTCACAAATGTTTTCTCTGGGTGTTGGATCTTGAAATCAATTTGCATACGTACATATTACATATAAACATACCTGTCGTTTGTATACCTGTGTATTTTGGACATATATCAAATATTGATAGCTGCTCGAAATGACGAAATGAGCGAGTTATTTGCGCGACTTTAACTTAACTCAACTTATTCTTGTTGCCGTTTTCTTTCTTTCTTCGTCCCACACGGATCGAAAAAGCCAATAATATTGTTAGTATATTCCCCGTACATATTATAGAACCATGATCTGTCTGAGCTTGACTCGAAGTCTGGGCCTGCGACTCGCTGGCTTTGTGTCTCTGTAGTGGATGGTTGTCAGTTTGTCGTGTTTGTAACCACAGTGCAGCATTCCTAACACGATCCTCGCCTTGAATGAAGTGAACTCGATTCGATTTCATTGAGTAAAACTTATAGATAGGCGGTTGATAGGTGAATGAATCCATTGGCAAACTAATAAACGCGTTTTAATTGCTAAATTTGTTAGCTCCATCTCATAAGAAATCTATTAATTAGTTGGTAAATCAATTAGCTCTAACGGATGGCATGATATGTGAATGAATTAAGAAACTACCAATAAATATGAATACTATCATATATTCAAAGTATAAACTAAATTTGAATTAATGAATGAATTAAGAAATCAAAAAATAAGGGTAGTAACTTATGATTAAATGGATATACTTCTTGTTTACAGCTGATTTCAAAAGTATTTGAGACAGTTTACTTTAAGAAACTTTATAAAGCTCATTTGTTTACAACTTTCTTGTATGATAATTGCTAGTTTCATTACCATGTCAAGTGTTTTTCCTATGGATTTTTGAGATAAGAAAATAAATAAAGATACTATATACTCGGATAAACTGCTAAACAGGGCTAACAGATCCATCGTCATCGGTCTGCTTTAAGTCATTGGATTCAACTTGATTTGATTGCATTCCATTTGAATCGATTCGCTTGGATATCCAACTCAGATTCGTTCAGATTTGTGCAGCCCACGTACGTTGCCTATATATACATATAAATCTATAAACTTTATGACGTACACTTATACGGATATGTTCTACTTTGATCTTAACTCACGATGAGGATGCGACACAAGGTCACTTGAGGACACAGAAAAAAATAAGAAGGACTTTCATTAAAGCTAATTTAATTATTAATTTGTATCTGTATAATCTTACATGATGTATTATTTACAGAGATTTTATTATAATATTTTATGCAGATTTTATGTCTTTAAATTTAATTTAAAAGGTCAACATCGTAAGCTTTGGTTCTTGCCAAGATTTAGTTAATTTTCACTGCATTATTTAATTATTTACTATAACTCTTACCAAGTTAATCATAAAACATTTATAATTTATACGAAACTATCAATCTTTTCATTGGAATAACTAAAAATTAAGTATTATTTTAACTTAATTGCTTGTCATTGGGTTTGCTAGCCATAGAAAGCTGTTAAGAATCCATTCAAAAGACGATTTTCAAAATGATCTGTTTTTTCAGGGCACTTAACACTGGTCATCACCGAAGATCACTTAACAAAAACATAAAAAAAAACGCCATAAACAAAAACAAAAAACACTAAAATTAACAAAAACAAACAGGCCAAGCTTGGAAGATCGAAGTGTAAGGGAGATGGAGTGATGTATGAAGATCGATAAGGGGGATGGTGGGGAATTGACCAATTAGCCAACAAATAAATACACATGGGCAGCTGGGCAAACAGATGTTTTTAAAAAGGCCAATAGGGCGCCAGATTGACCGCTTAAAGGCAGCCGGAACGCGGGCTTTTGTTGTTATCGAACATGAATATCGGATCCTTGGAATTTGGCGCGCATGCTTGTGTCCTTTTTCTTTGATATTATCGATAAACGATTGTTGCGGTCGATGGCGGACTTTGATTTGATACCACCACGGATGGATATTTCAAATGTTGTTCTCCGTAAAACCACAAAAACAATAAACACAATATGCAATATGCACTTAGCCACTCACACAAGCAACCACACCGCACCACACCGCACCGTACCGCCAAGAGGGACAGAGGAGGACTCAAAGAAGCGCGTTTTGTTTGTGTGTTTGTTCTTTTTTATTTTTATATATATATTCTTTTTTTTTGGAGCAGCAGCCCCAGCCAAATGGTTTGTTGCCAGATTCACAACTGATCTACCTGCTGTATTGGCATACCTTTTGCCGTTTGTTATTCATTCGGGCCTGTTGTTTCTGTTTGGTTTTGG